TATTAGCAGAAATTAAATTTTATATATATAATATTTTATTATTTAGTAAGATTATCTAATTAAAGAAGGATAATAGATTCAAGAAAATAATATTAATATACTAGAATTAATTATTAAATATAAGATATTACTTTAATTATTTATATAATATATATTGCTTAGCTTCTTATTCTTCTTATAAACTTATTTTACTAAATTTATTATTATTTTATATTTTTATTATAGTATAATTTTTTTATTATAATAGAACCTTAGTTTTATTATTATTTATTCCTGTTATCCTTTTATTAAGCTATTATTTATTTATCTTATTATTTATTAAATATTTTAATTATTAATTACTTAATAATCTTACTACTTATTTATTTTTTTTAGGCTTATTAATCTATTTTAGTATTATTGTCTTAATCTTTTTATTATTTTATTTATTAATAAGCCTTTTACTTTATTACTAAACTTCTTTATAAATTATTTCTTTATTAATTATTTAATTATTATAACTAATACTCTTATAATTATTAAAAATCTTACTAAAATTAAATATATTTATAATTATTTTAAAATCTAAGTTATATTTTTTTAATATAATCTTACCTAGTTTTATAAGGCTTGCCACTAAGATTAAAAATATATATATTATTTATAAAATAATTTAAAATATAATTTTATTTAGTAATTTATTATTATAATATTATAATAATTTTTAAATAATATATTTATTATTTATGCCAGGCTAATACCCGTTTTTACTTAGTAATTAAAAATCTTATTAAAAAAATAAATCATATTAAGAAGTAGATTATTAAAATTATTAATAATTATATTATTAAATATTATAAATAAATAATATATTATTGTTTTTATTATTTTAATTATTACTTTTGCTCTGATTATCTTAAAAATAATAATAATATTATTATTATTATTAGTAATTATAATTACTCCTACTCTAATATTTATAATAATATTACTTATTTTAATAATTATAATAATCCTGCGGTGTATAATATTATTAAAAAAGAATTTATTGCCTTTATTAATAATTTAATTATTAAGAATAATAATAATCATACTTAATGAGTATTTCTCTTTTCTTAATAATATTTTATTAATATTATCTTAATATATTCTATTCCCTGCTTAATATATTTTTTTCTTAATATACTAACTTACTCTGTGGGCATTTATTTTATTTTTTTACCTATATGTTACTGTACTAGTTGTATTAATAGTCTGTTTATCTTCTTGTATTAACTAACATGGTCGCTTTGTACTACTGTTATTCCGCTTCTTCAGTATTTGACCTTATTGATCTTGAGACTCATCATCAACCTTAGCATACTAATAAATAATCATCTTGACAAGTCCATTTCGCGCGTTTGACACTGCAATATTATTATATTATTTATTTTACTCCTGACTCTTCCAGTAGGCCCTATTTTTATAAATTTATATATAATAATATTAATCTACTAAACTATATCCTGAAAAATATCTTAATTATATTAATTATTAAAAATAATAAAAATATTAATAATTTAAATAATATAGTATATAAGGAGGGCAGTAATAATAAAAATCTATATCTAAATTAACTAAAATTCTAAGTATATAATATATCTAAGGAGAAATACTTATAAAATAATAAATAAAATAATTATAAATATTTTTATTATAGTTTTATAATTAATAATAATAATATAAAACTATATTTTTATTAAATATATAATTAGCCTTAAAATAGTGCGCAAGGGTATAAATATATTATTAATATTATTTAATCCCTAAAAAAATAGTAATAATAATAATTTTAATAGTGCGAGTAAACTTAATATTAACTTTAGCCTTTTAAACTATAATTATAATAATAATAATAATTTTATATTTAGTAATAACAATATTATAAATATTAAGGGCGAGGGGCGTAAGAATAATATAAAAATAATAATATAAAAATAATAATATATAATAGTATAAGAATTATATTAGTAATGCTTATATATAAAAAAAATAATTATTTTATGATTAATTTATTAATATAATATCTTAGGTATTAGCGCGATATAATTATTAAACAGAAATATATAGTAAAACTAATATATAAGTAATTAAGTAAAATTATCTAATAAAAATTATTATATATACTAAAGCAGTACTAAAGAGTAAAATCTTATATATATATAATAATAATATTATATGGTAGAATCCCTCTATAATATAAAGGCAGATATAATAGCTAATAATCTTTATATTACAGACTTATAGTATAATAATATATAAAAAAAAATAAAAGAAATAACAGGAATTAATATAAAATTAAATATTAAATATATTTTAAAAAAATAAAAGAAAATAAAAAAAAAATAAAAAAAATAAAAAAAATAAAAAAAATAAAATATAATTAATATAAATACAGTAGAGTAAAAGATTATAACTTATAATAATATTTTTAATAATATATAATATCTATACTAGATAGATTTTAAAGCTAAAAATTAAAAAAAATATATAAAAAAATTAAATAAAACTATAATAAAAATTTAATAATAATTAAAAAAAATAAGGTAAAACAAGAACAAAATTAATTTATAAATTAATTAATATAAATTAGCTAAAAAAAGGAATCTTTTATATTATAAAAATCTTTTATATAAATAATTATTATATATTTATTACTTAAGAATTACTATAATAAATTACAAGTATTTAATTATTATTATAAAAAAATTACTATATCAGGTAATATATAACTTATTAATATAAGAACTAATAAGAGTACAGCACGGCTACAGGAGATCTTGCTAAATTATATTAAATATATAATTATAATATAACTATATAATATACTTTAAGTAACTATTATTAATTATTATATATAATATATAATTACCTCAGGCATCCAGGGCTATGAGGACACAGCTTATAAAAAAAATTATTATAACTACTTATATAATATAAATAATATTATCTTTAATATAGTATCTAATATAGATAAAACTTTATAATAAAATATATATTATTATATAACCCTCCCGTAATACAGATCTTAACACCATATAGTATGGTAGGGCTTATTTAAGTAAGGCCCTTTAGGATTATATAATATGGCCCAGGGGCAAGACTTTACTATATTACTAGTAGAAAGAAACTAGTAATTAGTTCTATTCATAGATATCCTCTATAATATAACTCCGCACTGCATACTCATCACGTTGTCTACACCCCTATAGACCCCGGTCTAACAAAAACTTTAATAATATCCTTTTAAATATCTTGTATAAAGCTAGGGGTATTATTGTTTAATAATAAAAAAAATATATTAAAATATTTTAAATCTTTATTAAAAAAAATAATAAAATAATTATCTTTAAAAAATAAAATAAAAATAATATAAAATTTAAAAAAAGACTTTATATTTTTTAAAGCTTTTATATTTTAATTACTTTTATTATAATATAAATTTAAAAATATATAAGATTTATTTTTTTATAAAAATATTCTTTTTTTTATAAAATTAGATATATTAATAAAAGTTATAACTTATAAAGAATTAATATCTTATTTATTCTTTTATATAAAATAATAATATATTAAAATAGATAGTCTTTTAAGCTTAAAAAATAATTTATTATTTAAAAATAATTTAATAATATAGATTAATAAGTCCTTATTAATAATAAGATTTTTATTAATAATAATTTAAATAATAGCGGCTTTAGCAGTATAATAGGTATTTTTAATATATTATAAAAGATCTTATATAAGTAAAAAAATTTTTTAATTAAGAAAAAAATTATTTTATTATATTTTATAATATTTTTATAAGTTATCTATTTAGTAATAATAATTTTATTTTTTTTATAAAAGTAATAATTAGCTAATTTAATAATATTCTTTAATTTTTTAAATTTTATATATATTTAAAATTAGCTTTATATTAATTTAATATATATATTATAAGGCTCTTATTAGAATTTTTAAAAAAAAACTTATAAAAATAAAAAAAGAATCTGTTTTAAAAAAAATAAATTAAATATATTTTTACCTTTTTAAGGCTATAATAATATTAAATAATAAAAAAAATAAAAAGATTAATTAAAAGACTAATTTTTATATAAATTAATATAAAATCTATTATTAAAATAATATAAAATCTTATAATTAGTCTTTTTTTAATATGAAAAATAAATATAAGATTTTTTTTAAAAAAAGTTTAATTTTATTAAATTTATTTATATTATTTATATTTATAAAAGAATATTAAATAGTCTTAAATACTTATAAAATATCTAATTATTTTAATTTTTATATAATAAATTAATCCTTTATTAAATATTAAAATTATAATAATTATAAATAGATTATAAAAATAATTTTAAATATAAAATAATTTTTAAAGTAAGATAAAATAATTTTATTTTATATAAAAATATTAAAATAAAAATATAAAATATTATATTAAATATTTAAGGATAATTACTTTATTAAAAAAATATATTTATTATTAATATTTATTTTAATATAAAATATAAAATAATTAAACTATTAAAGATTTATAAGATTATTAAGATATTTAAAAATTAATTTTTATAATAAAATTATATATAAGAAATTTCTTATTTAAAAAAATTACTTACTTAACCTCTAAAAAATTAAATAATTTATTTTATTTATTTTTATACTTGTTCTTTAACTCCTTATATCTCTTAGCGCGTAATAAGTAGTCTGTAGATATATCGTAGGTGTTCTGAACTCCTTAGTACATCCATCTCAGGGAATCAAGTGCCTGGAACAGAACCTTTGTGGCTGCCCCTTACATGGCTGTCCTGTTATTGTGTCCCTTTATTTTTTGCTTAATATAATGCCTAAGAAGGCATGATTAGCACCTATAAATAGTTAATATTAAAATTTTTAATGTCTTTATTTCTTTTTTCAAGATAGTTAATAGAATTGCTTTATTCTGAGCCGTATTCCTTAGTTATTTTCTACTCGCCAAGCCTCCGAACTTCCCCAACTTCCAACCACACCATGACATTCCATTCCGCCTTGCTAACAGGCTCCTTGCAGGTTGTTAATTGTTAACTAGCCAGCCCTATACATTTCACCATGGGCATCCCCCGCCTGACACAGCATCTGCTCTCATTTTCAGACACCGCTTTACTTGGGCGCAAGGCTAACACCAGACAACAGGAATCTGAGAACATTGAGTCCATTGTGATCGATGGCCCTAGCTTGGTTTACCATGTATATGGGCGCTTGCTCTCTTGGTCCGATCCAAAACTCAACTTCCCAGACTTACAGCCAACCTGCAATGAGGTGAGCTGCGGAGTCATGATATGCCTTCTTCAATTGACCATAATTGGAGTTCGGATGTAAGCCACACATTCAATCCATTTTCATAACTATAATGCAAAGTACTGATAGGGTTGAAGCGAAGAAATATGTTTCGACGGGGCCCTGCCTCTTCAGAAGCGCGAGACACGCCTTACTCGGCTAGAAAAGTCGAGGACAAAGCTGGAGCAATTTTGTCTTAAAACCAGAAAAGGGTTCCTATGCTCGAACGCCCCTCGCAATGATCGCGCGGTTAATCCTGAAATGGTCCTAGGGACCCAAAGTCTCTCCGCAAGGCATAATACCCTACCTGAAAGCCCTTTTATTGTTCCGGCGGTTTTCGAAGACCTGAAACATAGGTGGAGTCGAGAAAACATACTGAATGTAGCCAAGGATACCATGTGTATACCTCAGATTCATTTGGCGGACTTGCCTTGGGCGGACATCACTGTAATGGTCTCGGGGGAAGCCGATGCCCACTGCGCCCGTAAGGCAAGATGTTCAAACTCTGCCATACTCACCAACGACTCGGACCTATTGCTCTACAATCTCGGACCGTGTGGCTCTGTTGTTTTATTAAATTCACTTCATATCTCAAACTGGGATCCGACTACCCCCGCCGCTTCACAGGTGAAATGCCTGAAAATATGTCCTACCTTGGTTGCCCAGAGACTGGGAATTAGAGATCTTATGGGGCTTGCCTATGGCCTCCAGAATCAACCACATGTACGATTGGCCGAATTGATACAGCAAACCAACCAAACGCAAGGCCAGCTCGCAGAACTGCCGGCCTTTCGTATTTTCCTCGAGGAGTATCGCGCTGAAGCGAACGTTGGCGCAAGCCACACCGCACCCTGGAACCTTGATGCAAGAGTATCGGAATTGTTCTGGCAGTATGAGCTGCGACACGCGTTTGCCCCATGCCAACCACCGCATATGTATCTTGCGGTACTAACCGAAGACCACTCACGGCGCTGTGCTTGGGCAACGGGCCTACCATTTAGATCCCTAGCATATTCAATTCTCAATTCATCTCGCCCGGCATCTGAAAGACACCCTTTCATCAATGAATTCGCCCGACGAGGTGGAAGAATCGCAGCGCACCAAATATATCTCGGCGACGCAGAGTGGATTGTTTCTCAAATAGACCAAACCTGGGCGCGCACGGAATCAATTGGAGCTGCATTGGGAGTCAGCACATCCTTCCCTGTCTACTGGCTATTGTTTGCTCTCTATGAAGTATATGACACCGAAGGCGGCCAAAAGCTTCCCGGACCGGAGCAACTAAGCCGATTCCTTATTCTCGGTCATATGGGCAAGGAGTTGGAATGGACCGACATTCATCTCAACGCCCAGATCCAGGCTGTGCTATATTCTTTAAGGATTCTATCTCAGGTGCTCCAAATTACAACGTTTGACAGTGGAGTTGCGCCACAACTACGAAATTTGCTGGCTCGTCTCCCAGCCATTCATCTCATGATGCGGCCAGCGAGTCAGATCATGACGACATGCATTCCATCCAGAAAGTCTATCACTAACTTAGTTGAGAAAATTCTTCGACTTGTTAGAGGTATGACTTGTCCTCAATCTTCGCAGTTCTTGACAGAGCCTCCAGCAACTCCGACCAAGAGCCACAAGGACTGTCGCACGCCTCGTAATCTGTATGATCTGCTCGAGTGTGAATGAATTTATAGTTATAAATATTTTTATGCTTCCCTTCTATTGTACAAAAGCCAAATGAAAACCAATCGTAAGAACATGGGTAGAAGGGGGTGGAATCCAGAATTGCTGCATGGGCATCTCTTGCACATTGTCAACGAGAAGACCGTAAGAAGCTGACAACACCTCGGCAATATCCGACCATCCCAGCCAAGCGTTGTGCTTCCTGCTGTTGTATTTTAGCCCATGCGATCAAGACTTCCTTCAATACATTCCCCTCCTTCTCGATAGATTCAGCGGCAGAGCATTCGGCAATGACATCGGCGTGTATCTTAAGAACCACTGCCATCCAAGCGTTCACAACTTCGAAGTCTCTCTTCAACAGAAGACGACTAGACAGTGCACTTATGAAATCCGACAATTCGGAGCGTCCGTTTTGTACCCGGGTATTAAGCGATCTTATTTCGAGATCTGCCTTTGCCGGGGACAAAGACTTCAAGTGTTCCACAAAAGGGTCGAAATCTCCAGATACATGTCCATTTCCCAGGAGTGTTGCCAGCTGGGAGCCTGCATTTTCGACTTTTCGAGAATGTTGGAGCCTGGCAATCCGTGAGCGCTCAGCCACAGTGCTATTGGCCAGGAGTGAATTATCCATATCCTCCTCGTTAGCATTTCTAGAAACTGCTGGAAGGAAGAAGGGCGCTTTCTCGGGCGCTTTTGGCGGATTAGGAGGTTTATTACGTTCCTGCCGGTTGGTAAGAAACAAATCGACACATTTTCACAGGGGAAAGGAAGGAGAGAGAGAGGTAAATTGGTATTAATCACCTTAATTAAATCCAATTTAATTAGGGCCTGCCACTTATTTCTTGGGACAACGCTAAGAGTCATCATATCTCGACTGAGCTGTCCATTGGATAGCACAGGGCCTGCTGACTCAATCTGTTCTGGTGCATCAACGAAGGCAGCCTCGATGGTATCAGTTCCGTGCTCCCCAGATGCTGTAGGAATAGCTATATCGGCAACGTCATTCTCATCCATGTTCTGAGTTGATACCGGCACGAAGACGCTTCTGTTCGACCATAGATTTATTCCCATGCCATTTGCATGCGACGTGGCCAAGAACTCTCCTGTTGGTGACATGGAGAGCGATGTACAGGTAGTCGGCACACGGAAGAGGTCAATGAGATGCCCTGTCGGCATGTCCCATACTCGAATGATGGAGTCCATGGATGCAGCAATGATCCATCGCCCATCGGCAGAGAAGGTGAAGTCGTTGATTTGACCTACACAGCCCCAGAACTCACGCACTACCTTTCTTGTTTCAATGTCCACAACGCGGATTGAAAGATCATCGCAACTGAATGCAACCAATTCGCTTGCGCTGCTGTATCGAAGTCCAGTGACAGATGCCATCGGGTGCCAATCTAACTCATCCACTAGTGAGCCAGTAACGAAATCCCAGAACTGGCACAATGTCTGATTAGAACTCGCACCTGTAAAGATATCCTTGTACCTGATTAGACTTACCTTGACCTTCCCATCCAGACTACAGCTGATAATTGTTTGGTTCAATCCATCTATCCACAGGCCGGTAACTGCTTTGGTGTGCTTTGTATTATTCTCGAAAGCAAGAGAGGACTTTTTGTCAAAATTGCTCTTTCTTTTCATTCCACGACCAGGAAGCCGGAGTCGATGGGCACCTGATTGCATGTTGAACATATCAATCGAACCTCCTGCAGATCCAATCAACGCAAATGTCCCACATTGAGATACCGCGACGCTCTGTATTATTATGCATTTAGAAAAAAAAAGTTTGTTTGACTTGATCGGGGAGGGATAAGGGGGATGAGCCGGCTCACCTTGACATCAGTTCCATCGCTGGTCTCAAACGCCCAACGACCGGCCTTCTTCTTGCCCCAAAACCACGTTCGAGCATACTTGTCCCCGCGATGCCCAGTCACTATACTTTCCCAACCTGTTTTATTTGATTCGGCTGTGTTTGCCATTTTGGGATTTGCCCACGTTGAACCTGATGTCGTAACTCCAATCCCCCCATCGCGGTTGAGCGAGCAAGCAATGCAGGTGATCTCTGGAGCCCTGAGGGTATCTTGCGTTCTGCCTTCCATGGTTACACCTATGGAGCTAGCAGATTTTCTTGCCTTCCGCTCCACCGCTCCTTGTGATATCTCGGTATTTTGGCTGTCTTTCCGAACGCTGAACCCCCAAAGACTGCGGTCCTTACCAGCACTCAGCAGCCATTTCCCGCCGAATTCGGAATCCTCAGAAACTGAAGGTAGAAATCCAAGCGTTGTGATTGCCGCGGAGTGCCCGCGCCTCGAATGTAAAGGCCGGGGTACCGGAGAAAACGGACTTTCGTCAAAGATCCAAGTTCTAAGCGCATTGTCCTTCCCGGATGAGACAAGCACCGGTTGACCGTCCAAGAATTCAACGTGATTGATCCCGGACCCCGTTTCATCCTCCGATATTGCATGAGCCCGGCGAAGAATGCCCATGACCCTACCACCATTGTTCAAGTCCCACAACGTAACATCACCGCTGCTCATGCAGCTTGTCGCCATGACACCTGGCTTCCGGCCGTCTGCACCGGCGCCCAAGCCATCGGTCCGGAAGGCGATTGAGGTGATCTGTTGTAGACTTGAGGAGTCTTTCCTTAGTGGTAAAACAAGTCGCCCCGTGTCGACATTAAGAATGGACAGTGCGCCATTCTTGTGGGCCACTGCAATCAGAGATAGTGCAGGGCTTGGCTGAATTGCACTCACGGCCCCCAGTTCTTTTGACTCCGGAAGCATGGAATAAACCAGCTTCCCGGTTTTCACGTTCCAAACGTCAACGCTTCCGTCGTATCTTCCCACGAAGATTTTGTTGAGATATGTTGGCATGTTGCACATTTCACTTGTATAAATGTCCCCACCAGCAATGCCCGTAGCATGAGTAGGCGTGAGAGTAGTGTAGTGTTCATAAGAATTATTTTTCCATACTTGTATGCACTTGCTACTGCAACCGACAATCCACGTTCCGAGGACGAGAAGCCGCTCAATTGGTTCAACGAAGTCGGCGGGTATTTGGAGGGATGCAACCTTCTTGCCACGCTTGAAGACCCATATGCCTCGAGAGGAACCGGGTCGAGCACTTCCCCATGCTGCAAAAACCTTGTCCTGCCATGCAAACGTAGCCGTGATGCTCTCCGGAGTTTCAGGTCTGCTCACAAAGACCAAAGTAAGTCCTCGCTTTAAGTCATATGTCTGTAGGCTATTCCCTACACAGGTCGTAATCTGAAAAGTAGCTTTCCCCAAGCGTACGTAGGTAAACGGAATCGGGGTGGATGAAACCAGTCCTAGAGTCTTGAGCGCGAAAGGCTAATTAGCATCTTCGAGATGTAGGGGGAGACAAAAAAAAGAAAAAGAAGGAGAGAGAGAGAGCGGCTGAAATCCGCTTTCAACCGTAATACATACTCGGAATGGAGCAAAAATCCTAGAGCCAGTCGTTGGTGGATGTTTCTGAGCACCCTCGTTGATCAATCTTTTTTGTCGCTTTGCTAGAGGCAGGTCAAAACCGCCATTGTGGGTGGATGGCATGCTTCCCAGCCGTATTCTTGTTTTTCTTGTCTGTTTTTTGATGGCAGCAGTCCAATTGCACGACAACACCTAAACTTGTGAGTTTTGGTTGTGTGGCGAGCCTACCAATTTGTCAAAATTCGGAAATTGTTGGTGCTATCACTGCGCACTCCGGCTTCTACCTCACTTCTCTTTTTTTTTTCTTTCCCTTTCTTTTTTCTGCCGTCTTATCGGAATGTATATATCCGGTGCCCGTACCGCCTACGAGACCCACTAGCTACAGGTACCTATTAGGCTATTACGTCGTACATACGGTCACTGTGTATTCGGTATTATATCTAGTACCCAGGTATTTTAGGTAGGTATGTACCTACGGTAGGTATGTACAGTACATGTCCATAGGTAGGTACTTAGGTAGTATTTACATACTCCGTACATACTTTGAGTACTACCGCCCAGCGGTGCCATTGACTTGCGTCATCTTCAGGATATACTAATAGTAGATTTCTTAATTCTTAACAGGTATATTATAATCTGTATGGAACATATGAAACTGCTATGATGGTAGCATCATCATCGTCATCATCATCGTCATCATGTCTTGCCTTACCGTCTGTTCCACTACTTTGAGTTTTGCACTCTGTTGAACTCACGGCCCTAAGGAGGTAGGTAGTTATCGGACTGCCGTCGCCGCCCTCCCCCACACCTCATCTCCCAAAACCAAGTTCGATCAAATACGTGACCAACTGCGTTCTACTCCAAGCCCGGCACACCATCGCCTAACGGTTAATGCTGATCTCGAGTATCGGCTACTGTTATTCAAGCACTTTGATCGCCTCATGGATTCTGGTCGCGATCGTCACCATGGCCATGACGCCTCCGCCAGTTGCTCCGAAGGTGATGTAGAAAACAATACCGCTCCTCATTCGAATCCCATGCCAGAGCGTTCGGACAAATCTCCTTTCAGTCTACTTTATGATTCCGCGGCATCTATTTCTTTAAAGGGGAATTCATATGGACTACAGCCCAATCAATCCAAGACGTCTAGATCCGACGCGCTCGAGAATCAAATTGCCGCTGGTCGAGGCACTCATTCCTCTACTCGTTCTTCCAGTCGTGCCCCCCGTCGATTAAGTGGAAGTACAGCCACTAGCTCCGTCAGTGAAGCGGAGTATACGTCTCCGTCTATTGGAAAAATTGGTGTCTGTGCCCTAGATGTCAAAGCGCGCAGCAAGCCAAGTCAGAATATCCTCACACGCCTTCAGTCCAAGGGTGGGTTTGAGGTGATAGTATTTGGTGACAAGGTCATCCTCGATGAGGCCGTAGAGAATTGGCCTGTATGCGACTTTCTCATTGCGTTTTTCTCCGATGGATTCCCATTGGATAAGGCTATTGCCTATGCACGGTTACGAAAACCGTTCTGTGTCAATGACTTGCCCATGCAGAAGGTTCTGTGGGATAGACGTCTTTGCTTGAGGATATTAGACCACATGAATGTCCCAACACCAAAAAGACTGGAGGTTAATCGAGATGGTGGACCAATCCTGGAGTCTTCAGACCTCGCCCAACACGTACATAAGCTCACGGGCATCAAGCTCGAGGGCCCTGAGGATGGTACTGGGGGGGGCGCTTCAAAAACGAGGAGTGTCGCATTATCGGACGATGGGGATTCTCTTATAGTTGATGGCAAACCTTTCAGGAAACCATTTGTTGAAAAGCCCGTGAATGGAGAGGACCATAACATTCATATATACTTCCCTAATGATCAGCAGTACGGCGGTGGTGGAAGAAGGCTCTTCCGAAAAATCGGTAACAAGAGCTCTGAATACGATCCAGATCTTGTTGTTCCCAGGTCTGTCAATGAAGACGGCACAAGCTACATTTATGAACAGTTTCTGAGAGTGGACAATTCAGAGGATGTCAAGGCATATACAGTGGGACCAGATTTTTGTCACGCCGAGACTCGGAAATCACCTGTGGTGGATGGGCTTGTTCGCCGAAACACTCATGGCAAGGAATTGAGGTATATTACGCAGCTGAGCAAGGAGGAAGCCGCAATTGCCTCCAAGATATCCAATGGATTTGGTCAAAGAATCTGTGGATTTGACATGCTTCGAGTTGGAGAGAGAAGCTATGTGATCGACGTCAACGGCTGGAGCTTTGTCAAAGATAACAATGACTATTACGACAGATGTGCTAGTATTCTTAAAGAAGCCTTTCTGAACGAAAAGCACCGACGTGAAGGGAACCAGGAGCAGACCGAAACATTTACTCCCGATACTGGCCATCCCTGGAGATATTCAGTATCCCACAGGCACACTTTAAGGACACTGCTTAAATCCCCAAGCGCATCAAAGATTCATGGAAACACACCAGGTCACCAAACTTCCGAGCCGTCAGATTCTTCTGGCTTGTTGGCGCCTTCCTCCACTACTGAGGCTCGCGATCATGTGTCTAGCCACAATGCCTCATCTATGCATGAGAAACATTCAGCGTCGAGCACCTACGTTTCCCCACCCAGTGCTTCACCAGTCATGTCGATAAATCTAAACGAGGGGGCTCCACCTCCACCTCCTGCTTCCAAACATTCCTGGAAACTGAAAGGCATGGTGGCAGTTATTCGCCATGCAGACCGCACACCTAAACAAAAGTTCAAGTTTACGTTTCACAGCCAACCGTTCATTGACCTGCTCAAAGGGCACCAGGAAGAGGTGGTTATCAAAGGAGAAGCAGCCTTGGCTAGTGTGTCCGATGCTGTCAGAGTCGCGATGAAGAATGGACTCGAAGATATGGATAAACTTAAATTGCTACGCACATCTCTGCAGAAGAAGGGAGGCTGGCCTGGAACAAAGGTGCAGATCAAGCCGATGTTTCGTAAGAAGGAATCCGAAAAACCATGCGGACAAGACTTGCTAGCGAACCAGATGGCACACACCGACAACACTGAGGATGACACTACGTGCCCTACTCCCATTGAGACGCCATCAGGGACCAAGGACACGAGCAGATCTCAAACACGAAGCGATTCAATATCTGGTGCAACGTTTTCAAGGTTTTCCGCAGCCGAGAATGACCTTGTCCTGGATAAACTTCAACTTGTTATCAAATGGGGAGGGGAGCCTACACATGCAGCACGCTATCAGTCCCAAGATCTGGGGCTTAATATGCGCGATGATCTGAAATTGATGAATAAAGAGGCTCTAAACAACGTCCGCATATTTACCAGTTCTGAGCGAAGGGTGAGCACCAGCGGTAAGTTTGATATCCCTAGCTTGCGCTCTGAACTGCAAACTAAACAGGCAATGCAGCTCAAATCTGGGCTTGTTCTTTTCTTGACCAAAAGGAGCTCCCGGAAGATTTCATACAAGTACGCAAGGATCTTCTGGACGATTCCAACGCAGCTAAGGACCACATGGACAAGGTCAAAAAGAAGTTGAAGCTGCTTCTACGAGAGGGCTCCGCGCCGTCGCAGTTTACCTGGCCCAAAGACAATATCCCCGAGCCATCGGTTGTCCTAGCCACAGTTGTCGAACTCATGAAGTTCCATCGCGACGTCATGAGACACAATTTCCAAAGACTTGAAAAACCGCCGCATCATGTCACGGAATCAGATGACTTTGAGGACCCTGCCTTGTCGGACATGCACACAGAAAATCCTGCCCTCGCTTCGATTCAAGGGCGGTGGTGTACTGGCGAAGACCCAACTTTATTCAAGGAAAGATGGGAGAAGCTATTCGCCGAGTTTTGTGACACCGAAAAGGTCGATCCCAGTAAACTCTCTGAGCTCTATGATAGTATGAAATTTGACGCCCTTCATAATCGACCTTTTCTGGAATGGGTTTTCATGCCACCTGACGGCGAAGAAGTTGATGCCATCGAGGATAATAAACCTAGCAGCGAAGGAGCAAGTCATGAAAGGGGCGAGGAAGTCCCCGACAACTCTACCCTCGCTCGTCGACTTGGATTGAAAAAGAGAATGCACGCGTTTGAATCAATGCCCCATTTCAGAGTACTCGATGATACTTATGATCACTATTTCAAGTTATATCCGGGATCAAGCTCCACGAAAGCCAAATTGGATGGAAGACTCTCTAAGCTGAGGGAGCTATACAAACTGGCAAAGGTCCTTTTTGACTATGTCACTCCCCAGGAATATGGCATCACAGACACCGAGAAGCTAGAGATCGGCTTACTAACGTCTCTGCCTCTTCTCCAAGAGGTTGTGAGGGATCTCGAAGAGGTGCAGGCCTCGCAGGATGCCAAATCCTTTTTCTACTTCACAAAGGAGTCCCATATCTACACTCTTCTAAATTGCATCCTGGAGGGTGGGATACAGACCAAGATAGCAAGAACGGCTATTCCTGAGCTGGACTACTTGTCTCAGATTTGCTTTGAACTTTATGAGGCTAAGGACTGCGAATCGTCAACGAACTCCTACTCGATTCGTATTTCAATCAGCCCCGGGTGTCATGCTTTTGATCCTCTGGATGTCCAGCTTGACTCCAGGCACGCGATTGGCTGCGCCCCAAGACGAAGTTTGACTGCTCACCAGGATTGGAAAGAGGTCATCGAAACACTCAAGGCAAAATTTGACACGTAAGTAATCCATATATAGGTACCTTGTCTGTTATGGATGAACCAGGCTGCTAATCTAAGCTTTTGTCTCAGTGTGAAACTACCGCAGACATTCATCGCAGTAAATTTAAGTGACAAGCATGTGTCTAATTATTAGAATGCTTCTTCTTGATGCCACGAAGGACCTTATGGTGGACAGATACATAACCTCTCATTGCGGCCCATGGAGTACGGTCACTTGAATGACAGGGGGGGGGTGAGAGATGTCAGTAGTACAGAGTAGCTGTCGGAAATTAAGCAGGACGTGTCATAGACCTGTACATACACATATTGCTGTCTCTTTCTCTCGTATGTCCCGACGTATTCTTTTAGGTGGACAAAGCTATCTGCTAGCATCTATCTAATATACTGGGCAGTCCATGCATAGGCCGAATACAATGCAAAATGCCGTACCCGCGTATAGGGAAGAACCCCGCCCGGTGTAGTTTTCTTCGCGTGATTACGCTGCTCTATCATCTCATAAGCTTGACCGACTCCCCCACACTCAACCATCAACCATCGACGGCAGCAGGCATATCTTTTCGCACATCCGGAATGATGGCTCTCAACCGTTTTCAAACCAACGATTGCTTCTACTACAACACCACTGATAACTATATCCAGTGCCATGATTCCCGTCAGAGAGAAATAAGGATCGCCACTGATGATATAGTATGCATAATCCCCAAACACGAGACTATCGGAAATGGCTATACCATGCTGTTTCTCGGGCGAAGACCCCGGGGTGCCAGTGGTGATCTCCAGGATGATTGCGAGCGTCTGGAGTCGGTTCTGTTTAGCTCTTTGCCACCGGAGCTACTCTCACTCCACCTGTGCGAGTCTGTTCCTTGTCACCTCCAGACCTGCGGTTGTGAGACAAGAGAGGTACATGTCATACTATCTACTCTTTCAGGAACGGGGAGGGCCAAACACATCTACCACCATGTCTTACAGCCTCTTCTCCGGCATTTTGGATTGACTGATTACGATGTTCACGAAACAGACTCGCCGTACACAATCACCGATCTGTGCAGGTCCAGGTTTATCTTGAATGCCGAGTCTGGAGTTGCGCAGACGATTATTCTTCTCTCCGGGGACGGTGGTCTGACCGATATTGTCGATACCTTTCACACTGCCCTGAAAACACCTTCATATCCTCCTACGATTGCTCTGATCCCGGCAGGCACAGGGAATGCAATGGCAAGCTCGGTTGGAATCGCCTCTCGGCCAGTTTCAGCGTTGGTGACCCTGCTGCGAGGAACGCCTAAGCCTATACCCGTCTTCAGCGCTACATTTTCACCCGGCGCCCAGTACATTACTGGGAAGGGTCGTTCTCGGGCTCATATCGCTGATAAGTCGACGAATGAAAGCCTTCCCCCGAGAATATATGGGGCCGTGGTTATCAGTTGGGGTATGCACGCAGCATTGGTAGCTGATAGTGACACTGTGGAGTATCGCAGATTTGGAGCTGATAGGTTCAAAATGGCTGCAAAGGAACTTCTTTTCCCGTCGGGTGGTGCTGAGACACATAAGTACACTGGTACGGTTACCTTCACGAGGGGCGACAGTCAAAACGAGGGCGAGCGCGTGGAAACCATGGAAACCAGGGAGCACATGTATTTGTTGGTGACTCTGGTTCCAAGGCTGGAAGAGACCTTCGTGATCTCTCCGGAATCGAAGCCACTGGACGGCTGTCTTCGAATGGTTCATTTCGGCCCGTTACCCCCGCAGCATGCCATGCAACTGATGAGCCACGCCTATCGCGAAGGTCAACATGTAAAAGAGGACCAGGTTTACTATTCCGAGATTACGAGGCTTAGGATTGATTTCGACGAGAAGGATGAGAAATGGAGACGGGTGTGCATTGATGGCAAGATCGTTGTTGTCGAAGAGGAGGGCTGGGTTGAGGTGAACACAGGCAATAGATGTGCATTAAACTTATTAGTACCTTCGGACATGTAACTGTGTCATTGTCCGTTGGGCAATACATATAATCATGAAGAGCGAGAGTAGCAAGCACTTGGGAACTTGTCCTTTACATGTTGCCACGCCTGTGAAAGCAGTCGCATTGACGAGAAATTACATTGTCACTGTACCGGGTAGAAAGCCAAAGGATGGGATCGATAGACATCGTGGACTGTTAGGTTTAAGTTTCGACTATGTAGTGTCGATCAACGAGGCATAATACCTCCCTAGTATATACGCTACAGCGTACTAGGCATGCGGCCGGGTCAATAATAGCACCTGACTACATGCGGCCGGGCTGCCGTCGCTACCCACCTCAGCACGCATGCATCGGTCGCGAGGAATCGACCCCAAGGCCAGGGTGAAATTGCTTCAGTACAGCGCCCACGGCCCAGTGGCTTGATGACCCCCCAATCTACTTCTATGATGGAATGCTTCACAATTCAAATCGATGCTTCTCAATCCAACACTTTATTCTGCGTCTCAAACACCAGACCGGGGACACTTTCCACTTGACAAACCGAATCAATACAGATTCCTCGGGGCTCAAGGGTGGCGTGCGGTCCGCAGAAACGTCGAGCAGGCAGCTGAAATGCTGTTAATCCATCAGGCTGGTAGTGTTCGAGTGGGTGAGGTAGTTAGGTTTGTACATGTCTCCCCCCTTTTCACCGCTGCTTAATTGTAGACTGACCCTCCCTCAAATAGATACACCATCACATACACACCGGCAGCTGAGAAAATTCACCCCCTTCCAGAAAAACTGTTCGTCAAAGTGAAGAACACATCTGCAATTCCCCTGCGAGCGGCTTATCTTCATGGTCCCTACACCTTGTACGCATCTTGCTACCCCTCTACGTTTGACCCCAACGTCAAATCTCCCCAGCAAGATACCGACGAAACCCCACAGTTTGAGCCGTATCTCAAAGCAGGAGGAAACTGGGATGCGGTCATCAATGTTCCGCAGAACACTCCGATAAACAACAAAGCTGGGCTCACTTCATCCGAGCCCGTGACATGGGTCGTGGAGATAATATCCCAGGTAATTTTTTCAAGCACCGCGTCTGTCAATTTTGAACTCTTGGTAGGCCGCGACAAGAAGTCCACGGAGCTCCCCCCTACAGGAGGTTTATCAACCGACGGATATCGCGCAGCTCAACTACGCGACCATTGGTCGTCTCGATCAAAGGGCAAACAAGTGCACGCCTCCAAAGGCGTGCATTCCGATTCCATTACATTACTTGTCGATGATACCGCGAGTCTATGGAATTTCCCCTCTTTTCCAGGCTCCCCAGAAGAACAAAAAGAAGGAAAGGAGAAGAGATCAAGCCAGGATTCTCCAGCACCGCATGCTGAGTCTTCAGCAAATGTGGACAACCCTGCCAGCTCGGCCCAGTACGGCCAATGCAAAAAAAAAATCCACCTTGTCATACTAACGCATGGATTACATAGCAACCTTGGTGCAGATATGCTTTATCTCAAAGAAAGCATCGATACTGCAGCCAGAAACACGAGAGACTGTGCTAAAGACCGACATCGAAGGCATGGAAATAAGACTGACGAGAGCAGGACTCCACGTGATGAGTAAGTTGATTGTTTCGTCGGGCGCTTTGATTATCCACGACTGTCACTAACAGAGTATTACGACCAGGCGTTCTGGCAATTGCGCTAATGGAAGCTCCAAGACAGCGAGTTGCAATGGAGCTGATGACGACGTCGAGCAGGTTATAGTTAGAGGCTTCCCTGGAAACGCTGTCCGCACCGAACGTGGGATTCAATATCTCGGCAAGCGTCTCGCAAAATATGTTCTTTTAATGACATATCCTGACCAACCACATCTACCCGGCAGATCTGCGAGCACAAAGTCCCTTTCAAAGTCTCATTCGACCTGGAAGAATGCAGTCGAAGAGCCTTCCATAGATGGCCCCAGATCCGACAGCTCAATGGGGCTTCCTGATAGCAAAAGCCATGCTTATAAAATAACTAGCATCAGCTTCATTGGACATTCGCTCGGTGGTCTGATTCAAACATATGCTATTGCGTATATTCAAAAACACTATCCCGGCTTCTTTGATGCTATCAAACCTGTCAACTTTGTCGCTCTCGCCACACCATTTCTAGGTCTCAGCAATGAAAATCCCATGTACGTTAGATTTGCATTGGATCTGGGCCTTGTCGGTCGCACTGGTCAAGATTTAGGGCTCAGCTGGACCGCACCGCGAGTGAGAAGTGGATGGGAAGCCATGATCGGTGGCAAGGGAGACTCCACGAAGCCGCACCAACACGCAAACGCTGGCTCTAAGCCTTTGCTTAGGATCCTACCGTGTGGTCCGGCTCATGACATTCTATCCAAATTTCAGAACCGGACGGTCTATTCCAATGTCGTTAATGATGGGATAGTTCCATTACGGACCTCTTGTCTGCTATTCCTCGACTGGAAAGGACTGGACCGAGTTGAGAAGGCCAGGCGAGGAAACGGCATTGTCGGCACAATGGCTGAATGGGGATGGGCTGAGCTAACCGGTGCTAATTCCAAATCTCCGCAAACCACGCGTTCTATTGCAGACTTCAGACAAAGAAACCCCCCACCCAAAGGCGAGAAATCAGCAACGGCAGTCGACACGCACGATGCCATAGGCCATGGCGTTTTAGGGACCCCTAATGCCAGTCAAACCCCAAATAAGTATCCTGAAGCAAATATACCTGCCGTGGGAGCTATGCCAAAGGTTGAGTCAACGCAGCTCTTTCCACATGGCTCACTGGGCAACATTTTCTCCATGTTTCGGCCCAAAGGTAAAGTAACCACCACCGCCACCGGATACAAGCAAACAAAGATATATAAACGCAGTCAAACACTACCCCCCGGTGATGTCCTTGAAGGAGTATCATCTTCTGGTCTGTTTCGTCGCGAGAGTCTTGCTCGCGACGGTCCTCCCGAAGAATCAGGATCTTATACGCCTCCAAAAACCACGTTATTTGAATCTGCTAGTGATCTCCTCATGCCGCCTCTCCCTCCAGTCGAGTTCATAGTTGATCCCGAGTCGAGAGCTCGGACCATTTTCCATGACCGTTTATATCGTCCCGAGGACATCCCACCTCCTCTTCCGACCAAGCGCCGCACTTTGACATTCGGTTCTTCGCAAAGTAAACCAGGACCACAATCATCTTCATTACAGGATCCTCAAATTGACACCGATTATGGCGAGGCTGAACCCGAGCGCGGACTCAAAGTCGAGGAGAAAATCGCGAGAGCATACCATCGTAACTTATCCTGGAGGAAAGTACTTGTGCGACTTGAGCCCGATGCGCACAATAACATCATTGTTAGACGAATGTTCACAAATGCATACGGATGGCCGGTGGTAAAGCACCTTGTTGATACCCATTTCGGGTGCACCTCGATGACCGATGATGTTTCCAACTATGACATGGAGACGGCCGATCCACCTCCGGAAGCAATTGATGAACACCAGTCGGGTGTCCTCAATACTGGAAGTCCCGCTGAAGTTGGCCATTCCAGAGATTTACTTGATGACACTGCTATCAATATCCAGGGCCAGCCCCACGAATTTACAGTCTAGGCCTGGATACGAAGCACACCGGTCAGTCAGGCAGAGAACGAACACCATAGATCTTTAGAAACCGTTATCTCTTTAGTCGATCACTCAACCGCACGAGATCCTTCTACAAGCATGCAGGAGGACCCCGGCCTTGGAAATACTTACAACAGCCATGGCTCTAATGTTTCCGAATCGAGACCCGGGAAGGTGGTTTAAATCTGTAAATGAATGGCAATCTAAACAAGAGCATCGTCGCATTCTGTACGGTCAATAGTATACTATATGTTGCAAGTCATCAGCCTTGTTCGAGTGTTGTGGCCTTACTATTTGTCAGCGGTTTTTTTTTGGAGGGGGTTGTAGTTAGCTATATTTGTGGAGGTAAATACTACTAAAGAATTGATAATTCCAGGCTGCCTGTAAGAATAGGTATGACCCGTGATGGCTTCATTCGCATCGGGAATCAAAAACAGTTTGCCCTGATAGTGTGCAGCCACTGCTGTAGATGCTGCAACGGAAGAATCCCGGCGAGTGACATCAGAGGGCCTTCCCCACCACTAACGGCGGGGTATTCTTTTCTTTTCTTTTTTTTTTTTTTACCCCTTCCCTTGCGGAAAAAAAGAACTGCAACCTTCAATACCTTGCGCAGTCGGATCCATCAATCAGCAACTATTTATACAATGCCGACGGAATTAGAAGAGGTAAGCCGAGAATATGTTTTCTCCCCTTGTCTTTTCCTAATCATCGCCCAAATACCTAGCGACTGCCTGCAGGAATGGACCGGAGGCTCATTTGCTGCTCTCTCTAGTTGGTTGAATTCCTCCATCATGGCAACACTCAAATAAGGCAAATTGGTACCGCCCACCATTCCAGAAGCCCCCTATGCCTTCCGTGATCATCCGCAAGAAGTTCAAACCCAACAAAGCAGCATAGGAATAAATAGTAACTGTTCTGTTATTCACTTTTAAGCATGCGAAAACCTTGTCGGCTTCTCAAAATCCGAGCCCGGCCTATTCAAACGCCACCAGCTTTTGCCAGTGCGTGATCTGAAGCTCTTGGTCCGAGACTACACAGTAAGTTCTTTGAAGAATACCGAGTTTGCGGGTTCCCGTATTTACTAATCCTTGCCTGTCATATAGCCAATCGCAAAGAATGCCCTGACAATACTTATCAATCTTTCAGCCGACGAAGAGATATTGGCCAATCTCGCAAATGATGACGCCTTCGTGGATACCCTCCTCGTCAAACTGACTGTTAGTCCTCCTGGCCAGAGGCCACTCCCCATTTCCAACGATGGCAAAAACAGCATGCCCTAGAACAACATTTGTACTGATACGAATGGTGCAGAATGTCAACGAGCCAAACGCAGATGACGTCTCGATGTTGATTGCCAACCTTGCAAAGTCTAGCAAGATAAACAGGCTTCTTACACTGAAGCGGAAAACCCCCGAGTCTGTGTCCAGCTCCGCCTTTGCCATCGATCAACTGATGGATTGTTTTGTGAAAGGCGCAGAAGGTGCTCTGAACAAACGCGCTAATTTTGATTACCTGTCATATCTATTTGCCGATCTCTCGAAATCTGAAGAGGGCCGGGCCTATTTTACATCGAGACAAGATTATGATGGTGTTGTACCAGTCACCAAGCTGATCGTGTTTACAGAACACAATAGTACGGTACGGAGAAAAGGAGTTGCGTCAACTATCAAGAACGTCGCATTCGACATTCCTTTCCATTCTGTGCTTCTCTCCGAGGACGACGCCAACATCCTACCGTATATTCTCTTGCCCATTGCTGGGCCAGAGGAGTTTGTCGATGAAGAGTCCATGGACATGCTAGCGGACCTACAATTGCTCCCGCCGGACAAAAAGAGAGACAGCGACAGCAGCATTATAGTCACCCATCTTGAAACTCTTTTGTTGCTGACAACCACGCGCGAGGGACGAAACATCATGAGGGCAATTAAGGTCTACCCTATTATCCGCGAGTGTCATCTCCACGTCGACGACGAGGATGTTCGAGAAGCCTGTGACAGGCTGGTTCAGGTTTTGATGCGCGAGGAACAGGGTGAAGACAGCACAGATGCGCTGCAGGAAAACGCCACCAATACAAATGACAGGCGGCAAGATGATGAGGACGAGAAGGTCGTGGAGCTGTTTTAAGTGGACAATGATTATACATTAACATTATATCTACCATCGGAAATCATTGAGATGGAATGTGTATGTGCAGAGATGAGACCATTATATGTCATGGGGCTGTATGTTGTAAACCGATTAGTGTAACCAAGTGAGCCGGCCAGGGATAAAAAAAAAGAAGTTGTTGAAAGGCTACCACCTACGGAGTAGGTTGGCTCGGCTGTGAATCAACAAAAAAGCCAGGTGAAGACAAAGAACATTCCCGCATTGATCAACTGGAGGGTCAGATTATGTAAGCAACGGCTTCGAATCCACCTTCAACCAACCGTTTGATTACCGGGGCACCTCAAAGCTGAAGCTCAACTCATCCACCTTCTTTCGTCTTTTCTTTTCCTTTCCCTCCTTTTCTTCTAGCCGGACGAACACAAATCCTTCCTTTGCTCGAGGGAACGCTGCACTTCCCAGCCACCGGAAAACCCCGGGTTTTGCGAATCCATACGGCGCGCGGTTCGCCTCAGGTGTATCATGACTACCCCTACAAGCAATCCGAATTCACGGACGCCAGCTGGCTCAAGTGGTGCTCCACCAATGAGGATCCGTCGCCCAAGGGTGGCAGATCCTCTCGTACGGCCGAGGAAGAAGCCTACTGTTACCAAGCCAGCTGGGAATGGTCCACTCTCGAAACCATTTCCGGCGCGAGCAACTGGATCTATTCCCCCACCTGCCACTCACACTGACAAGGGCAAGCCCCAGCCTCCATCAAACACTCTGTCGGCGAATGGATTCAGCGGTCCTCTGTTATCCGAGACCTACAAAGATTATCCCCTTGTCACTACCAAGCGAGCATTCCGAGAGGGCCTAAAGCACCATATTGCCAGATTCGCGTCGAAGAAGACGGTTGACCCCCGCGATGAAACCCAGTTTACCCGACCTGTTCGGCTTCAGCGCCGTGATCCACGGGCAAAGTCACATGCGGTAGGCGCGGACAAGGGCATGCAAAGAGGTCCTGTTGAGTTCGGCAACCAAGTGGATGATGCCGAACGTGAAGAGCTGGAGGCTAGGAAAGCGGCGCGAGAGAAAGAACGTGCCGAAAACCTGGCCCAAATAGCGCCCTCTATTGGATCTACGGCGAAGAGAGCGAACGCCCCCAAACAGAAGACACAACAGGTTTCAAAAACAGACATGACTCCTGAAGAGATAGCCAGGACACGAATCAAGTACGAAGAGGCATTGCCGTGGCACTTGGAGGATTTTGACAACAAAAACATCTGGGTCGGTAACTATGAGGCCGCCTTATCAGAAACCCACGCAATATTCGTGCCGGACGCTGGAAAAATGAGAATGATACCAGTTGAGAAGTGGTACAGATTTAGTGCCAAAAACCAATTTAAGGCTCTTACCATAGAGGAGGCGGAGAAATTTATGGCGAAGAAGGTGAAAGATCCGAGATGGTTTATGGAGAAGCAGCAGGAGCAAGCTCAGCGAAAGGAATTGGAGCAATTCGCCAAGCAGCGGAAAGTATACGCTGGCAAACAAGGCACCACAGGTGGCGCCGAAGGCTTAGAAGCTGGTGAGATGGATTTCGAAGAAGACAGGTTTGCTGACGATGAGGAGCATGATGATTTATTCAACGAGGATGAGGAAGCGAAGGCTGCCGAAAAAAGAATCAAACAGGATCAACTGAAGGCCAACGTGTTTGATTTGAAACAAGAAAAGGAATACGAAGAAGAGGAATTGCGAGAGAGGAAGGAAAAAGAGGCTCGCCGAGTCCAGGGTAAGAAAGTCAGGAAAGCACTGCAGAAGAGAGAAAAGAACTACGACTATAGCAGTGGGTCTGATGTTAACCCCTACTCCGATGAGGAGGTAAGCCCCCACCATTTCCATCCTTTGACTGATATTATGCTAATACTTGCAACGTAGAGCACCGATGAAAGTGAAGCCGAGCGGGTTAAGGAGGAAGAGCGAAAGGCCGAGGAGGAGAAGAACAAAAAGGATCCCGCGACTTCTTCAAAGGGTGGAAACACACCATCAGGTCGCCCCAAGCATGCTGACCCTCTCAAGAAAGGCTCAGCTACTGCGACACGGAGACGACTCGGGTCACCCAACGTTTCTGACGCGAGTGGGACGGATACTTCGCGCAAAAAGGGGAAATCCAAGCATGCTCAGCCTACACCTCAGCCTAGTTCTCGCCCCATGTCTCCAATGGCATCGTCGACCGCCCCTGTGAGTCCCAAAGTCTAAAACTCTTAGGACTAGTAGCTGATGTGTTCCAGGTTAGCAAGAAGCGTGTTCGAAACGGACCAGGCGGTGGCGCTGGATCCACCAGCGATGTAGACCCCGGTGCAGGCTCGGGAGCTGAGATGAGCGAAAGTGGAAAGACTAAGAAACTTAAGCTTAATCCTCCCTCTCTGGCCTCTCGTGGTGGAACACCACAGGGGTCGCGAGCATCCAGTCCAACACCTCTGGCTAACCGAAGTTTCTCGGGAAGTCGGGTTAGTAGTCCAGAACCACTAAAAGGTACTTATTTGCAGACCAGGAGTTTGCTACTAAGCAACCCCCCCTTTTCTCAAAAATCTAACCGACTAACGTATACAGGTCAAATTCGCGTGTCTACTCCGGGGCTTTCGAATAGTCAAGCCTTTCCCTCACCTGCAGAGATCCATGCCGCTATCCCACAATCTGGCATTTTGAGCAGCGACCTGCTGAAGATATTCCGCCCTCGCATTGGAGATTCCAAGGAAAATCACCGGCGATTTATAGCGATTGTGAAGGATGTCGGTGTTTATGGAAAAGAGGATCGTCTTTTACGGCCCGGTGCTCTGAAAGAAGGTGGAGAATAAAGGTCAAATCGCGTCAATGCTGCTCATCCTTGAGATACCTAGAATGCTTTGTTTTCGATTTTCGTTCGCCCACCCCCAAATGAGGATTGTGGTAAAGTGACCTTTGGTCTGGAAGAATTAATGTAAATTGAATAGTGAAATTGAAATGTAAAAACACTTCTCAACACCGGGCGCTAAGACAAAGTATTTTATAGCAAACATGGAGAAGCATGATGTCAAGAAAAAAGATAAAACGAAAAATAAACACGAGAAACGCAACTGGAATGCACACTAGGACATTGGACGTAAAGCCAGATTCTCGAATTGTTCCCATTTTCCTTTACTCAAATTTCTCCCAGTTTGCCAAGATATGGGCAATACGAGGCGAGTTTGTAAGCCTGTAGACATCTTCAAAGTATTCCTTCGTGATCTCGAATGGGCGAGCTGTCACGTTCGGAATGTACTTTCCAATCAACTTGCTAGGGTCGATGGTAGTCCGGTTGATCTTCTTCAATAAGAACGACCGGAAGGGTTTCACACCAGAGCGGAGGAAAGTGCTGTGGAAAGGAACATCAATTCCTTTGAGGGGAATTGTTGCGAAGCCTCTTTCAAGAGAAATAGGAGTAGGCTTGGACTCCGTTTGCTTGACACACTCATGGATGATGTTGACAAGATGAGCCTTGACGTCTTCTAGCGACATACTTTGCATGAGAGCAGGGATGTCGATGTTTTGGGCCTTCAAATAGTTAAGAAGGTTGGTGAGGCAGTCAAGAGCTCGTAACTGTATGAGAGTTAGTGGGAGGTTCATAGGCTCCGCGGGACTAGTAGACTTACATCACCAGCAGCAACATATTGCATGTTTGCCACGTTGTAGTTGACAATTTCCAAGAGCCAGCCCGTTTGCTCGGAGATGTTTTCAACCACATATTGCAAAGCCTGCTCGTTGAAACTTTTGGAAATGCGACTTGGATTGACAGCGCACATCGAATAGTTCGATCGACCTTGCTCATCTCGCTCCACAGCAACTTGCATAGTCAAACCTCGGTAGAAAACAACGGAAACCAAACTCTCAATTGGCATGACATCAGCCAGGGCAGCCAGAGCCGAATATTCGCCGAGCGAGTGACCCGCAAAACTACTATCTCTCTGAACGAGGCCTTTGGCGCGCATGTCTTCGAAGCTTGCCTTTTCCATCAAAGTAAGAGCCGGTTGCGTGAACTGGGTTGCAGAAAGAAGTCCCGACGGCGACCGGTAGGTGTAAGAGGATGTAGTCTCATCGACCTCTTTGAAGATCTTCTCAGACTTGATTGTCCCATCCGCATTCACAGATTCGAAAGTCATGGACATGTAGTTCTGGCGAATAGCCTTACCACGTGGACCACCGAAATAGACAGTAAGCTCCTTGGGGTTGTTCTTCACAATGTCAATTATCGAGAGTCCATAGTTCTCGATGAAATGACGATCCGCTCGATCCCAAACCTCACGAGCAACGGGGCTGCTACCATAAAGCTCCATCCCCATACCTTGCTCCTGTGAGCCTTGTCCCGTGAACACATAGGAAGTGACGGGCTGCTCAACCTCAGCTTCGCCCAGAAGAACTTTGTCCTCGGTTTCTTTGTTGCTAGCCTCAACCTTGATGATTTTACGGCCAGCAATCATACCGACATGTTGTAGTTTGACCGTAATCATGTCATTAGGCAAGACCATACCGACCAGGGACACATGGAATCCACGCACACGCCCAATGTTATTTTCAGCCGCCCAAGTCTCGACGTAACTGCGCACAGCAGCACTGGTATACATGCCATGGGTAATAGTGCCCGGCAAGTTGGCGTAGCTGGAAAAGACGCGGGAAACATGGATTGGGTTGTAATCGCCAGAGACACGAGCATAGGTCTCATTGGATGTGGGAGCCCGGAGAACCAACGGCGTTTTGCCGCTAAGAGGGATTGGGTTTTCAAAGTAAACAGGCTGCTCAATCGAGTTTCCGTTCCGCTGGAGGTAGTCGATGACGGGGTTTCCGTGGGAAGTGCCGGCCTCATAGTCGACCGAGGCGACTTGAATGATTTCCTTGGTAGGAAGCTCAAGGAGGACCTGTCCGACTGTCTGAACGTGACTGAAAACAGACTTGTTCTTGAACTTGATGAGACTTTGAAGACGGAAAGTCAAGGTTTGGCCAAGGAGCTCGAGATCAGGTTCGTCCATGCGGAACCATTCCTTGGAACGAAGGACAGCCACGTCCCTACTGGAAGCAAGGTGGAGCTGCATAGGAACCTCATCCTTGCGCTGGAAGGTATTTTCGAAATCCACGTAGGCACCTCGGTAAAGGAACTGGCTCGTAACATGCATGATAGGTTTACCGTCCCTTTCAATGGTGCCACAAACTTCCACCATTTTGCCCGAGTCTTGGTTGATGACCGAATTGATCTGCGCCGTGGTATCCAGCACGTCGCCAACCTTAAGTGGCTGTGCCCCAGGGACCATCTTGAATCCGTTCGACAAGTGGACAAGCTTCAGCAAATCTCCATCTATCGTACGAGGGAAGATAGGCTGCGTGATGGCTTTCCAACCCGCAACGATGGCAAAATCCATGGGAGCAAAGACCTCCTTGCCAGGGCGATCAACAAAGGCCTCACCAGTGTTGCCAACAGCATGCACAAAATCAGCGACAGCTTGAGAAGTAATTGTTTCACGACCACCGGAGAAAGTTGCAGTTGTGGGAGTCTCGAAGGGAACATCCTTATTACCGAACCAGACGCGGTAATAAAATTCCTTGATCCGATCGTTGCGACCTTCCATGACCTCTCTGATCGGCGCATAACCCGCCTCAGGGTGATATGTGAACAGGAAACTCAGCGGAACAACACCGGATTCAGCTGTTCTTCCTTCGAACAACGTGAGGCTGATTTGTTGAGTCTCGTTCAATTTCACCTCAATTGTTCGGACCATTTTTCCGGACTGGTAGGGCTCTCTCACGGTGATCGACGTTTTGGAGGGATCGTTAGGGTGTGTGATTTCCACATACATCCCCGACGTGGGAGCGACAAGTCGTTTCATGGGGTTGGACTGGAAACGGTGGCCTTGAACGAAGACGTCGGTGAGGAAGAAGGCATGTCTCCAGGAAAATGATACACCGGCAAGTAGACCCAACCACCTGTCGAGGCTAGGCAGATCTGCTGAAGGGGAGGATGATAACCTATAGGTTACCTTGTTCGAGTCTTCCGCAATTGTTAGGCCTTCGATCTCAGGCTCGTCGATAGTCTCCTTGAGATGACCACCAAAGTATTCAACAGCTGGTATCTTTGTTTCGTCACCGGCATATACATCCTTGACCAAGCTCTGAATGTGCCCCTGGTGAATGCTGTCCAGGATATCCTGCACGGGCTGGTCAATCACATTAGAGAATTTGGCAGCCATTGGACCCTGCAAAATACAAGTCCTTCCAACATCCTGGCCAACAACCGCCTCCAAGTCCTCACTCTGCCACAAAGAGTCTTTCTTGAACCAATATTCGAAGTTATCATCCAAGGAAGGAACAAATGGGACTGGCTTTTGCCCACGTCGTTGACAGAGTAGGAGGAAATGCTGAACGTCTTGAGCGTTGATGAGCTGGGAAGCCGATTCAGGGTAGGCGGCCAAAATATTATCAATCGCTGGGTAAGGGGTGTTGAGCTCCGAGTAATTTTGCAGCAGAGAGGGCTGACCCTCGGAGGCAGTAAATCGCTCCTCGACCCGACGAATGAAATCGCCGGTCAGTCTTTTCAGCGAGTCATCAATCCATCGTGATTCATGGTTGACGTACATGAGATCCACCATGCGATGGACAACCTCAGTGTATGTCATGTCTTCCAAGTCAACGGTTTCGCCGGCCGCATTGCGGCCAAACCACACCTTCTGGAAATCGTCGTTAAGTTTCTGGATGATGTAGTTGCGCTGCTTCTTGAGCTCAGGCACACGCTTAGATTTATCAAGCTTGAAGATCTTCTGGTCCATTTCATGCCAGAATTGAACACCCCTTGTGGCAAGTTTGTGGATCGGTTCGCCCATTTCAGAAAGGACCGTGACCACACCGCCGGCAGAACCGTTGTACGTCTTTTCCCAGTCCTTGTCGTCAAGACCCGGGGCGTCAGCGATGGCCTGCTTGGCATTCTTTGAAGTATGTGCCTCTTTAGCAATCATCATGCGACTGCCGAACAAACAACCGTCGAACGGCATGGGCGGATATCCGAAGCACGATGACCAGGTTCCAGAAAGGTAAGGGTAGGTATCCTCAGAACCACCAAAGCCACTGCCAGCAACAAGAACGATGTTGTCGCAGCGTCGGATGCGGCTGTACATCTGAAGGACGGGTTGGTGGAAATCTTCAAATGAATGGTGACCACCACCCCGACCTCCGGTCCATTGAAGGATAACCGGGAACCTGGGGTTGGCCTTCGCGATATTGATGACTTGCTGGATGGCATCGACAGATCCTGGTTTGAAAGCAATATGCTTTATCCCAAGAGTCTCGATGTACTCATTAGCAACTTCAATAGAAGGGACTCCGGCACCGATGGTGAGACCTTCAATTGGCACACCGTCAGCCCTAAGCTTTCCGATCAGAGGTATCTGCCATGCCATGGCACGAGGATTGACGTAAATCAAGTTGATCGTAATACCACGGCCTGGGGGGATAGCCTTCTCGATCTTGGAAACAGCATCGGTCATCGTCTTGGCATTGTAATAACCACCACCAGCAAGTTCAACGTGGTAACCCGCATTCATGGTCGCAGCAACAAAATCCCAAGGAACCGTGGTTGGTGTCATTCCAGCGACCATGATTGGGGGAATTCCCAGGATTCGGCTCATCTTCGTGTCGACAAAGGTCTGACCAGTCTTGTTCTTTACCAAGCGAGGCCCGTACTCTTTAACCCAGTCTATGGCAAAGTTCACTGAGTGTTCGTCGCGATCGAAGAGCTCTGGTTTGTAGCCAACTTCAGCGTTGGTGCCGTCCATAGCTCCAGCAAGCACAACACGAACACCAGTCCCATCTTTGTTACGGTTCGTGAGCACTCCAAGGCCAGAAATTCCGCCTGGGCCAAAATCAACAATGTGAGTAGCCCCAGAGAAGACGGTTGCCTGCTCCCAATTGACCGCATCGTGAGTGATCATGCGGACCAGCTCAGGGACTATGTTCGCATCACCTAATGTCTTCAAATCGTCGCCACTTTTGGTGCCGTAGACGGGAATGTTCAAGGACTTCGCTGGTATTTCAATGTCTTCCAAATCCTCCAGAATCCGATCGTACGCCGAGGCAAGGTATTGGCTGTGGAAGGGAGCGGTGATGGGAAGAAAACGGTTGACAAATCGGACCTTCCGTTGTGTGAAAGGAACACGATTCTGGTCCAAGCCAGTCGGGGCCTTGACTTTGCGTAGGCGGAGGTTCAAACCGTACAGGGAAAGTGGCGGCCCGGTCACAACAAAGTTGCGAGCACTGTTGACCAAAGAAATAGAGATGTGGCGATCCTCTGGAAGGTGTTCATTGGTGGTATCGATATGCTCCTGGACAGCGGATCTGGGAAGGTCGCGGATCGAAAGCATGGGGGTCGGGTTGCCTTCTCCATTTTCAATGGAATCCTGCAATACGGAGGGAGCAATGGATGTACGTGGATAGGCTTGTTGGCTGCGCAGGCCGATCCAAAACAGCATTGTCAATACATCCTTCGCTGCCTTCTCAAAGCTTTCCCAGGTAGTTGTCGATGCGATTGCTGCAGCAGTAACAATTCCCTGAGAATGACCGGTTGTCCCATTGAACCTCTCCAGAATCTCTCCAGGCTCCCTCCCCAGAACCTTGCAAGTAACCACAAAATGTGCCAGCTGAACCAAGCCGATTAATGGTAAACTCACGGGAGCCGACACCAAATAATCCGTGTCGGGCTGAGAATCGTGATCCTGGAGCCAATGGAGAATATCTAAGCCCTTGGGATACAGCTTGCTGGCTTCGGGCTCGCGCGACAGGGACTGTAGCAATTCAGCCGACGAGGAGATCAAGTCATCCACAAAGGAAGGGTACGTAGAATAAATTTCCCTGAGTTCGTCAAAATATTCTTCGATATTTCCTTGTCCTCCAAAGACGGTGTAAATGCTTGCCTTCTCATCGGAGGCAGCACGGAACAGAGCGGAGTCATAAGGCTTGGTGGGACGACCGGCAGCTGCTCTGCCAGCGTAGTACGCTTCCACAACCGAGATTTTCTTGGCCGTGATCCCCGGGAGCCCGGCGATAACTGCATGGACATCGTTGCCACGCATGAACGCCCGCTCAAATTCATTGAGAGCAAGCTTCAGGACCTCTAAGTATGTTCCCTGCGCATCATCCTCGCCTTCCTCAACCTCGTGGGCGACATGTCCAATGTACCTGGCCACAAGCTCCGCTACCGAGGAAGGCTCGTCGTCTTGGGCAAGCTCATCTGTCGGTTGAGGAAGCGACGCTGTGAAAACATCTTTCAATTGAGAAGCATGGAAGTGAAGAGAAGTCGGCACGAGGAAGGAGAATTCGAGGGATCCATGAGACAGGATCAGTGGGCGCAACGACTGCGATGAGCGTGGAGTGTTGATTCCCGTCTGGGGCCCGGTTGATGTTCCATACATCTTCTCGTGATCTCGTATCTATTGTTCGCTTGGAAGTTGACTTTAGCTTCTCTCTCTTCCTCTTTTTGCTGGGTCCAATGATTTAAGTGACGTACCGGTTTTCGTAAAAATGAATGATCTATCTCTAAAAAAATCTCAATCAAATCCGGGTTTATTGGTCATATGTTGGTCCACCCCTCACCGCGTCTTTTTTCAAAAGGAAAAAAGAAGAGGGGGAAAATAAAGAAAGGAGGGAGAAAAAGAGATTAGACCGATGAGGGTAGAGAAGATGCCTGCGAAATCAGGACTTCAAATGAATAATAGAGTATAATGGGGGAAATTGGAGAAGAAGAAAAAAGGGGTATTACAGCAAGTAAATAATATTAATGTGCACGAAAAAGGACCTGTGGAGGGATTGGGACTGCTATGAAATGATAATGGCCGACAGAGGGGGGAGGGATGAACTGTGCAAAAAAAAAAAAAAAAAAAAAAAGAATTAAAAAAAAGATCAAATAATACCATCCACGCAACGCACCGTATTGGACGGAGCACCTACTGTTGAACTGATGGGCGGAGGAGAAGCCGCACTTTCGGGCTGGTTGAACGAGAAGTGGCCCGATTGGGTATAGTGCCGAGCGGAAACTCCCCAAAGGTCCAAAACGGTTGGGCTGGATCCGGCCGGATGGTAATAATACCTGACATTGGGATGTATTTGCCGGTACACATCTCAGGGTTTTCTGTCGGTGAATGCTACATCCCAACGGGAATAATAGGGTAAGATGCCTTAAGGACAAGGTACTTGCAGCTTCCAGGCCCCAAAGCCATCCACTTCTCAGGTACTGATGCCTAGTAGCTACGGTACGGTAGGTGCCCGGTACCCAAGCTCTATCTTTTCAGCCAGCAAGCACCAATCACCTAGTGACTTGAACATGCCCTAGTCAAAATATAAGCATCTAGGTAGGTACCTCTTCGTAGATACCTACTTTGCGGGGGCAGATAAAGAAACATCCGTCGGAGACAGGCACGATCATTGCAAATATCTGAATCAATGAAGATTTATCTCATCCCCCAAGACCGTTTGGTAGACAAGTACAGAGTACCTATGTACTACCTTACGGTAGGATCCCAAGCTAGATGGCTTCTGATTTGTGGAGTGTTCGGAGGCGGGAGGTGGATTTAGAAGGGGGCAAAAAAAAAAAAAAAAAAAAAAAAAAACTCCAGGCTGCAAATTGATTACAATTCCCGATAAGAGCCAATTTCATTTGGTGAATAACGGATAATTCTCATCGTCGTGAGCCGGTGGTAGAAATCCTGGGAATCCCGGTAAGTACCGTACCTGGGTCGTACCTCCCTAGCTGGGTAGGCCAGTCAGTCCGGAGTACTGGATAGTAATGTACGGTACGTGGGCGTGGACCTAAACTTACTCTACGGCGGTGCTCTTTTCCTCCCGCCCCAACACCCACCAAAAGCTCAGCAACAGGTAGTCTTTCCCATCGGGTAGGTACCCTTGGCTTCTCTCTATCTTCACTTCTACTCTCTTTTGGTATTTCACAATTCGCTTTGTTCCCTTCTGGTTTGCTGGTATATATTTTTCCCCACTGTCTGTGGTTTCAAAGCTGAGTGGGCTTTAGCGATTCCCACCTTGAGACGGTGTGCTGTGAAGGTTTTAAGTCATTACAGTATGTTAGGCCGGCCCTTTCCTTTTTTTTTTTTCTTTTTTTTTTTTTTTTTGAACTGTCTCTGTCCTGTACACCACTGGGCTTGATCCAGAACAGTTATCCAGAGAAAATTTTATGAATTTCTGACTCCTTTAATTTCTTTACTGACTGGTGCACATTTTTACAGTTTGTCAATATTAAATAGATTATTGTTCTAATCACCTACTCTCCCTCCGTTTTTCACCTAGCGGCCACCGTCAGTTTGAAAATCATTGTTCACGAAACGACACCGAAAACCACCTGTGGGCTTTCTTTTCTCTTTCTTCTCATCCCACATTTTCAGTCAGCTCCGCCATGCGACCGGAAGTTGAACAGGAACTTGCTCATACCCTGCTGGTTGAGCTTCTGGCTTACCAGTTCGCCTCACCGGTGAGATGGATTGAGACCCAAGATGTTGTTCTCGCAGAACAGCGAACAGAACGAATCGTCGAAATCGGCCCGGCAGATACATTGGGTGGCATGGCAAGGCGAACGATTGCATCGAAATATGAAGCATATGACGCCGCAACATCAGTGCAGCGCCAAATACTCTGCTACAACAAGGACGCCAAGGAAATATACTATGATGTGGATCCTATAGAGGAGGAACCGGAAGTTGAAGCAGCACCTGCATCCAGCGCTCCTGCCCCTGCTGCTCCGGCGGCCGCGGCAGCACCCGCAGCCGCTTCGCCACCACCTGCTAGCGCTGGCCCGGCAGCAGCAGTTGAGGACGCCCCGGTAACGGCGGTTGATGTTCTTCGCACTCTGGTAGCACAGAAATTGAAGAAGGGCCTGTCAGATGTACCCCTGAGCAAGGCTATCAAGGACTTGGTAGGAGGTATGTTCACATGATGGACCCGGGATGCCCTTTCAAGTACAAGCTAAAACGTTTTGATCGATAGGTAAATCGACATTGCAAAATGAAATCCTCGGAGACTTGGGTAAGGAATTCGGATCTACACCAGAGAAACCAGAAGACACTCCTCTCGATGAGTTGGGCGCATCCATGCAAGCGACTTTCAACGGTCAGCTGGGTAAACAGTCTTCCTCTCTCATTGCTCGCTTGGTGTCATCCAAAATGCCTGGAGGTTTCAATATTACAGCTGTCCGGAAATATTTGGAGACACGATGGGGCTTGGGAGCTGGCAGACAAGATGGTGTCCTTCTTCTTGCTCTGACGATGGAGCCTGCCTCTCGTATCGGATCCGAGCCTGATGCGAAGGCGTATCTTGATGATGTCGCAAATAAATATGCCGCGAGTGCCGGCGTCAACCTCTCTGCCCCGACAAGTGGCGGTGACAACGGAGGAAATACCGGAGGCATGCTTATGGACCCCGCTGCTATCGATGCTTTGACCAAGGATCAACGAGCCCTCTTCAAGCAGCAGCTAGAGATAATTGCACGGTACTTGAAGATGGATCTACGTGCTGGTCAGAAGGCATTCATCACCTCTCAAGAAACCCAGAGAACGCTGCAGGCCCAGCTGGATTTGTGGCAGGCTGAACACGGTGATTTCTACGCCTCCGGCATTGAACCGGCCTTTGACTCGTTGAAGGCACGTGTATACGACTCCTCCTGGAACTGGGCTCGACAGGATGCCTTGAGCATGTACTACGATATTATCTTCGGCAGACTGAGGGTGGTCGATCGCGAGATTGTCAGCCAATGTATCCGCATCATGAACCGCTCAAATCCCCTTCTTCTTGAATTCATGCAATATCATATCGACAACTGCCCAACTGACAGGGGTGAAACCTATCACCTTGCCAAGGAACTGGGCCAGCAGCTCATCGAAAATTGCAAGGAAGTCCTGGGTGTATCCCCCGTTTATAAGGACGTTGCCATCCCTACCGGCCCCCAGACAACTATAGATGCACGGGGAAATATCGGGTACCAGGAAGTTCCTCGAGCTAGCGCTCGCAAGCTGGAGCACTATGTCAAGCAGATGGCAGAGGGTGGTCCCATTTCAGAATACAGTAACCGGGCCAAGGTGCAAAACGACCTTCGAAGCGTTTACAAGTTGATCAAACGACAACACCGCCTATCGAAATCGTCTCAGTTGCAATTCAACACGCTCTACAAGGAAGTGATCCGCGCTTTGAGTATGAACGAGAACCAGATCATGCCACAAGAAAATGGCAATACCAAAAAGTCTGGCCGGAACGGTCTCAAGCGCAATGGAAGCCCACGTACAGGCAAAGTTGAAACGATTCCTTTCTTGCACCTGAAGAAGAAGATGGAGCACGGTTGGGAATACAACAAGAAGCTTACGGGTGTTTATCTCGATGTCATGGAGTCGGCTGCTCGATCTGGACTGACATTCCAAGGAAAAAATGTTTTGATGACAGGTGCTGGCGCCGGCTCGATTGGAGCTGAAGTCCTGCAAGGCCTGATCAGTGGCGGGGCCAAGGTCGTCGTGACAACCAGTCGATACTCCCGTGAGGTTACCGAGTACTACCAGGCAATGTACGCCCGCTACGGGGGTCGTGGCTCGCAATTGGTTGTGGTCCCTTTCAACCAAGGAAGCAAGCAGGACGTGGAGGCTCTTGTTGATTACATCTATGATCCTAAAAAGGGCCTTGGCTGGGACTTGGACTTCGTCGTCCCGTTCGCGGCAATTCCTGAAAATGGCCGCGAGATTGACTCGATCGACTCTAAATCAGAGCTCGCTCATCGCATCATGTTGACCAACCTCTTGCGACTGCTGGGCTGCATCAAATCTCAGAAGCAAGCTAACGGCTTCGAGACTCGCCCTGCCCAGGTCATCTTGCCCTTGTCTCCCAACCACGGCACCTTCGGAAATGACGGCTTGTATTCCGAGTCCAAGCTTGCTTTGGAAACACTATTCAACCGCTGGTATTCCGAGAGTTGGAACAATTACCTGACTATCTGCGGTGCCGTAATTGGTTGGACTCGTGGTACTGGATTGATGAGTGGGAATAACATGGTCGCCGAAGGGGTTGAGAAGCTTGGCGTCCGTACTTTCTCTCAGCAGGAGATGGCTCTCAATCTCCTTGGTCTGATGGCGCCTGCGATTGTCAACCTCTGCCAGCTTGATCCAGTCTGGGCGGATCTCAACGGTGGTCTTCAGTTCATTCCTGACCTCAAAGGCCTCATGACCAAACTCCGCACAAATATCATGGCAACAAGCGATGTTCGGCAAGCAGTTATCAAGGAAACAGCTATTGAGAACAAGATTGTCAATGGCGAGGACAGTGAAGTGCTCTACAAGCGCGTCAACGCAGAGCCGCGTGCCAATATCAAGTTCCAGTTTCCCAACTTACCCGACTGGGATGAGGATATCAAACCCCTCAATGAGTCTCTCAAGGGCATGGTTAACCTGGACAAAGTCGTCGTCGTCACTGGCTTCTCAGAAGTTGGACCCTGGGGAAACTCACGGACACGTTGGGAAATGGAAGCGCATGGAAAGTTCTCTCTCGAGGGATGTGTTGAAATGGCTTGGATCATGGGGCTTATCAAACATCACAACGGCCCACTAAAGGGGAAGGCCTATTCTGGCTGGGTTGACTCGAAGACTGGTGAACCGGTGGACGATAAGGATATCAAGGCCAAGTATGAGAAGTTCATTCTCGAGCATTCGGGTATTCGGCTTATTGAGCCCGAGTTGTTCAAGGGTTATGATCCCAAAAAGAAACAACTGCTCCAAGAAATCGTGATCGAGGAAGATTTGGATCCGTTTGAGGCTTCAAAGGAGACTGCAGAGGAGTTCAAGCGCGAGCATGGCGACAAGGTAGAAACCTTCGAGGTCCCCGAATCAGGAGAGTTCACTGTCCGTCTCAAGAAGGGGGCTACTCTCCTCATACCGAAGGCTCTCCAGTTCGACCGTCTCGTTGCTGGACAAGTTCCAACCGGTTGGGACGCGAAGAGATATGGTATCCCCGATGATATCATTGAGCAAGTCGACCCGGTCACGTTGTTCGTTCTCGTGTGCACTGCGGAGTCTATGCTTTCAGCGGGTATCACCGACCCGTACGAATTCTACAAGTACGTTCATCTCTCGGAGGTCGGTAACTGCATCGGTTCTGGTATCGGAGGAACACATGCCTTGCGGGGGATGTATAAGGACCGCTACCTGGACAAGCCTCTCCAGAAAGACATCCTCCAGGAATCTTTTATCAATACCATGAGTGCGTGGGTCAACATGCTCCTCCTGTCCTCCACAGGACCTATTAAGACGCCCGTTGGTGCTTGTGCTACGGCCGTTGAGTCCGTTGACATCGGTTATGAGACGATCGTGGAAGGAAAGGCTCGCGTCTGTTTCGTCGGTGGCTTTGACGATTTCCAGGAAGAGGGCTCATATGAATTCGCCAACATGAAGGCTACCAGCAACGCGGAGGACGAATTCGCCCACGGTCGCACTCCGCAGGAAATGTCTCGACCAACGACAACTACTCGTGCTGGGTTCATGGAATCACAGGGCTGTGGAATGCAGCTCATCATGAGTGCACAGCTTGCCTTGGACATGGGTGTGCCTATTCATGGTGTCATTGCCCTGACAACCACAGCTACGGACAAGATCGGTCGCTCGGTTCCTGCTCCAGGCCAGGGTGTTCTTACCACTGCCCGTGAGAACCCCGGCAAGTTCCCTTCGCCTTTGTTGGATATCAAGTACCGCCGCCGACAGCTGGATTTGCGCAGGAAACAAATCAAGGAGTGGCAGGAATCTGAATTGCTGTATCTCCAGGAGGAGATTGGGGCCATGGAGTCCCAGAGTCCTGACTCTTTTAACGTGTCTGAATACATGCAGGAGCGAGCCCAGCATATTGAACGCGAGGCCATACGCCAAGAAAAGGACGCACAATTCAGCCTTGGAAACAACTTCTGGAAGCAGGATTCCCGCATCGCTCCCCTCCGAGGTGCTCTTGCTACGTGGGGTCTCACCGTTGATGATATTGGTGTTGCTTCCTTCCACGGCACCTCCACCGTCGCAAATGATAAGAATGAGTCCGACGTCATTTGCCAGCAGATGAAACATCTGGGCCGTCAGAAAGGCAACGCTCTCCTGGGTATCTTCCAAAAGTACCTCACGGGACATCCGAAGGGTGCGGCGGGCGCGTGGATGTTCAACGGATGCTTGCAGGTTCTGGACAGCGGTCTTGTTCCGGGTAATCGCAACGCTGATAATGTTGACAAGGTGATGGAGAAGTTTGACTACATCGTCTACCCCAGCCGCAGCATTCAGACGGATGGAATCAAGGCATTCTCGGTTACTTCCTTCGGTTTTGGCCAAAAGGGCGCTCAGGTCATTGGTATTCACCCGAAGTATTTGTACGCAGCCTTGGACCGCACCCAATTCAATGCCTACAAGACCAAGGTTGAGGCCAGGCAGAAGAAGGCATACCGTTTCTTCCATAACGGCTTGATCAACAACAGTATCTTTGTCGCCAAGAACAAAGCGCCGTACGAAGATGACCTCCAAAATAAGGTCTTCCTCAACCCCGATTACCGTGTTACCATGGACAAGAAGACCTCCGAGTTGAAATTTCCCTCAGCACCTCCCAAGCACACCGATGCAGGGGCCGAGAGCACAAGACAGATGGTCGAGTCCTTGGCGAAGGCCCATGTCGTTGACAATTCGAAGATCGGAGTAGATGTGGAGAATCTCGAGGCCGTTAACATTGACAATGAAACGTTCGTTGAGAGAAATTTCACTGCCAAGGAGGAACAATATTGCCGCCAGGCAGCATCTCCCAGGGCTTCTTTCGCTGGACGGTGGAGTGCAAAGGAGGCTGTTTTCAAATCGCTCGGCGTTTCCAGCAAAGGCGCTGGGGCTCCACTGAAAGACATTGAGATCGTGAATGACGCAACCGGGGCACCCGTGGTCAATGTAAGCTCCCACCCTCCCCCGGCTCAGGCTTTTGAAACCAAAGGAAACTAATCTCCGTTCTAGCTCCATGGCGCTGCAGCCGAGGCCGCCCAGCAGAATGGCGTCAAACAGGTTACTGTCAGCATAAGCCATACCGATTCTCAGGCTGTTGCGGTTGCGGTGTCAAAATTTTAAACTCGGTTGATGAGCAATAATGTGTTTTAGAAGATAAATGACTATGACGTGTCGAGTACAGTTAATCAATCTTTTCCCCCCTTCTTATCGTGTGCCCTGCAGACTTGCGCAAACGATGAATTAGAACAAGGTCCGTTTCTGATCTAGACCTGAGACGCGCATCAGGGCGTAGCCTTACAAGCCAGGATGGTTAAGGGGTTTGGGGATCGAATAATGTAGCAAGACCTATATTTTGCAGATCATTTGCACCTTGTTTGATTAACATGACCTTGTATACAAGTTTGCTTTCTACGCCTTGCAGATTTGGGTCTATGGAACTAGGAGTTCTAAGACACCCTCGGTTGCATGGAAGATGGCAAAGAAAGAAGCCGCTTGTCTAGATACATCGTCAGTAACAACAGAAGACTTCTATCCCGGCCCTTATCCTTTCTATCTTTCTTTTTTGCTTTATCTTCGACCACCACCAGATGCCCGGTTCAGAGGACCCCAATTGGCCCGAGGATTGATCTGGTATCTAACTAGCCGCTTTCTACCAGATGCTTTTTTAGCCAAGCCTTCGTCGAAGATCACCGGCGCTGCTTTGTTTGGCGACGTTCGCGGGTCTACTTCTCCAGTTGTCTCTGCCGAATCCTTCTGTGGCTGTCGAGATCCTAAGCGATACAATGCAGCCTCCACCCTGGTTACCAAGTCGGATATATCTTTCCCGCCCTCAGCAGCGGAAAGGACTTCTCGTTTGAAAAGATCTAACAGCTGATCTTGATCAGCGCTCTGCGGGATCTCTCGACTCTTGGCCATAATGGTTGCACCAGCACTCCCAGGTTTGAGGGCACCCTCCTTGATGGGAGACTTTTGTCTCACCCATTCTCTCATGACTTCCCAGATGATGGTCCAAGGGGCATCAGTGCGCACTGTGTTAGGTTTCGCATGACTACGAGTGGTCCGATAGCCCATATGTCGAAGCGCCCCGCAGAAGGCGTCGTATGGAACAGTTGACGTGTGCAGGACCTTTGCCAGAACATTGAGGTTGAAATAGAAGGGGTGCGGTTCGCGGAGAGCTGGATCCATTCGGGCGACGATAGCCACTGGGTGCTCTTGCGGTGAGTCGGTACTATTGGCATCGGCAGGCTCTGGAGACAAACTTTCCGCGGAATCGCTGAGACTCAGGTCCTCCTCGAGGGCTGTGATTAGCATGCCTTCAAGCCGGCCCAAGGTTTGGTATGTTTCTGTATTGGCACCAGGAAGCATGTCAAGAATCTTCTGGATGTACTGGGGGTTGTGAAGAGGTCCGGCCCACATTGGCCCGCCCACATGTGTCTTGGACCCACAATGTTCACAGTGAGTCCCTGCAACCGGCCCCTGTGCAAACCCATAGTGGTAGAAAGGGTTCCCTTTTCTATCGAGTTTCTGTTTCGTCTGGGTTAAAGGCTGTGTTGACCAAGCCCCGCACCCCGAATCGCAATTGAAAACCAACATCGTGTTTCCCGAAGCAAACTTTACCTCGGCCGGAGAGCGATGAACCCGAACAAAAACCCTAGCGTAGAAATCAATCGATAAGGACAAGAGCGGCTCGATTGATAGCCCATATCTGGCAGCAGACGTCGCCAGTCCGTGGAGGATCAGGCGCAACCCAGCCTCATGGGAATGCGAACCCTTTGACGGCACGCCGCCATATAAGGCAAAGCATTTCTCTGGGTATCCGTTTGAAGCCCACACGGCAGCATCGGTGCAGGTCACGCAGAGTAACCCTCCGTCCTTCACTCCCTGGACCGCCGCATCCATGAAGGGCGCAGCCGTGCCGTAGGGGTCAAGATCGATGACGTCGAACCTACCAGAGGGTGATGCATTGTTCTGCATGCTGGTCGCGTGGGGTATGTTATACATATAAGCCCGAGCATCGCCAATGTTTGGCTGGATAAGCTTTCCTAGCCCATTGTACTCGATATTGGTCTTCATGGCCTCGATGGCGGAAGGCGACAGATCATTGGCAACCACCCGGGTGGTAAAAGGAATTTCCGAGGCATATCGAAGTGCTCGTAAGCCGGTGGCCGAGAGCGCATCTAGAATCGTAAATGACGGCGAGTTACTTGGGCCCGCGTGCGTCCCCGAGTCCGGCAGGTCCTCTTTGCTGGTAGGGCCTTCGGTATCTGGGTCGTCCCTCTTTCGCTTTTTCCCATTTGCGCCGCAATCCCGTGTCTCTTTCTGCCTCCTCTTGTCGGCCCTTTGTTTCCTCGAGGCCAGCACGTGTTCGCCGTAGGCCTTAATTGCAAGCACGCTCAGATCGCGATTAAACTGTTGTATCGGGTTATAGAACACGGACTGGGCCTCATCATCAACCTTGAGATCTTTTTTTGTCCCCTTGGAGGCTGCATCCTCTGCGGGTGCGTTCAAGATGAAAGCCAGTCCCTCTTTCACTGCTCTGTATTCTTTGCCATCATATTGGACGTGATCGTCGGAAATCCGCGGTTGAGAAGATTCCTCCATTCTGAGGGAGGGAGAATAGAAGTGGCGTAACGATTGTCGGTTTAAGCGACAGCAAGGAGAAAGAGGAATGCTTTTAGGCAATAGAATGGCGAGGAAGACGTTGCGATCAAGGAAGCCGGGTGCACGAGAAAAAGTCCAGATATTCTTTAGGCCCATCGACTATCCGGTAGACGTCAAAAGGAAGAGAGGGGGGGGAAGAAAAGAAAAAAAAGAGACGGCCTATCTCATCAGCCAGGGACGGTTCAGGAAACCAGAAGAGAGTACAGGAGAAGAAGAGGGGAGTAAAATGGACTTCAAAAAAATGTTGCTGTCAATCGACCAATCGAGAAAAAAAAAAAAAAAAAAAAAAAAGAGCCGCAATGCACGGGCCAGGCGGCGTCGGCCTGACGGCCTGGAATCGGGGGCATCGGATCGGTGGACCCTTTTATTGTCGGTGATTATTTACGGGGAGTACTATTAACTATTATACAACAACACATTCTGGCGCCCCTTTTACAGCCAGGACCCAATAATGGGTACTCGGTTGTATATCTCATTCCAGCCGTTGACCTCCCATCCAGATCCTTGTTCTGAGCGCCCTACAATCCCCAAGGCTCCTGCCAACCAGATGGAGGCTCCCACCGCTGCGAGGCCATTGACTGTCCACCACATCTTCCTCTGCCTCCTGGATCGCTGCTCGTTTTCAGGTTGTTTGAGATAGCCCTCGAGCGAGCCCTTCTTATGCATTCGTTCTCTCCGCACTGTCGTCACCCTCCACCCCATCCAAGCGGCCCACCCTCCAATGATATGCCAGACCCCGACAGCGACAAGCGCCAGGTAATAGGCGTTCCAGAAAACTGGATTTCGGGTAAACGCATGCGCTACGTAGCCTAAGCCCACACCAGAGCTACCCCCGTCATGTATCAGCGGCGCGACACGATTGACCAGGACATGGAAGCCAAGCAATGGGACCAAGGCATAGCCGAGTTGTGCCTGTAGGCTGACGCGTGGCCAGAAACTCAACATAGACCTCTGCGACCTAGATTCTACACCGTACAGCCGAGCGCGACGAGAGGAGCGAATGCTGCGGAGAGCAATCCCCGAGGCCACGTGCACTAGACCGGGGATTGTGAGGACTAGATGCTCAAGCGAGGGAGCCTGGTAGACCGGCCGCGTTAGAAGAAGGTAGGTATCGCTATCAGGCACTGAGCGAGTCGCAAGGGGAATCAGGGATGTGTTGGCGAAATGCAGCAGCAGGAATAGTGTCGGCGGGTATGTCGAGTATTTCTGGAGTGCAGATACTGGAAGGACATGAGTGCTTTTGCCCAACCCGGAAGGAGGAATGCGACCAAGAATGGAAGTGTAGGAGGGGTCTCTGCGTACACCAAGAATCCCAGTTATATCCGCGCAGCCCAAGGTTTGTGGCCGGGATGTTGCTCGGGGACCTGTTGAGCGACGCAGGCCTAAGGTCATGCAGGTCGGGGGTTTGCATGCCATTTTCAAGGTCCGGAAACTCCTCCTGCACCGGAGATGGATCTAGTTCTTGTAGGGAGAACATCGAGCGAGCATCGACGTCGTCGAGTTTCCGAGGGCCATTTTCTTCGGCGGAAGACATGTCTGATGGCAGAGGAAGGCAGTGATAGCGACCTATTGATGCTATAGAATTCTTTCAATCGGGCCGCCGTGATTGGTCAATTGGAGGGCACTCACTCGGGGAACCTCTGGATCAGCGAGTCGGTCGGGGCAGGCGTCTCGGGCGACTTGCACCGTACTCCCTCCACGAATAGTAGCCACTTAGACGAAGCACGGAGTAAGATAGTCACTTACGCCGCATACCGAACACTCCGGAGGAGCGAAATGCAGGCCAACGCAAAGTCTGGGCGGTGCGGTTCTGCCAGCAGAAACACCAGGCCGCCTTCGGTTCCCGCCGATGCTGGAGGCAAGCAATTACATGCATATACTGCGTATATATATATATCCTGAAAGCTCTCCCTGGACAGTGTCTGAGCGCTGACCTCCGCCCTCTGCAATCAAGATGGCACCCGTATGTCTGCGCTTTCTCGTGTCCTTTAACACCCGCTGGTGGCGTTGCTAACTTGCCCCGTGTCTTTGTGATACAGCGAGGATTTATCAATCCGACTCCCAAGGTACCACCACCATCTCCTCCAATCGACAGGGGCCCGGCTGATCGCTGAAACCGTACCCAGACCGAGTCTGCACGCTCTGCCTTGAGCTCTTTTACCTGCACCCTTTGCAATAAGTCCTATTCCCGCCATCCAGAATACGAGGCGCATATCTCTTCATATGACCATCAGCATCGCAAACGTCTCCAGGACCTGAAACAGTTGTCGCGAGACCCAAATGCCGCCGAGAAGGCAAGGCGAGCAGAGAAAAAAGTCGATGCAGAGGCTGGCCTAAGGGTAATCGATACTAATAGGGATGGGGCATCCCTAGGGACAGGAACGGTGGGTGGCGGAGGCGGCGGCGTCAGCAGTGCCGGAGGCTTCAAGAAAGGCGGGTTCAAAAGCTCCTTTACAGCCGTCAAGGGCCCCGTAGCACCCACAGCACCGACTAGGAAAAATGTGCTTGGGGATGACGACGACGACGACGACGACGACGAACATCCAGACCTTGCCGAAACAGGCGAACGAGCTGAGGCTCAATCGCCTGGTCCCGCTGGCGGTATTCGGCACGAGTCTGCAGAAAGTGACACGGACGAAGAGATTATGCATAACAAGGTGGGCGGTGACTACTACGACCCCCGAAGACCGACCGATTGTTGGCCCGAGTGTGTCGGTGCTAGAACTGTCGAGGCTACCTCTCCATTGCAATAAAGAAAGCCCGGGTCCATCTGGAAAAGACCGAAGCTTACGCGGCCGGGTGATTCACAAGCCTGGGGGTGTTACGAACTGGTTTCAAACCTCCAAAAAGTCGGATCTACTTTCTTCGGTGTAAAATTGCTGGCTTGACGACATTCGTCTGGCGGCATATGTATCATTGGCTGCTGGATGACAAAACAAATCCACCCCCAAGAAGCGAACTCCTTGGTGTGGTGCTTGCATATGACCGTATCAAAAATGCCTCTCACCAAGTATCTGCGAACACTCCTCGTTCCTGAATCTATAGATGCAAATTGTGAATTGATTCTTTAGTGTAGTTGTACAGATTCCCAAAAATGAAGTGGAAAAGGAAAATAAAAAGGAAAAATAAGGCCTTGGCGAGGGATTTCAAAAGGGGGCTGGGGGAAAACAGATGAGTGCGACAGTCAAAAGGGTACTAAACAGGTCGGTTTTATTTTAGGTCTTGCTTGAACTTGGCCCGCTTGTCGCTCGAGTCAAGGTCGAATTACAAACGAAGCAGCTTGGCAGCCTGGCCGACAATCGTATCCTCTTGAGGGAAACTCATCTGCTCGAGACCAAGGGCATAAGGAGTAGGCACCTCGGCACCGGTGACACGAAGAGCAGGGGCAGTCAGGTAGTCGAAGCCATACTCCATGGACAGGGCCAAGATTTCGGAGGAGACGCCAAACATGGGGAATCCAGACTCGACAGACATGAGTCGGCCGGTCTTCTTGAGCGATTGGATGATGGTCTCCACGTCCAAGGGCTTAACGGAGCGCAAGTTGATCACTTCGGCTTCAACTCCGTACTTCTGCTTCAGCGTGGCCGCGGCGTCGAGGGACTGCCCAACGCAGCGGGACAGGGAAACAATGGTCAGGTCCTTGCCGGGACGCTCGATCTTCGCCTTGCCAATGGGCAGAACGAAGTCGTCCTTCTGCGACGCCTCACTCATAGGGAAGGCCTGGCCGTACATAAGCCTGCAAAACAATCAGTCTCAAAGGGTTCCTTTTTTATCTTTATTCTTTTCCTTCGCTCGATCTTTGCAGATTGGGCGTATTTGATCCATGGTCACACGTACTCGTTCTCCAAAACCACGACCGGGTTGGGGTCACGGATAGCAGCCTTCAACAAGCCCTTGGCATCCTCAGAGCTCCAGGGTGCAACGACCTTCAGGCCGGGGATGCTGCCATACCACGCCGAGTAATCCTGCGAGTGCTGGGCAGCGACACCAGCGGCGAATCCATTGGGCCCACGGAACGTGATGTTGCAGGGCTGGATGCCTCCAGACATATAGTGAGTCTTCGCAGCCGAGTTGATGATCTGATCAATGGCCTGCATGGCAAAGTTGAAGGTCATGAACTCGCACTACCCAAAGGACCCTCTGATTAGCTCCGGAACAATTCTTCGGCGGAATCCGTGGGCAGCCGTCTGAGACGAGTGAAGAAACAAACTTACAATGGGGTGTAGCCCAGCAAGAGCGGAACCGACTGCCAGACCGCAAAAGCCGGCTTCCGTGATGGGCGTATCGATGACTCGCTTGGGGCCAAATCGGTCCAACAGGCCCCTTGTGACCTTGTAGCTGTAAAGAGGACGAGTATCAGAATGGCGAACCTATGTTCCTATGTTGGGTGCGTGGTGGGAACGGGGATTCATACGCTCCGTTGTACTGTGCAACTTCCTCTCCGAGAATGTACGTCTTCTTGTTGCTCTCCAGCTCCTCAGCGAGGGCCTCGTTCAGGGCATCTCGCACGGTGACCTCCTTGGAGCCGCCGGCCGTGGCATAGCCCCGGAAGCGCAGGATTGAAGGGGCACAGGCCGATTGCGTGAAGGCCGGACGGAACGAGGCCGACGAAAGGCGCGAAGAGAGCAGGCGAGCTGCGGGGCGGAAAACTCGAGGAGCAGTCATGGCCGGACGGGAGAGATGGAGATGAGGGGAGGGGTGGTGATGCAGATTGATAGAGAGAGGACGAGAAAAGGCACCGGGTTCGCGACTCCGTCTTCCGTCAACGAGTTTTTGGTGAGCGGCCGGAGTCTGTTGGGTGGCCGCTGACTAAGACGGGGACTCACCGGCGGCTTCTTCCGTCCGGCCATGCCTTATCAGTTGTCCGCCAGTGACTTCGTCCCGTCCAGCGTCCCTCGTCCTCCCTCCAGGATGCTGCCTCCTTCCATCCTCCTCTGCGGCTCGCTCGCCGCCTCGCTCGTCCTCGCCAGTCAGTCCGCCGCCCCAGACCCGATCCCCGCCCCCCTGCGCGCCTTGAAATGGGGCCAGCTGAACTTCCTTCACACCACCGACACCCATGGCTGGCTGGCCGGCCATCTGCAGGAGTACGACCGTGAAGCTCTTCTGGCCTTCTTTCCCCTGGTTCCGTGCTGATCCACTCCCGCCTACAGACCATCCTACGCCGCAGACTGGGGTGACTATGTCTCCTTCGCCACCCGCATGCGGGAGAAGGCGAAGGCCCAGGGCGTGGATCTGCTGGTGATCGATACGGGCGATCGAGTAGAAGGCAACGGTCTCTACGACTCCTCCGAGCCGAAAGGTGTTTACATCTCGGACATTCTACGTCAACAGCAGGTCGACCTCATGACTGCCGGAAACCACGAGTTGTACAAGCGGAATACCTCCGAGGCCGAGTTCTTCACCACGGTCGTCAACTTTCATGGGAACTACCTGGCATCGAACATCGACATCTTGCATCCTGTGACTGGCGATCTCGTGCCACTGGCTCCCCGCTTCAAGAAATTCACTACCGAGAACCAGCGCATCAGCATCGTTGCCTTTGGCTTCCTATTTGACTTCACCAAGAACGATAACAATACCGTGGTTTATCCCGTGCACCAGACCGTCAAGGAGGATTGGTTTCAGGAGGCCATCCGGGATCCCGACGTTGATCTCTTCCTCGTGACAGGCCATGTGCCCGTTCACTCGCAAGAATACAGAACCATCTTCAAGGCGATTAGATCTGTGCGTTGGGACACGCCGATCCAATTCTTCGGAGGCCATTATCATATTCGTGATTTTGCACGGTATGACTCGAGAGCCTATGGCCTGGCAAGTGGGCGTTTTATGGAAACCATCGGGTTCATGTCCATAGACGGTCTGTCTGCCAATAAGCAACAGGAGACGTCGGTCTTGAGCACTCCCAGCTTTCAGCGACGATATATTGATAACAATCTTTTCTCCTTTCTTTATCACACCGACCTCGATAGTGAATCCTTCCACACGGATCTTGGCCAGAATGTCTCGCGGTTGATTCAAGAGTCCAGAAGTGCACTGCAGCTGGACGAGGTGCATGGGTGTTCCCCTCGTGATCTATGGATGTCCCGGGTCAAATATCCGAGCGAGGAGAATATCTACACTTGGCTTGAAACGCAAGTTCTTCCCCAGTCTTTGAGGGACGAATCTCGTGCGGGAAAGCCAGCCCTCGCTATTGTCAACACCGGCGCCATACGCTTTGATATATTCAAGGGTCCCTTTACCCAGGACACCACCTTTATAGTTTCCCCGTTCACCAGTGGTTTCCGATACGTGAAAGATGTTCCCTATGAAAAAGCCAAACTTGTTCTCGAGGTCCTGAACAAGCAACCGCAGATATTCATTGATTTCGCTGATCAAACCAATCTAACATGGTCTCTTGCCCCGCCCGAACGATCGGCATATAGTGCTGATGTGGTGGTCAATGATGAGAAGCTCCTCCCATACAGCGCACTGACAGATCAAGTCTCTGCGTTGGGTGGCGCCGGGTCCAAGCCTAAGATCCTGCCTGGATATACCACCACTGACGACGGAGGTACAGACGGCGACGACACCATCCACTCCCCCATCCCCTTTTATCGTATGCCAAACTGCATCCAGGCCCATGTATCACTGAACGCCTCGTCCACCCCGGATCATGTGGATCTTGTATACATTGATTTTATAGAGTCCTATGTGGCTTTGGCAGCCAAATTCGCAGACATTGATGCTGATTTTTCGCGCGACAGCGATGTGTATATGCCACCCATGACACTGACAAGCCTTATTTTGAAATGGGTGAAAGAGAACTGGAGTTGTGCTGGCCTGTGATGCTATGTGTGCGCCCCCCTGTTCTTGCTCAGCGTGATCGATGGGTTATTGCTACGGGATACCCGAGAACGACTAGAACGATAGATTGAGTGTAGTACAGCAATATACAAACGTTATGATCACCTCTTAATCAGTCTCCGCCCTCAAACTTGAGAAGGCCCTTCCCATCGCGGTAGCCACTCAGAGTCTCCTGAACTCCTGCCGTGAGGGCAGAGCCCTCCGTCTCCCAGCTCCATCGAATCTCATCCACGGGGATGTCCTTGAACCTACCGGAGCGAGTCAGTTGGAGAACATCGTTGATGGTGTTTTCCTTCAGTTGGGGGTTCTTGTCTCCCCACTTGCTAACCCAAAAACCATCAAATGCCAGGTTCTTGAAAATGAGAAGCCCCGAGGGCAGGGAGACGGGCTGTTTCGACATGGCCCCGTAGGTGACCAGATGTGAGCCCGGAGCGAGCGTTTTCGCCAACGCCGTCGCGCTTTTACCCCCCACGCAGTTAAGAGCCAACCGGATGGGCTCCTTGCCGTTACGGGTGAGCTCATTCACTTGGTTCTTGAATCCACCCGAAAGCAGCTCGGCCTCAGTAACCACGGCAGTCGCCCCCAGTTCCCGCAGCTCTTGCCTGAGAGCCTCCGTCTTCTCCGGGGTTTCCCTCTCCCGAACAACGTTGAGGGTTTTGATGCCCCATTCCCGCGCCAACTGGATGGCAGCGCGACCGACCCCACTGTTGGCACCGTTCTGAATGAGCCATTCTTCGCCGGTACGCATCCAGTCCCAATTGCAGAAATCCTTGATCATCCGGTACGCCGTGACGGGGTTCACGCTGACCGTACTGATCTGCAGCGGAGACAAGCCGTCCTTGTTTGCAATCCTAATCAACTGCGACTCATCCATCTGTGCATGTGTCCGCCAGGTTCCCTGGCCGGTCTGCTTCATAACAACCCAATCCCCCTTGCTCAGGTTCTTGACATTCGCCCCCGTGGCAATGACCTCGAAGGCGCCTTCGTTACCCGCGACAGCCGATGGTTCCGACGTGCCCAGCGTTGACTGGAACGGCGGCTTGCTCGGGTACACCCCCTGAATTTGGTTTACGTCGGCCGGGTTCAGCGGCGCAGCAAGAAGGCGAAGCGTGACCTGAGACCCGTGCGGGGGGGATATAGAATGCTTATGAAGCCTCCATAGATTCCGAGGGTCAGCTTGTCTGGTCTGGGATGGTCGCACGCCAAATGGGTTTTGGTAGCGTAACAAACTCCGCGGGGAGCACTCACTGTAGGACGTCCTTTGGCTCTCCATATCGAGAATACACCAGTGCCTTCGCTTGCGTGTAGCCATAGACCGCAATGAATCGCTTTCCTCCCATGAAAGCATTGGGCAGAGGTCCGCAGCATGGACCAGCAGCCGTCGAGACCAAAGGGGAGGCCGCTCGAGCTTTCAGCGACAGAATCGCATTGCTGCGGGAGGTCGTAACCGTAGATCGGACCGCGGTGCGGGAGAACATGGGGATGGCAGTTGAACAGTCTGGAGAAGTGAAGAGGATCGAGGGCGGGAGGGAACGAGGAGGAGCCTAGAAGGGCAGCTCGTCTGGCGTTAGTTCAAACGAAAATCCAGATGACGTCGGTCGTTCCCCCGTCGGGCCGGCGGAGACCAACCAACGACCAGCGGACGCAACCGGCTGTGCTGTGTACGTGAGGAGCTATTAATCCCCTGGAAAGATGGTGGATATCACCGCAGTGTAGATCGCCAGATGCTTTGAAGGGGTGTTCCGGAGTAGTTAACTGGAGGTACTCCGTGTGCAGGCAAGAGAGAGACCGGCCTGAGCAGCACAGGACTCGTTATTAAGCACGAGTCGCGTCTTCCGCCGGCCTTCCTTGGGCCTTCTTTCTTCCTCCCATCGTCCATCCCCGCCTCTTCTCAATGTCCCTCTTGCGCGAGGCCGAAAGGTATCTCGCCAAACAACAGTCCCAAGCTGCCCTCAATGCCTTTATAACTCATTTGCAGCCCTCGGGCCCGTGGCTGGACCGCGTCAAGGCCGCCGATCGTCGCCGAGAGCAAGGTTTGCGATTTGTCCCAACTCCCCCCGTCTTGCTCTATGCAGCTAACCCAGGGCGCCCTTCTGTTTCAGGAACGTCAAAATCCCGTGTGGACGGCCAGTTGATCTCCGTGAAAGATAACATATGCACTCGCGACTTCCCGACGACATGTGCCTCAGGAATTTTAGACCGATTCGCCAGCCCATCGAACGCGACAGTCATCGAGCAATTGGAGAGCGCCGGGGCCATCGTGGCGGGGAAAACGAATCTTGATGAGTTTGGCATGGGATCCCATTCCATCCATTCGCATTTCGGTCCGGTTGGGGACCGGTGCAACGCAGAAACCCTGTCTGCTGGTGGCAGTTCGGGGGGCAGTGCCGTTGCCGTCGCCACGAACCAATGTTATGCGTATGTCAGTCGCAAAGTCAACCTATACTGAAATGTTTGCTGAAAAGGAACTGGTGCCTGGCCTCTAGAGCTTTGGGGACCGACACGGGTGGCTCGGTTCGGCTTCCTGCCGCGTACACGGGGACGGTTGGCTTCAAGCCTTCTTATGGACTCGTCTCCCGATGGGGTGTGATTGCCTATGCTAACTCGCTGGATACTGTTGGCATCCTGGGGAAGAATGTAACCAGTACCCGTGAGATCTTTCGTAGGTCTTCCGTCCTTCGCCCTCTCTCGAAGACTCGCACTGATCGGCGTCAGATATTTTGAACCAACACGACCCGCGCGACCCGACAAGTCTCTCCCCGGCCTCGCGTTCTCGGATATTTTCACATTTAGATACCCCGTCTCTTGCATCTCGAATGAAGTCCATCCCTTTGAAGATCGGCGTGCCTGCTGAGTATAACATCTCGGAACTTGCTCCTTCGATTCGCCAGGCTTGGACACGCTCTCTGGCCTACATGCAACGGCAGGGGCATACCATCCACTCGGTTTCTCTTCCAGCTACCAAACTGGCATTGTCTGCATATTATGTACTTGCGCCTGCCGAGGCATCCTCGAACCTGGCAAAGTATGATGGTGTCAGATATGGGACTCGCGCTGCTCCCGGTGGTGGCGCACAACCGGATGATTACCTGTATGCCACGACTAGGGGTGATGGGTTTGGCAGCGAGGTTAAGAGAAGGATTCTGCTCGGGGCATTCAGTCTGAGTGCCGACGCAATTGACAATTATTTCATACAGGCTCAGCGCATTCGGCGACTCGTTCAGCATGATTTCAATGCGGTTTTCGGTGCGGAGCAGCCCTTAGCTCCTCGTCAAACCGAGTCCGACCCTAGACCAGAAACCTTTGGTGTAGATGTTCTAATGTGCCCGACTGTACCGTCAACCCCACCTCGCATATCCGACTTGTTGGAAGGTGATACGACGGTATCCCCTTTAGATGCGTACACGAATGATGTCTTTACCGTGCCTGCAAGTCTAGCTGGTCTCCCAGCATTGTCCGTCCCAGTCACTGTGGACGAAGGCATCGAATCTACCGGGATTCAGATAATTGGCCAGTACGGCGACGATGAGCTGGTGTTGAGAGTGGGGGGGTTGTTGTTGGAAGGAAAAGATCTCCGACCAGTCTCTTGATGTATAAAACACCCGGAATGCATATAGTTTGATCACGGAGTCACTTCGGTTTAATCTGATATCATAGCCACGCGAATGTCTTGCGGGGTTTAATGTTCTTTTTGTTTATTTGACATCCATTTCAACGGGCCATAACTGGTTTACATCGATGGAGAGCATATTAAATCCCAAGGGGTTAAAAAATAATAGCCGGTTGAAGCTTTATTATACCCGAAGCTGAATGAATCACTCGCGTGAGCCTATCTGCAAAAGAGTCTCATACTTCGAACGGTATGTGGCCTTAATATATCTCTCTGGAAAATCAAGACATTTCAATATCTTCACCAATAGTCGTATTTTCTGGCACAGTCGAGGGCGTTGCCGCATGGGGCGTGTCTGCGGTGTCGACATTCATTGTACTGTCGAATGTGATATGGCCAGGGCCCAGTCCAGGATCTAGCTCTGGTACCTCGCTGGTTCCTTCTGGGACTGCGTTCTCGATAGTTGCGGGTTCAAGCTTGGAACTCGATGCCAAGGCAGATTCATATGCTGCCCCGACGCCCGCCTTGAGGACTTCAGAGCCCCCTACCGGTCCAGAACTGGAACCATCCATCTCAGAATTACCGACAATATCGCCATCAACACCGCCCCACAGGAGCATTGCTTCGACCTCGTCAACAACATCAGCCACGACGTCCTCCGCTATTTGTTCGTTGAACCGGTCCCCAATAGCTCGAATAGGCGCTCCACTCTCCGTGTGAGAAGGTGGGCCAAACCACCAGGGACCTTCGAAGCGGCATTCAACTGCACCACCGCCGTAACAGCTCACGGCAGGATAGTAGCCAATCATCCCATCGTCTGCGTTCTCCCGCTCTCCGAGTCCAAGGTTATTGGTGCCATTAGCAAGACGACTGGCCGGGGGAAGGAAAGCGTATAGTTCTTTGAAAGGCGTGCCCATTTTGACACCATTTTTGAATATCGTGATGCTCGAACCGGGGAGTGTCCGCAAAGATGCATCCTCCGAGTTCAGTGGAGATGGTGGCCCGAATGTTGGGGTTTCTTTAAGATTGAAGGCATAGTCGCGCAAGTGTTTCGTAGGGAACACATTCGATTGTTGCCAGCAAAAGTCGGATTTATAGTGGAATGGAATTCGATCACGAATGATGTTGACAGCCGAAGGTGCTTCTGCGTTCGGCGCGCTGTTGTCGTCGGTGGCTGGATCATAGGTCCCTTCAACTATTTTCTTATGGAGCGAAAGAGGCGGAAGGGAAATGAGCATTCCAATGACATCGCCTTCCCGGATTGCCTCGCCCTTTGGGAAAAAATACTCGCAGCGCATTCGATTCACTACTTCGCCGTTCACATCCCGAATGCCGTAACCATAACAATCAACACCAACGTTCACGTCGACATCCGCCTCTCGCCTAGCGAACCCCAGACGCACGTGGCCCCTCGAAGATCGTCCAAGACTTCCGCTAGAAGGGTCGGTGTTTATATCGCTTACCACGCCGCTAATTATACGGGCTTCGTAGTAGAAATTCCCTTCCCGTGCGCAAACGTTGGCGCGGGCGGTGTGCCATGGATCATTGGTTGTGACTGCAAGCGCATCCTCGCTGAAGAGAATCGCTGCTGGAGAATCTTCGAAACTAAACCGTGCCTGGTACGGACGAACATCGGTCTGACGGTATTTAATATGAGGGAAACCCGGGTCAGCAATGGCATAGCCATAACGAAACCCGTTCTTATTAGTGAGCTTGTCAACAACCTCATAGAAGGCCCGAATCTGCCCAGTCACATCTGAGGCTTTCTTATCCACGAGATTCAGTTGACGAGGCTGGGGAGGGAGAAGATCTGATGGTCGAGGTTCAGCGAGCAACAACGGTCGAAGGATATTCAGTTCCGAACTGGTAAGGGCCGTATTTTGGACAGCCACTGCTTTCTTTTTGGGGGGGTTTTCTTGGTCCATCCCCTTCGCCTCACGTTTCTTGCGACTGTCACGTTTATTGCGCTTTGACCTTGCAGTATCAGCCTGGGCTGATGCATTTCCTTGTGATACAGGCGATGATCTCGCATTCGCGTCAGACAGTGTCCCATTCAAAAGGGGTGTGCCACTGGGCGGCAAAATTGGTGAGTTTATGTTAGACGAGGGCGCAGAAGACCCTGCTGGGTTTGCTGATGCCATGACGCGTAAATGTTGTGAGAAGTAAGGTATTGAAATCCTTTGGGGTAGTTAAAGCGGAATAAATTGGTTGGAATACCGTCACGGCAAACGAGAAGAAACTGGGGTCGGATTAATGCTGGCAATCCCATGGCATGAAACCACAGAGAAACACGAGTTTTACCCTCCGCACTGCACTGGCGCGGGATGTTAGATATTATTATCGTGGCTGCACGAAAGAACGACCAGGGAAAGGCTAGATAAAGAAAGGTCTTACACTACCCAACAGATACGGGAGTATAGACCGCCTGCTGTTCATGTGCCCTGTCACGTGACTGTGGGACGACCAAAAAACGACAGCTGCAGGATTCGAACCTGCGCACTCGAAAGTACACGCTCACGAAATAGCAGGCGTGCGCCTTAACCACTCGGCCAAACTGTCTCTTGTGTAACACTCGCCGAAGAAAAGAAAACCGACACCGGACGGAAAACCGATGATATATCTATTGGCGCTGTCGAGTTTCGGTTTTGCAGTCTTGGGGAGTAGCCTGCGGAGCCACTGCGGAACGTTGGTGAGGCCTATGATTAGTAGGTACTGGATGGGCACGAGAAGAGGAGGGACGTATATTCAACCTCCAAAGCGATTCACTTGTTCGGTTCTGCGTCGGAAGTAACCAGAAACAAGGACTAGCGCGGCGATCCAAAGGGATAGATAATATTGACGAAGCTATCAAATGAATGCATGCCTCCAATGATTCGATAATTGATGGTCAAGCCATGGGGGTTGAATACCGGAAAGGGAGTAATTAAGCGGTGAAACTCTTGGGCTGGCTCATCCGTGCGCTAACTGCCCATGTATAGGGTGGTGATATGAGATGATACTTGAAGAAACAAGTTCAGACTGTCTTCTTGATTAGTGCTCTGGGCTTTGGTGGCAACAATAATCATAACCACGCACTAGGACGGAAGGCAGTAACAATGTACGGAGTTTTGGAAATATAGTCCATGGATCCAGCAAGACTATCAGCCGGTACCGACTCGCTCGTCCTTTGTTGATAGTGGCCACGCCGGGAAGCCATTGTCCGTCTGTTTTTATTCACTTCTGTTCTCTCTTCTCTGTACCGCTTGTTCGCATTGGAGGAAAGAACTGGGTTTCCTTGGACGATGCTAAATGTTGTTGTCCCCCGTACATCGGCCATGGGAAGAAAGCCATGTCAAGAGAAGAGATAGTGTGTATAAAGAGGGAAAGCATAAGTACTTCCCCAACAATGACCACATCTTAATTGATATATATAGAGTAATTAGAAAAGGGAGCGGAGCTATTGAAGATAAAAAATAAGTAATCCCGACAGCTGCAGGATTCGAACCTGCGCACTCGAAAGTACACGCTCACGAAATAGCAGGCGTGCGCCTTAACCACTCGGCCAAACTGTCTTACGTGATGGGATCCGAGAATAATATCAAATGGTAGCCAAACTAATGGGTACCATAAATATCTACTTGGGCATGTAGTTAGCCATCCGAGATACTGAGAGTGAAGACAATAGCAACCTGGGTCCAACCCCTCCCCGTTTTATGTATAAAAGGCGTTTTCTACATAGATAATATAGTTCATTCACTCGGCAATCACACACCCCCTTCCCTTGTTGACTGATGCCCACAAAGCCAAGGAGCTGTTGTTCGCCCTTCTATATGAGAAATCAAAGACCTGCGCTCTCATACCTCTTCCTCTCAACTCAACCCACTCCCTCCTTTTTCTCAGCCCAGTCACCTCACCCGTTTTGCGTCCTGCGTCTTTTCTCGACGCAAAGCTCTACATTGCTTTTCGAACCGAGCTCCAAAAGTGACGATTGATAACATCATGCCGTTCTATTCCAGGAATAATGACAATCCAAACAGTGCATGTCGCAATTGTGGCTCCATGAGCATCGCATCAGGAACTGTCCGCAGTTACCATGTGGGGATTGTCACAGCAAGAAGCATGAACTCGGAAATTGTCCAAAGATAAGCAATGTGAAGCTCGAGGGGACAAGAGCATGTTTGCTCGACCCACGGAGCTACAGTACGCAGTAGAACCACGAGCGGCCGATAGAGCTTGGATACTACTCCGTAGGTCGGGTAGTCTCGAGCTGGTTGATATCGGATGGCGGTGAGCGTCTTGGGACAGGATTCGTTGGTCCAGGAGCGGGCGGGGTTGTAAAGCGGTGAGTAATCTCACCAATAAATAAGAGCGCTTTCAAGGCGGTCTGCACAGAGTTCGGGCATCGGCGGGTTTAAAAAGGAAAAAAAAAAAATTCCAGGGTGGGGTCACATGATCCAAAAATTTACACACAATTTCTAGATCACGCCTGTATGAGCAAAAGCTACACGATTTGAATTCACTGGCAGGCGACCCCGCAAGATACGGCCGTGCTTTGCTGTCATACGGCAGAGATTTATCTCATCCCGATCTCGATACACTCCTTGTTTCTTCCCTCTCATAAGACGTGAGAAGGATTGTTCACCATGCCGAAAGCTACGTCTTCTCGTTCCGCTGCCGCTCGCAGGCATAACCCGTTGGCCGAAGATATCATGTCGGCGGGCCATTTGCGAACCCAATCTAGCAAGAAGGGAAAACGCAGCCCAGGGGAGGACCAGGATCAGCACGATGGCGAGCGGTTTGTCGATGCGAAAATGTCTCGGAAAATCTTGCAGATTGGGCAGGAACTGGCAGATGAGGATGCAGCTGAGCGCAGAGCGGCAATAGGATCGACTGGGGAGAACGTGAACTCGGCTTTCAACTTCGATTCTCGGTTCGAAGATAACGAAGCTTTATCAGACGACGAGGAGAAGTTTAAAGAGGACCAATGGGATGATGAAGAAGAAATCGAAGAAGTGGTATGTTAACCTATGTGTTCCTGTTCACCTTTGCTTCTATTTTCATCATACCTATTCTCTGGGAGCGTATGTCTAATTCTCCTGAAGGAGGTTGATCCGAATGACCTTGATATGTTTCACAAATTCATCCCCGGCGGCGATGAAGACCCAATCTTCAACCCTAGTGGACAAGAGTCTAATGGTCAGAGCACCAACCTGGCCGATCTCATATTGGAGAAAATTGCGGAGCACGAAGCAAAGCAGTCGGGGGATGGTGGTCCATTCATCCAGGGTGGAGGACTGCCAGAAGATGCCGTCCAGATACCGGCGAAGGCCGTTGAAGTATATGAAAAGTATGTATTTCTACGGACCGATGGAATATCCCCGCAAAGCTTCTTGGACCCAGAACTGACTGAGAACAGGGTCGGCATGATCCTTTCGCGCTACAAATCCGGACCTCTTCCCAAGCCGTTCAAGATTCTTCCTTCCGTACCCAACTGGCCGACTCTCCTTTCCATCACTCGTCCCGAGTCATGGTCCGCAAATGCTGTTTACGCCGGGACCCGAATCTTCATCTCATCCAAACCGGCTGTTGCTCAGGAGTATATCTCTACCGTCCTTCTCGACCGAGTCCGGGAAGAGATCTACGAGACCAAGAAACTTAACGTGCACACCTACAACTCGTTGAAAAAGGCACTGTACAAACCCGCCTGCTTTTTCAAGGGGTTGCTGTTCCCCCTTGTCTCTAGCGGTACCTGCACCCTGCGCGAGGCTCATATTGTCTCATCTGTCATTGCACGGGTCTCCATTCCTGTCCTGCATTCCGCCGCTGCATTACTTCGCATGTGCGATCTCTCTGCCGAACAATCTTCGCGGTCCCTGGAGAGCACGGGCGCGGTCAACATGTTTATTCGAGTCTTCCTGGAGAAGAAATACGCGCTCCCCTATAAAGTGATCGACGCCCTTGTCTTCCATTTCCTGCGCTTCCGAGCTAATGACGGCGGCGAAGATGCCATGATGACCGATGGTCCCGCCAAAATGTACAAGCTGCCTGTCCTCTGGCATCAGTCTCTGCTGGTTTTCGCCCAGCGCTACCGCAATGATATCACCGAGGATCAGCGAGAAGCGCTTCTAGATCTGCTCTTGGTTCGTGGGCATAAGGATATCGGCCCCGAAGTAAGGCGAGAACTGTTGGCTGGTCGAGGGCGAGGTGTGGTGGTACCCGACCCTGAAAAGCAAGGTGCCCTTGATGCCGGTGATGATACGATGGATGTTACGCTATAATCGATCAAATGTTCGTTTTGGGAAGGGGTTTAAATCGAAAAGTCGCATTTTCTTTTCTTTTCTTTCTTTCTTTCTTTCTTTTTTTTTTATCTTTTTTTTGTTGATCTTGGGGAACATCGTGACATGGATTTTCTGCGCACCTTTCTTTGGGTCGGGTTTTATCATGAGGTATACTACGATTGGGAGAGGCGTTAGTTCTTCGTTCTTTTCTTTTCTTTCTTCCTTTTTTTTTTTTTTTTTTCGCCCTCGCATCTTTCAAATTCAGATATACATATCTTCCAATGGCATTTATGATCGACGGCTCTGCGCAAGCTGACGAGGTGTGGTTGTAACCAACAACATTAAGGATTCAGTCTGCCCGACACCGGCTGAGGTGGGGCGCACCTCCCTTCTCAAGGCTGACGGAATAATCATGCAATTCTCCGGTTACTATTAATACATCAATACCGACCACCCAGAGTGCACACACAGGGCTACCTACGCAGTACCTACCTTACGGAGTACACTCCGTCACTACTCCGTGTTATTGGCGGTACCTTCTCCGTAGGAGTTTGTAGCGTGGGAATTCGCTGGACTCCGAAATATGCCGGAGAGTCCTCGAGTCGAAGGGGGAGTGATTCAGGGGGGGGGATAAGAATTACCAAGTCTCAGTCAGACTCTCAGGTCTCCGAGAGTGGCGGAGGGCCGACGGGGCACTTGACTCTCCGACATTCGAGACATTCGAGACCCAGCGACCGAGTGGAACCGGCGTGTCGCAGGTTGAAGAGCGGCGGCCTTGGACGGTCCAGAAAGGGCGAGCCGACGGGCGAAAATTACCGGGCGGTACCCCCTCCATACCGTCCGGGGGGGCCAAATACCCGCGCGATGAAAGGGCGCACAAAGGGGGGTCGCGGGGAATTCCAGGGCGGCCGGGTAAGATTACCGTTTCGTGGCTGACGACGGCGACTCCGCCCCCTTTACTCCTTGCCAGCTGCAAGGGGGCCGGGCGGATGTGACCACGCTGGCCTTTAAAAGAGTCGCCCCCTCCCACCTCCGTCCAGAGAAGACACTCTGGCTTCCTCTGCCTCTGACCACCTGTCCTTTCCCTCGCCTGCCCCCAATTCAGGCATCCGTTCAGGCAACCCCGAATTACCCCGTGTTCCGGGGTTGTCCACTATGACCGCCTGCCCTCCGCCTCTCTCTCGCATCTGACCCCGCCCTGCCATCTATCCATTGCAATCACTTCACCGCGCTCTCCATAACTTCTCCGTGAGACTGGTTCATCATGGAAGACGACTACTCCGTCGACTCTTTGCCCGGGACCCCCGCATCGGATGTCCCGGTGCTCACCGTCTCCCCGGCAGACACCTCGCTAGAAGATCTACTCGAAGACTCGCCCGACGTCAAGTCGGAAGAGAAGAAGCCCGCAAAGAAGAGGAAGTCGTGGGGTCAGGAACTACCAGTCCCTAAGACCAACTTGCCCCCTCGGTATGTCTCTTAACCTCCCTCCCAAAACTGGCCTGCCCCCCCCCCCCCCCCCCCCCCCGGAATTGCACGCTAACAAAAAGGTATGCAGAAAACGGGCCAAGACTGAAGACGAAAAGGAGCAGCGCCGTATTGAGCGGGTTCTTCGGAACCGCGCCGCGGCTCAGACCTCCCGCGAGCGGAAGAGGCTCGAGATGGAGAAGCTAGAAAACGAGAAGATTCAGATGGAGCAACAGAACCAGTTTCTGATGCAGAGATTGTCCCAGATGGAGACCGAGAACAATCGTCTCAACCAGCAAGTCGCCCAGTTGGCTGCCGAGGTCCGTGGCTCGCGAGCAAACACGCCGAAGCCCGGATCTCCCGCCAGTGACTCCCCGACTCTCACTCCTACCCTGTTCAAGCAGGAGCACGAAGAGCTCCCTCTTGAGCGTATCCCCTTTCCGACGCCATCCTTGACCGACTACTCCCCCACTCTGAAGCCTTCCACTCTGGCTGAGTCCTCCGACATGACACAACATCCTGCAGCGGTGTTGTGTGACCTGCAGTGTCAGTCGTTGGACTCGAAGGAGAAGGAAGCGCGCTCCCACTTTTTGACCTCGCCTCAGGCGTTCCAGGTCACGCTGCAGATGACGTTGCAGCTCCTCTTTCTGACGATGACTTCCACCGCCTATTCCACGGTGATTCGTCCGCTGAGCCAGATTCTTCAGTCTTTGAAGATGGGTTCGCCTTTGACGTTTTCGACGGCGGAGATCTATCAGCATTTCCATTTGATTCTATGGTTAATTTCGACTCCGAGCATGTCGGTCTCGAAGGCACCGAGCCGTCCGACACCCTTCCGGATGAGGCTTCTCGCAAGACTGCTAGCGTGCAACCCAGCCATGGCGCGTCCACTTCGCGATGCGACGGGCAGAGCATTGCAGCTGGCTGTTAGCGAGAACCCGTGCCGGGAGTCCGTGTCGGGGGCCGGCGCCGGAGCGACTGGCTGGACTTGGGAGTACTTATTAACCTTCGCGTGGGCGATAGACCGCCTGGAGAAGTCGGGACGACGCAAACGAATTTTGAGTGGTTTGAAATCAGCGCAAAACGGTCGGCGCAATCGGATTGGAAAGTCCCCTCGGGGTACATGGAGTTCTAGGAGTTCAACAAACAACGGCGAGACGTTGACGTCTCTGCTTATGGGCAAGGAAAGCTGAGGATTCGGTTCTGTACAGTAAAGCAAAACTATTTTTTCCCTAATATCTATTGATTTAAACCTATTCACCGAATAATAATATCTGGCACTGTCGCCGGGGTTAGCCCGGATTGTGGCACATCTTGCGTATGTCGAATACGGAGTGTATCGTCCCTACGGAAGGAAGAGAAGGCGGTCTGGATGACATTGCCACGCGCAGCCCCGCCCGTTAGTACTTTGTCTCTCAATTCCTTGCCATCGTGCTCTCCACACGAGTCCCCCGTTTTCCCGTAGGTTCATTAGGCTGCACACACTCTGTCTCCAATCCCTCGAATTTTCCTCTTTTTTATGCTACAACTATCGGCAACATGGTTCGAAAGGATCCCATCTTTGAAGCTCGTACTAATGTCAAAGTGAGTGGTCCCTTCTCTCGCCGCCTCGTCCTGTTTAACCTCCCCCCCCTTCCCCAGGCTGCTTCAACCCGGCGCCGAAACATACACTCCGTTGGCTGACTGTCTTGATTATAGTTGCACTCCAATCGACTCAAGAAAGAAGCTGCTCGTGCCGAGTCCACGTTTAAGTCCGAAAAGGCAAAGGCCGACAAGGCGATGAAGAATCGCGAATTCCAGATCGCTCGCATCCATGCCTCTTCGGCCGTACGCGAGAAACGAAGACAAGTGACACTCAGGGCAGAGGCGGCTCGTGCAGATGTTATTATCAACGAACTGAAGGCCGCACAGAGCACTCGGGACACGTCTCGCACACTTGCGCTGGCATCGCGAGGCCTAGATGCGGCGTCGAAGAGTGTCAACCTCGAGACTTTGGTGTCTCATGCCAACAACTTCCTGGCTCGCTCGGAGGATTTCAAAATCGCCAGCGGCGCGATCGAGGACGTTGCGCAGGGTGTTTCCATGCAAGAATACGGGGCGGAGGGCGAGGCGGATGTGGATCGCCTCATGGAGCAACTTGCCGACGATGCGGGTGTAGATATGCGCATGGCTTTGGAGGCCGACACGGCACCCAAAGAAGATGTCAAGGATCAAAAACAAGCCGATAGCGAGCTCGAAGATGGTCTAGGGGCACGGCTCAGAGCTCTCAGGGCCGCTAACTGAGGATCCTTTCATTGTGTTCAGCTCTCCTCGCCTTCCCCGGCCTTTTTTTTTTCCGCTCTTTGACCTACCAAAAGAAGGCAGCAGGCAAGAAGCGTGCTGTCTTATTTTCCCGTCCCATCTGTGTGACCTTGAGGCTGCACTGTCGATGCAAGCATGCCCACAATAATGATCAATGGACATTTACGAAGTTATGCCCTCGAAGTTTTACTATCCGGCGATATCATAATAGCTTCCTAATCTCATTATATCTAGAGAGCTATTTGCGTTCTGAAGTGCTTGTGGCGTTTTAAAGGAAACCTGTATTTATCTGTTGATCCGGCAGGGCTCTCTCTCTCTCGGGGTTTGAATAGAATAAACCAGAATGAAGCAAGCTTTTAAAAAAAGGAGAGGAAACATACAGTAAGATAGAGTAAGACAAAATGAATCAAAAGAAGAAATTGAGGAGAAAGCACTCCCACTAGTCACGGAGGGCCAAGTTATGATCATCGACGGTCGCACGCATCTCTGGGGGCGTCCACCGCCGGCTCCCGCGGCAAATCGCCTCTCGCGCCGGCAATGCTCGAATGGTATGTCAACCTCCGTTGCATATCTCATGATTCCTTCATATCAGAAATTGATCGACGAGTTGCAATCCTAATTGGTGAGCAGGGGCAAACCATCGCGAATGTATCATAGAGACATCGTTAGAGACTCGTGAGGAACCCATGCATGTTTCCTGTCGAGGAGATGGAGGATCCGCTGGCTGCATCCAACCTTGACAAGGCACCCCACGCTAGGCGAGCTGCATGCCTTAACTGTAGAAGGAGCAAGATCCGATGCAATCGAAGCCGAGGTGATGATGCATCTTGTGACAAATGCAAGCAGGCCAACCTAGAATGCATTGTGCCCAGTCACCATGTCGGCAGGCAAAAGGGTGTCAAAAAGTAAGGGCGGATGAATCCCCCCCCTGTCACCGTGATCCGGTATACGCTCGTTGCAATACATTAACGACCCTGGGCTTCTAGCAAACGAAAAGGTCTTGAAAAGGCGCTGCATCAGATAGAGGAGGCCATTAAGCGACCCAAGTCCGACGAGTCAGGATCCAGTGCCCCCCAGAACATCATCTCGAACCTTCAAGACCTGCTCAACAAAATACAGGGACAGCGACTACCCAGCGAGACAGACGACCCGTCCGAGGATCCCGATCGATTTCGAGCCGTTCAATCCCCTCATGAGATCAACGCTGGCGACGGACTCTCCTTGGACGATGCGGAAAACCCGCTGCAGTTGCTCGCCCGCGCATCCGACCTCCAACTATCACCTCCGAAAGCGCGTGCGACAATCAAATGGCCGTCCTTAGGCTCGGTGGAGCCTGCCGGCGCCCCCCGGGACAGCCTCGATGGCAGTCTCACTGCTGCGAGGTCCTTCTTTGTTCCCGCCAAGGCAAGGCTGGATACCGGCCCAGACATGGATCCCATTGATCTGGGGCTCGTGACTTTGCACGAGGCCGAGACGCTGTTCTCGTTGTATGTTCGAGGGAGGGAGGTCAATATCACATTCCGGACCCGGGCTGACCTCTTTCAGTTTCTATCAGAACCTGGCACATACTCGATGGGGCCTTGACCCTCTTGTTCATACGGCACAATTCGCGCGTGCCCAATCCGCTTTCCTATTTACTTCGATTATGGCGGCGGCCGCCTTGTTCATGCCTTCTGCTGCTGCACTATCCAAGAGGCTATCCAGACACTGCAAATCATTGGCCCAAATGGTCATCACTGAGCGTCTCCGGTCGGTAGAGATTGTTCTCGCGTTCATGGTGAATGTCCCGTGGATGGCCCCCGGAAGCTGTCTAGGCGATGATGATACATGCTATTACATAGCCATGGCTCTGACCGTTGCCCTAGACTTGTCCTTGAATAAGATCGTGCTTCCATCGACCAGTTTTGAAAGTAGTCTTCTCAGGAGACTGGCCAAGGCAGATAGTATCGATGCCAGGAGAGCATTGAGCATGGATGGGTTTGAAGACGTAGACCCAGCTTCCGAGTGGGGTCAGAGACTTCTGAGGAGAAGAGAAAGGGTTTGGATTGCGCTTTTTGTGCTTGAAAGAGGGTACGGTGGTCAAGTGTTGTGCTGGGAGAGCCGAGGGGAAAGAAGCATTGCATGCTGACCTTCTGAATATAGCGTTTGCTTGGCTCACGGGAGAAGTTACACGGTTCCCCCAACCTCTCTAATTAGGAACTGCGATAAATGGCATGTTTCCAACTTTGCCGACTCTCGTGATGGGCCGTTGAATTCGATGGCAGTTCTCCGTCGAAATTTGGTACGTTCTTTTCCATGCTGCAGGTACCGGTCATCGCTAACCCACGTTCTGCCACCTAGGATGAATTATTCCACAGAGTCAGGTCTAACTGCGACAGTCACCAGATCGCTGACACTGGATCCGAAGCTGCCCAATCGTACGTTCTCCTGGATAGATTACCTCGTGGATGGAACCATTCTAGGACAACATGAGCTCATGACAGGCTTTAGGATCAAAACGATGATAGAAAGCTTCTATGACAAGTGGTATGAAACCTGGGCACCGGCAATTGGAGAAGGTCAAAGTGAGTACTACTGTTCTGCTGGGGAGAAAGGAATCAATACTATACATCCACTACAGATTCATAACGCACTAACACCGTCAAACCTACTCGAAAGCACACTCTCTTCCGCCTTACGTCGAAATCTTGGTGACCCATACTCAGTTGTCAACGTATGGAGGCGTGATCAACCATCCAACGGCGCCGCTCGAAGTCAAGCGGTTCTTCCGCGCTGCTGGTCTCTCATCGGCGTTGAATGTCTTAAGGGCAGCCATCCAGGGCGAATCGCGCCTGAAATCCATGCCCAACAACACCGTGATCATGATATCGTATGCCGCCTGCTCTGCGCTCAGTCTCAGCGAGATGCCGGCAGACAGCCGGTCCAGCCTGGCCCCCAGTGTGCGGACTCTGATCGAAGAAACTGCCGGCGTCCTGGAGCGGATTGGGGCAACGCCAAACCACCGGAGCGGTGCATCCTTCCTGTACGGACGCTTCTTACGGGAGCTCGTCCGGCGGTCCCCAGGAAACCCGGGCGCTCCAGCCCCAGCGGAATCCCACGCCGTAACCTCCACCGAGAGTCTCCCGCCCCCGTCAACCCTGGATGGGTACGGCCCAATACCTTCCTCGACGCAGCAACCATTTGAAGCACCTTTGTTCTGGTCCGAGCCGCTGCAGTTCTCTGCGATGTCGGATGACCAGATCGTCGATGCCGTGAACCGAGCGGGGACGGCATTTGGAACGAGCGTTCCCGACGTGCCCCTGGACGACATGATGAATTGGGAATGGCTTGACCTTGGCAATCCCACGGATTTTAGCTTCTGAGGCGCCTTGTGCGTGCGGCGTTAGACCAGTCGTAGAGTGAGCGTGCGGCGTAAGACCGAACTCCACCCCCCACCGGTCGGCGCCCAGAAGTAGGCCCGATGGCCCGAGGGTCTGTCGTCATCTCGCCATCTCCGAATCCCTTAAACAAAACACTTGCTCCTACTTCTAGGCCGACTGCAGACTTTTCCCCCTGCGCGGCTTGTTCCCCTCTCCCATTCGTGCTCCCCCGTGATTCAATTCGATCCGTCTTGTTTCAATACCGCGGTGATGGCGACTCTCCGGGTTTCGGCGTCGGCTTGCTCGCGAAGAGCCCTGATGGTGGCTCGTCCGCAGATTCAATTGGCAACCCGTCCCCGAATATGCGCGCGGCCCTTGCTGAGATCGAAAGGGGCTGGGTATCTTGGATACTCGACCGCCGCCGCCGAACGGCCTTCGCTTGCCCCCAAAATCGACCGCAGTGCCTCGAAATTGTTCAAAAATGCCGACGAAGCCGTCGCCGATATCCAGAGCGGATCGACGATCCTTAGTTCCGGGTTTGGTCTCTGTGGTGTCGCAGGTAACCAGGACCCTTGTCCTATCATAAAATGGCATCTGGCAGGAGAGCTGACGCCCGACTCTACCAGAAACACTGATCTCTGCCATGCACCGCCGAGGAGCCGAGACCCTTCATTCATTGACCGCGGTGTCCAACAATGCCGGTGCCCCTGGGAAAGGCGGACTTTCTACGTTGACACAAGCGGGCCAGGTCAACCAACTGATTCTGTCCTATCTGGGAAACAACAAGGCGCTCGAGAAGAAGTATCTCACCGGCAATATCGCCATTGAATTGTGCCCTCAAGGCACCCTGGCGGAAAGACTGCGAGCTGCAGGAGCTGGCATTCCTGCGTTTTTCACTCCTACTGGTGCACGTAAGTCGTCGCCCCTCATCCGTCTCCTCTTTTCCCAGAGACGGGGAGAAAGGAAGTAAGAAAATTGCATGGGAGTGAATGCTAACGCCGGAATGATTGCCTGGCACCATAGACACCTTCCTCCAAGATGGCCAAATTCCTGTCCGTTTAGATGAATCCGGGAAGGTGGTCGAAAATGGCAATCCTCGCGAAACCCGATTGTTCAACGGGAAGACATATCTGATGGAGACAGCGCTTCCTGGCGACGTGGCCATTATTCGGGCATGGAAGGCGGATGAGGCTGGCAACTGTGTATTCCGGTAAGTGCAAGCGAACCCGACTCTTGTCCTCTCAAGATTCTGACTCTTGTGTGAATATAGCTACACTACCAAGGCATTTGGCCCAATCATGGCGAAAGCGGCCGCCTTGACCATAGTCGAGGCCGAAAACATTGTTCCCCTCGGCTCTATAGATCCAAATGACGTCGATTTACCGGGAATCTTTGTGGACCGAATTGTTCCTGCTACCGACGAGAAGCACATTGAGATTAAGAAGCTGCGGTCGGCTGACGACGAGAGTGCCCTCAAGACGGCGAAGGATGCCGCGGCGGCTCAGCGAAACCTCATTGCAAGGAGAGCTGCAAAGGAGCTGAAGCAGGGCTACTACGTGAACCTGGGCGTCGGTAAGTTACGTCATGCTAGCCAGTACCAAAACAAACGCTGATATGGAGGTAGGAATTCCCACGCTGGCCCCGTCCTTCTTGCCAGAGGGCCGTAAAGTTTGGATTCAATCGGAGAACGGAATCCTAGGCATGGTAAGTTGTGTGCCCGCTAGAAGCATGCCTTCTGACACGAGCTGGATGGCTAATCGTAACTCAAGGGACCCTATCCGACCGAGGACGAGGTCGATGCGTAAGTGCTTGTCCCTCTCATTAGTGATGTCAGGCGATCGTCGTCGTCGTCGTCGTCGTCTTCCCCCTCCCCGCGACAAAGGCTAATTTGTTTCGCTCGTTTTCTTCGTGAAGGGATATCATCAATGCCGGGAAAGAGACCGTCACTCTGGTTCCTGGCGCTGCCACGTTCGATAGCACCGAGTCATTCGGCATGATTCGCGGTGGACATGTAGACGTGTCCATCCTGGGGGTTCGTTCGCCCGAAACCCTCGATTCCATTCGCGCTCCGCTCATTTGCTAATTAACCGCAGGCATTGCAAGTCAGTGCCACCGGAGATCTGGCCAACTACATGATCCCCGGAAAGGTGTTCAAGGGAATGGGAGGAGCCATGGATTTGATTTCCAACCCCGACAAAACCAAGATCGTGGTGGCCACCAGCCATACCGCCAAGGACGGTTCGTCGAAGATCGTATCCGAGTGTGGCTTGCCTTTGACGGGCGCCAAGTGCGTCAGCACGATCATCACGGATTTGGTGAGTTCCATCGCAGACCCGACCACCAGGAGTTGAGATCTAACGTTGAGGATCAACCAACAGTGTGTTTTCCAGGTGGATCGGACCAAGGGTGAATTGTTATTGACGGAGCTCGCCCCGGGAGTCGAGGTTGAAGAGGTCCGGAGCAAGACCGAGGCGCCGTTCACCGTTGCCGAGCAGCTCGAGTTGATGGAATAGAGCAGTGGTCATGCGAGATGTAAATATAGAGATAGTAGTAGCGTGTCCGATAGGAAAATGGACGAATGACCCAATCATCTCCCGCGGCGCAGCGTTGTTGTCCAAGCGCAAATCCGACAAGCACCATTGGCGGTCTTGTCGTCCGCCCGCCCAGCACTAGCGACTGCTAGATCGACACTAGAGCGCCGACGACCAGTCATGCATGGCCGCCAAGCTTTAGGCCCAAGCCTTGGAATCCGGGGTAAGGATATTCTGGCTTCTCCCTTTCCCCCCCGGTCGGAGTAAGCCCCCTCCTCTCCCCCATCTGCTTGATGACCAATTCCATTCCTTCGAAGATGCCGTCCCGCATGCTGCTCCGTCGGAGGTAGAAATGGTGCCCGACTGGAACTGCGTGACTTGCTCCTCGACAGCTTTATCTATCTTCGCCTCCCTCACCGACCTTTCCGTCTTACAGATCTCATTCTGGCTTCTCTTTTCCCGTTCCTGGTCTTGGTTTCTCAAGGTGACACAGCCATGGATTCTGCCAATACCTCCGGCGAGAAGATCGAATATGCCCGACAAGACGCCCCCGAGAGCCTGTCCAGTGGCTACACGACCGAGGAGCGGCTGATCCGGAGTCTGCTGTTGAAGTTGGACACTCGGTAAGCGCACGCACACCCGAGGTGGGCACAAATGCCCGGACCATAGACAGATGGCTGACTCGGGAGGTTTTCGCCTCAAGACTCCTTCCCATTCTAGCCGTGCTCTTCCTATGCTCCTTTCTCGACAGAACCAACATTGGCAATGCCAAAGTGCTGGGATTTGAGGAGGACATCAATATCTCCAACCATCAGTATGATATCGGCTTGGCGGTGTTTTATCTCACCTATGTCTGCAGGTCAGTCTGAGGAAATGAATTTCAATCCAATTCCTCAACCCTGTCCACACTAACCTTGTCTCCGTTGTTGCTTTTTAGCGAGCTTCCAAGCAACCTGATCATCAAAAAAGCGTCCCCGAAAATATGGCTGCCATTTCTCACTATGATCTGGGGCATCATCACCATGTGCTTGGGCTTTGTCAGGAATTTTGGGGATTTCGTCGCCGTTCGCGCCCTGCTCGGGGCCGCGGAGGGGGGACTGTTACCGGGAATGGTGCGTGATCACAGCCATCCTCTCTTCGCATCCACTAATGTCGCGCAGGTACTGTATTTATCGTCCTTCTATCGACGAGGTGATTTGGCCTTGCGGATCGGCCTGTTTTATACGGCGGCATCGTTGTCGGGAGCATTTGGAGGTATGTATTGCCTTTCCATGGAGCATCGAATGCGGCTCGACTGATGCATAGCAGGGCTCTTGGCCCGTGGATTGGCCGAAATTGGCCCGCGGGGTGGTCTGGAGGGATGGCGTTGGATCATGATTATTGAAGGCCTGCTGGTGAGCTTACCTGGCCAAGTTCTTTCTCAGCTCTTTCGCAGCTGCTAATCGATCTCTCAGACGTTCACATGCGGCGGGTTGAGCTACTTTGGTCTTCCCAACAGCGTGGAAACGGCGTCCTTTCTCACTCCAGAAGAGCGGCTGCTTGCTCGCCAGCGACTTGAACTTGACAGTCCGTCGGTATCCGAGGGGTAAGCTATATTACACAGTCGTCTAGACTCCCATAGGGTCAACAGCGACAAATTTGTGATTCATCTGTCGAACCCTTGCTCACCTATGGAAACAGGACGCAGACGGGCGAGCAAGAAACTATGCGATGGTCTGAGGTGCGCCGAGGCGTTTTCAATTTGCAGATGTGGCTCTCGGCAACTGCCTATTTCGCCATCCTATCGGGCCTGTACTCCTTCGGATTATTTGTAAGTACCTTGGACCGGATCATCGAGGGTTTGCTAATGACTGATGGTGGTGGCCAGTTGCCGACAATCATTGATGAAAGTGGCTTTGCGCAAGATGCGAATCAAGTGCAACTCTGGACGGTGATTCCGTACGCCGTGGCGGCAGTCTTGACCGGTATGTTGCCTCTCTCTGCACTTTGAGACGTCCCAACTCATAGCGTTACGTGAACCCCAGTGGCCGTGGCTTTTCTTTCCGATCGTTTGAAGCTTCGAGGGGTCATCATGCTGTTTACCCTGCCTATTGCGATCGCTGGATACGGCGCTATTGCCAACATCGAGACGCCCAAGGCCAAGTACGGAATGACATTTCTCATGGCAACGGGCATGTACAGCAGCGTTCCCTGCATCTTGGTGTGGAACTCCAACAATTCGGCAGGGCACTACAAGCGAGCCACCACGTCGGCGATGCAACTGACGATTGCAAACTGTGGTGGGTTTGTTGCCAGTAAGTGCATACCCGCGGACAGCCTCAAGTGGACCGAAGGTGACGAACTGACCCGCCTGGCTCCAGCGTTTATCTATCCCAACAAGGACAAGCCCCAGTTTCATCGGGGCCACACGGTAGTCTTTGGGCTTCTCATCTTTGCGTGGTTTATGTGGGTGCCCCGCTACTTCTGACAGAGGCAAGATGCACTAACCCAACCTCCTCGCCCAGGGTTCTGCTGAACGTGCTATACTGTGCCAAGCTCAATCGTGATAAGCGACGAGGCAAGTATGCCCAGTACGCGGGATACAACGATGACCGTGACCCCGAGTTTAAATTCGTGCTGTAGTTCGCCGTGGGACCAGGAAAGGTCGAGTTGGCTCGGGAGGAATTGGCAACCACGCCTGTCGGTCGAGATTCAGGACCTAGTATATACAGATCCTCACAATGCAACGGCGTGAGAGGCGTCGCAATGAATTGCCGAGGAAAGTTGAGCAGTCGGCGAGGACAATTTCCGCCAAGTAGAAATCGCACCAATGGAGAGAGATCGTCCGGTGGATCTCCTGAGGGGGCGCGACGACCTCCAAGATAAAGGCCGATCGTCTCCTCGTCTAGTCGGCATGATAACGGTCCAGATACTGGCCTGGTGAGGCAAGATGGAGTCTCCTCTCCGGACCCCCGCCGGAGTCGATTGAACCGTCGGCACAGATATTTAACCCCCTCTCCTCCCGCGCAACCTGACATGTCTGCACGCAGCTGGAGTACTGCGGTTCTTTCTAGCCCATCGCTGCAGAATAGTTCCGAGGATGCTTGGTCGGTTGCTAGTACGAGCGAGTTCCGTGGCGGCCGCCTGCGCGTCTCTTGTCGCCGGTAGCCCATGCCTTCCCTCGTGGTCCGTGAACGCATGTGGGCTCTTTTCCGAGTCCATGGCGTATCTGGACCGCATATATGACCCTATTACCGGTTATGTCTATGCCCCCAGCGCAGCAACAGCGTTGCGACACGATACCCGCACGTCGGCGTGGTATGCTGTTGGTCTGCTGGCTCGCAATCAGGGTGACGATGTCTCCCAGGCCCTGACGATCATCGAGAACGTCATAGCGGCCCAATTTAAGAATCCCGACAGTCAATGGTCTGCAGTGCGCTTCATTCCTTGTGACGCCACAACTGACAACCATGACCAGGTACGGAGACTACGAGAAATATCCAGAAGAGCCGACAGTGGGCAGCGCGGCGTATCCTCCACTCATATACGACACCTGGGATCCTAACTGGCGAGGGTTCATTGGAACGGCATTCATTATCGCCTTGGAGGAGTTCCCTCATCTAATCGGCAACGACATGACTGACCTTATGCACGCGTCTCTCTACAATAGCACGATTGGTGATAGCTACCGGGTCGGAGGCGTCGACGATGATAATCTCTATCCTTCGTATACTAACCCGGTAAGAAATCGTCGGACCGTCTCCTGCGCTACTCGGTTGCCTCTAATTGTTGTCACCTTTAGGCATTGATGCGAGCACTGATCAGCGGCTGGACGGGTCAGAAATTCGGCGATGACAACATGACCAAAGCGGGCGAGACGTACGCGAGCGAAATTATATCTCTCTTTGACCGGGCCGAAACGCTGTCGGAATTCAACAGCGCCACATACACCGGCGTGTCTCTGATTGCACTCACGACCTGGGCCAAGTATGCCGCCGAAGACTCGGTGATGAAGGAAAAGGGGAAAGAGATGCTCCAGGCCACCTGGACCACGATCGGACATCTATACCATGCATCGCTGAAGAACCTCGCCGGACCTTGGGATCGCTCTTACGGATTCGATATGCAGAAATATTTCGGCATCATGTCCGCCCACATCTGGACACTGGTGGGCAAGGACAAGTCTCCGGTGATTGACAAGGTAGTAGAACCCATTGTGCATTATGGACTAGTAGTAACGATATGCTGACGAAAGGTCCAACCAGGTATACATGATGTCTCACAACTCGGACTTTGCCATCTCCCCGCTCGTGGCCGTCTTGTCGGATTTCCACAATTCTTTTGTCCCGACATCAGTCGTCGATGCACTGAGGGCCTTTCCAGGAGAGCACTCGGTGACCACATCGGCCTACTCCATCCCCTACGACTCTTTCCCTCGGCGTGTCGAGGCATGGCTAGGGGAGAAAATGAGCATTGGTGCCGAGAGCTTCAACGAGACCGTTGTCGGCGGGCCGGCGGAGAATCCATCTACATTCAACCCGGCGGTGATCCAGTGGGACACCGGCGCAGGAATCGGTTGGATAGCTGTGAGTTATGGGGAAAGCCCGGTGATTCGAGGAAGAGGTATACCCGACTAATAAACTTGCGTTTGCTTAGCTGTATGCAACCGAAATGGCGATTGACGCCATCGCTGGTCCGGGTTATCTCAATCTCACGTATCCCTACGGAACAGAGTCCTCTCAGTTCCAGTTTTTGGTTTCTCCCTTCTCTCAGAAGAAGGATGTGACCGGCTGGGAAGATCTCCCGGGGCTAAAAGTCACCGTATCTGGAACTGTGGTGCCAAACCCGCAAGTGTCGTATAGTGCGAGTGACGCTGCCATTAAGTATGTGTCCCTGGTCATATGCCTGTGCTTTTAATATTGTTTCTGTGGGCTAATATGAACCATCAGTGATTTCCTATACTGGAATTTGACCCACGCGATACCTCGGAATAGCACTGCAGCACCGAATATCTTACTAGAGGTGGAAGTCGTGTGATGGAATAATCATAAAGATCGAAACATAGCAGCCGATACTGGAATCGGGACATCCAATCACCGCCTAGTAGGCATACAACATCTATACAAATACAATCTAGGTATATATCGCAATTTTTTTCTTCGTCTTGCTTTTGCTCTTGTAACGCCAACACGGTCGCACATATAGTCACACACTCAATGCATCAAGTATATACATACCCCTTCGCACAACAGGAACCTTTTCTAATCTCCCCAGCATCTCTCTGGCTCACGCAAGGGATTGAGATGCCCTCACTTTTTCTCGCCCCGCAAAACTCAGCAGCATGCCCACATCATAAATGCATTTCAACACACCGGCAATGGTAAACGAGACGCCAAATAGGCCATGGCTTGCCAAGATTCCCGTAATCAACGGACCCAGACTCTGGCTGCACGTCTTGACCACGTTGATCGATCCCATGATGGCGGTGCGTTTGTCGGCCGGAAGCGCCTTAGCAAGGAAGGCCGAGCGTGGTGCGGCGTCCATATTCTGAGAGCAGGCGCGGAGAACCAAGAAAGTGAGAGTTAGAGGGAGGAGGGAGGGGACAGGTATAAGCGCCAGACAGACGGCGGAGGGAAGATGGGTAAAGACCATAGTCTGTTGGTGTCGATTAGATTTCTTGCCTTAAGTGCCGGATCAAAAAAAGAAAGAAAGAAAAGGCAGTATGCAGGATATAAAAGCGTCCGGTCTTACCTTGACGTTGCCGATGCGCCTGGCGATTGACGAGGCAACTAGCATGGATGCGGCGGAAATGATGCTAGTGGTGAAGAAGATGGAGCCGAGCTTTCCCTCCGGGAGAGAAAACTTGCGCTTGAAGAAGTAAGTCATCCATGACCTAGACTTGGTTAGCCTCGCGCTGATGAGCTGTGTCACATAGGTGTGTATGAACACGGAGTTGAATGAGGGTGAAGCAAAACATACAACGACGCCAGACCGGAGGCGAAAGAGTCAAGACCAAACAAGATAAAGAGTCGGACAACCAGTGAAAAGAGCTCTTTGTCCCCAAGGAACGAAAAAAACGACTTCTTGGGAGACTCCTTAGGAGGAGCTACCGCCCTATCCCCTAGTAGAGGCTGGGTTTCTCCGTCTCCCTGGGTCGGAGGGGTTTGCGTCGTTTTCTTCTTATCCTCGACTTCGACTTTTTTACTCAACGCGATGGCCAGCAAGAACTTGATTGCGCCGATAGCGGCATAGACAAGAAAGATTGTGCGACAGGCGGCAATAAATTCCCATCCTTTAGTGACCTGTAACAGGTTGATGGCCCATCCACAAGTCATCATGCCGAGCGCGGTGCCGGCGGTGCCGACAAGCGAGTACCAGGCGAATATATCGCCCAGCAGCTCATGAGGCGTGAGATGAGCTAGGGTGGATTCCTCCACTGCCCGGAAGGGACCAATTTCATTGCCACTATGAAAAGGTTAGTGTCGAGAAGACACACGGTGTTGGATACATACATGCACCAAGAGGGCGAAATCTTACCTAGGACTAATGACCCCTATAACCGCTGCAGCCAGGAGGATCCAGAAGTTCCCCAGTAGAGCAAAAGCCACACCACTGCCTACCATCAGGGCTGAGCCTAATGCCAGAACGGCTTTCCGTCCCATCCTATCGGCAAAAAGAGTAAGGAAGAAGCTGATGGCCACGTCTCCGACCAGAGTCAGGGTCATAAACAGACCGATGCGGGCATCCGAAATGCCCAGGGCCGAGAGATACGAGGCCAGAATCAGCGTGGAACCGCCGTAGGCAAACAGCCGCACGAATCGCTGAGCACCGAGCAACTTCACATCGCGCGAGGATTGCCAGACGGACAGCAGACCCAGTTCCTCCAGGATTTTCCTAGGCAGCCATGTTCCTGGCGAGTCCGAGGTGGACGACATGATATGTGGATTGCGATGGGATGAATCGAAGGCGGCGGGGATGATGTGAAGAAGAAGAAGAAGAAGAGGGAAAAAGAACAGAAGGAGGGAAAGTCGGGGGAAGTTGACTAGTTGATCTTATCTCCGAGATCTGCGGGCTTATAGGGCTGAACTGCCCGACTGGGTCTAGTGCGTGTGTACCTATACATACTATATATTCTGTATATATCGAATTTCTACCGTTTTTTATCCTCTGGGCCTGATAAAAATTCTCGCGAGCGGCTCATCCCATGATTTACAGTAATATCTGTTATGGTGTGACCCCTGGGCGCATTCAGGAGTGCTAACCACTGCACTACTGGCAAAAGTCTAGTTAATAGCCCTACTAGTTGTCAAGCACGGTCATTTGCCAAATAATCCTTGATTTAGAAGTAACTATAATTTCATTGTAGTAATTCTTTTACTCTTAGACTGAAATAATCATAATCTTTGGGTCCTTCTATCATTACAGCTATATCACCAGGGAGGTTGAAGAAGGCGCGTGTATATTAAACTATGTCATTCTAGTTGAAATTATCCGAACACATCCAAAGACCCATATAAACCTTTTATTTCTTGGTATAGATTATATATAAAAAGATTCTTGTACATAGCTCCTTAAGAGACGCAAACTAAAGGCCCCCTACCTCTAGATCATAGCGAAGCCATAGGTGCCGACTCCGTCTTAGGCGGCCACTTGACGCGCCTTTCAGCGCGAACATATAGATTGTTCGGTCGAATCAGCTGGAACATGGGATCATATTCAATGGGCCCGTCATTCTCCTTGAAGAACTTATACCGGTACACCAGTTTCGGCAGGAATACCTTCACCTCCTGCAGGGCGAAGTTGAACCCAATACACATGCGCGGGCCCGTCGCGAATGGGATATACGCACTCTTGTGACGGTTCTTGACCTCCTCCGTGTCCCAGCGGTCCGGGTCAAAGCGGTTGGGATTACTCCAGACGTCCGGGTTGTTGTGCAGGTGGTGCAGAGCGCCAATGACGACGGATTCTTCGGGCAGCTTGTAACCGCCCGGGAGGACCATGTCAACCCGAGCGGTGCGGCCGGGCTGGTAAGAGGGGTTGTGGCGGCGCTGTGTCTCCTTGATCAATTTGTCCATGAAAGGGAGACGATCGGTGAGCTCGGCCGTGATCTGCGTGTTCTCGTCGATGTCGTTGTCGATGAGTTCCTGGAGCAGACGTTCCTGGATGCCCGGGTAGGTGACAATGCTGTAGATTAACCAGGAGAGGAGGGAGCTGGTGGTGGTGAAGCCGGCACCCGTGGCGACGAGTAGAGCCTGCATGAGACTTGTCTTAGGGAGCTTTTCGCCCTTGTTGTCCGTCGCACGGATGGCGTAGTCTGTATAAAGCATGGTTAGCTTTCGTTTGGGGGGCGAGATAGAAAATAGGAGATCGGGAAGAGGGAGGGCACTGTACCGATCATATTGCTTGCCTTCAATGCGGCATCCTGCAACGGGAGATCCTCGACACCACCGCGACTGGCGTTTTGAATGGACTCGTCGATAATAACAAAGACGCGGTCCCGGATAGTCTGCAGGCGCTTTGGATCTCCGAAAGGCAATTTGGCATACCAGTCTCCTCGAGCGGTCACCTTCTTGTTGAGCGTGAGCGACTCGGCGATGAGGGAAATCAGTTCGTGAGGAGGTGCGTCGGGGGACGCGAAATGCTGGAAGTCAATTCCCAGAACCAATTTCCCGACGGCCTGGGAGCCCAACTTAAGCATGTACTGGTATACATTCCAGGCTTCACCTTGCTCGTCTAGTTGGTCAAAGACATTGAAAGCATCTTCAACGGTTGTCTGCATGGTTGGCGCATAGTGGCGTACGGCCTTGGGACCTAGAGCCGGGGGAAGAAATTTGTGCGCCGCTCTCCATTCCGGAGTGTCCGTGTCTGCCAGAAAAACACCTGCCTCGGTGTTTTTAATGGAGCGGAGGGGATGGGCATCATTGATCTTCTTCGTGAAGAAGTCGGTCTCCGCGAAGATGATTGCAGAGAGTTCAGGATCGTTGGTGTGGTAGACGGTGCGGCCCATATTCGTGGTCTTGAAGATAGGGCCATATTGCTCGAAGAGACGTTGGTGGTTTCCCAGATGATCGGGATAGATCTCAAGGAAATTTCCGATGATTGGAAGCCCCGAAGGACCGGGAATCTCTCGCACTGGCTTTCCATCTATCGTGATGCTGATCGGATTTTCGCTCGCGATCAGCTCTCCCACGTCAGATAAGATAGAATCTTGAGATTGGAATCCGATGCCTGTAGTGGTCCATGGCGTTAGAGCAAGATAATAACCCGATTTGGAGTTGGAGGTAGGCTACCAACCATTAGGCTGAACGATTGCAAAATGCGCAGCAATGAGGTTTCGTAGTTCATCGCGATTCAGCGTCGGGTCAAGGTCGATTACCCTTGCGCTTTCGACGGGCTCTCCCAGCAGGTGGAAACTTTTGTACGGCATGACGGACAGGGAACAGAATTTGAGCGCGTAGAAGCGATCTCTTTGATGACACAGGACAGCTCTGCAAATTTATAAGAGCCGTGTGTGCCTATCCTAGGGAGACATTGTGCCATAGTCAACAAATCAGGGCAACCAGCCGGTCTCGTCACGAACCCACATCGGAGGAATGTCCACATCGTTAGTGAGAAAGGATGATAACCGCCATGTTCGACCATAGTGGTTATTTGTGCCCACGCTGCCCATGGTGTGCATAAAATGGTTAGAACGGCATGGCCTGGTCGTCAACCTCGGCTCTTTCACGAAATTATTTACTTATTCCACTCGATGTCAAATGAGATTGTGGAAAGAAGGAAAAGATCGCCATCGGGGACCCACTGCTAACGGCCGAAGCCATGCTGGCGCAAAGCAAAGCCAGTGTCTCGGAATGCAATAAAAAAAAATCGAATTTAATCACGGCTGTGCCGTGCCGACTTGGTCAGTTCGGGCCGTTGAGACACTGACGGGTGTCAAGTCCGTCGAGATCCCGAGGTACAAGGCGAATAATCACGAAAATAAAACAAGAGACGACCAACTAGTGCCGGTGGGCCGGTGCCACTCCGTAGTAAACGTGTCGCAATAGCAACTGTGGGTATCCGGTTGACTTTTATCTCGCGTGTCACTGGTTTGAGCCGACAGTATGGTCCCTAAGACCCCGCGATAGAATTGAAGGTGACGAGGCATAAGTCTGTCTCTGCATTAGCAATAGAAATACCCGGCTCTCCTTGCCTGGCTTTAAAATGATTTCCACTTCTCATTCACCTTTGCCTGCTACCCTTTGGTCCGCGAAGGGATTGGCGATTCTTGACAATAATCAGAACAATGGAGCCGAGCCCCAACAGTTCCACAGAGGCACAGCTGCCTCAGTTCACGATAGCAGACGTCGCGTCGCATAACCGCAAAGACGATATCTGGATCATTGTCCACGGGAAAGGTAAAATAAAACTCTGAACGGTCTAGTTTGATGCCAGCCAGTTGCTAAGGACGATGCAGTATTTGACATCACAGAGTATCTCCAAGACCATCCCGGTGGCGCTGAAGTTCTCATCGAAACTGCAGGCACCGATGCCACAGAGGCCTTCGAGGATGTTGGCCATTCCGAGGATTCTCGGGAGATTATGGAGGAGTATCTGATCGGTACTCTTCAAGGAGCCAAAGAATATGTTGCGCCAAAGGCAATCCGCCTGATTGCTCAGAAGCCAGTTTCGGTTCCCCAGAAATCCTCACGCGGTTTGATTGGTGCAGTGACCGGTGTTGTGGGAGCGGCAGCATCACTCATCTACGCATCTCATCGCGGAGCCCTGGGTTCTCTGGATTTGCAACGGCACGTCGGGAACGGCGTGTCCCAATACTTCAGCGGAATCCGACTGCCGCGCGGAGGGTTTGCAATTGGTTTTCTCACGGCGACTGTCATCTCCGCGGCAATTGGAAGCGTTGTAGCACGGCAGGCTGCCAGGTTCCTCAAGATCGAATCTGGGTTTACTCGATACCCGCTGCATAAAAAAGCGCGCAAGGCGGTTAGGGTCGATCCACACTCAGTCAAGGGATTTCTTGATCCGAAGGAGTACCAGAATTTGCCGTTGGTTGAGAAGGAGCTCTTGTCCCCGAACGTATATCGGTTTGTGTTCGCATTGCCAGATGCCCAAGGAACTTTGGGACTCCCGATCGGCCAGCACGTTGCCATCCGTGCCGAGATCGACGGCACTACGGTGACAAGATCCTACACACCCGTGTCCAACAACCTGGACAAGGGTCGCATCGAGTTGGTCATCAAATGTTACCCCGACGGATTGCTCAGCGGCCAATACCTGGCCAACCTACAGGTGGGCGACGAAGTGGAATTCCGGGGGCCCAAGGGAGCCATGCGCTACAGCCAAGGGCTCGGTACAAAGCTGGGGATGGTGGCTGGCGGCACGGGCATTACCCCGATGTACCAGCTCATCCGCGCCATCTGCGAGGACGAGCGAGACACGACGGAGATCAGCCTTGTCTATGCGAATCGCACCGAGGGCGACATCCTGCTGCGAGAAGAGCTTGAAAGGTTTGCGCGCCTGTACCCCAAGAATTTCAAGCTGTGGTACATGCTAGACACGGCGTCCGAGGACTGGCAGTACGGAACAGGCTATGTGGACCAGACCGTGCTAAGTGAGCGGCTACCAGGGCCTTCGGAGGAGACCAAAATCATGCTCTGTGGGCCGCCTGGCATGATCAATGCGTGCAAGAAGACGTTGGCGGGAATGGGATTCAAGGCGCCCGGGGCAGTCTCAAAGATGAGCGACCAGATCTTTTGTTTCTAGACATGTACAGTAGGTAGGTAGATGAGAGTGGGTCTCGTTTTGGATATTAATAAATTAATTGACATGCGTTCAACCAGGGACGAGAAAGAAAGACCGAGGCGAAGAGAAAATAAAACGAAGAAAAAAAGGAGAGCACCTGACAGGACGCTAGACCGCAGGGGGACTAGCGCAACGGTCGTCGTTCGGACACTGCCGAATTGGGCAATCCGGCCTGTCATTCGAGAATCTCAGCAGGAGCACCTCGGTACCTACCCAGTACCTAGTGCTCCGTAGATACTCCGTACGCATACTCCGTAGTACTAAGTACCTAGGCGTAGCTGCCCAGGTCGGTAGCTCCTCCGTACGTCGAGTGGGCCTCGATGATAGGAAACCCCCCGAGAGCGGATTTCCCTTTTCCTCGGCAGGCGAGCCCTGTGTGTGTTTTTTTTTTTTTTTTTTTTTTTTTTTTTTATAAACCCTAGGACTTTTAGGTAGTCGGAGACCGTCTTGATTCATCTACTGTACATACGTTTGTTTGTATAGATGATAGGTGAGTGACTGGTTCTATAAGACATACTGAAAAATAACCTGCCATACTAAAACATATGAATTCATTAGGTGTCATTCCACAGCATCAGCCTCGATGATTCATCACATGATGACATATTTATCATATCTGTGCCATATAAACCCCTGGCCATTCGGGCACCGCACAAAATGATGCCTAATAGAAGAACCTCAGCGCAGCCCCGGCAAGAGCGGCGGCAGCAGCACCGCTTATACCGGTGTTACGCGCCGCAACATCTGATGTCTCCGTCGCCTGGGGCGCGTTCAGTTTTTCCGCACCTGCGGTGACCGTCATGGGCTGGTAGTAGATATCATCAGAGGCGAAGGAAGTGACCGTCGAGAGGCCCGTGGAAGTCGACAGCCCGCGCGTGCTGACCTCAATGCCGACGGAAACCGAGCAAGAGGCGCGCTGTGTCGAGGACGTGATGTCGCAGTCTTGCACCAGGGTGGCTTTGGCGTCCACGCCGAGCGTCTTGGTGGAGTAGACGGCACTCATGGTGAATGTCGAGGGCCCTTCGGTTATGGTAATGGGCGAATTGAGCGGGCATACCGTCACGGGGGCACCGGACTGGCAGTTCACGGCGTAGGTGGTGGCCTCTGCGTTGGCGCCGATGATACTGGCACGAACGCTATTCAGATTCAACGTTTCACGCCCAGCATTGAACATCTCGACGGTGGTGCTGTCTGCAGAGACAACGGCGACCAGGGCCGCAGACAGCAGGGAAAAGAACGCAGACCGCATATTTGTGATGATGGCGCCAAGTTGCTGTGGTCACAGTCAAAGAATGGTCAGACTGGCGGTCGTGGGGATAGCGAAATTTCGCAAAAATCAATCCAAAAACAAGGACTCCAGGAAATAGCATCACACGGGGGTTGATTTCTCTTTATAAATCCTTCCCACTTCCCCATTCCACGCCCTCCTATGTTTGCCCCTAATCAACGGCAAGCTACATTGGGCATCGTCATTTTACTCTCGGACCCTTGGATTGCAACCATGGGGCAAGATGCGGCTCTCTGCCTCCCACATCGGTTTAGTTGATCGGGACAGGAAAAGTGAAAGAACAAATACGCGGTGATTATTGGTTGATACTCCGTACCCATCCCTCAGATGCAGGTCAGATTGGACGATCCAAGGTCCTGAGTCATATGAGACCTCTGCCAAGGCGAAAATGGAGAAGCCGAAGGACAGGCTTGATTCCATCAGATGAACACATGCATCTTTTCTCCTCTTCGCTGTCCCGCGGTCGTATTCAGCCTTGAGAAGTCTATAGAGCAGCGCGCATAGCCGAAGCCAAGCTCCAATGACAAAGACCCAAATGTGGAGATATACGAGGAGGGCCCCTTTCAGGAACGGACCCAGGTTTTCTCGATCAATGGTCGCTTAATACAGCAACTGAGAGGCGAGTCAGCTCAGCTCTGTATCTTGATTGATTTCCATTTGTCCAGGGTGAGTAGCCTTGTTGCCATATAAGCCCCAAGTGTTCGGGATCGGAGACATTATATAGACATCCATGGAACGACCATGAGGACTCGATCACATAGTGTGCCTTGGCAAATCCCGCCAAACAAATCAAGACAGGCCACCACCGAAAGTATTTACGCAGTAGGGCCTAGTCTTAGGTGCGTCGACGTGATGTGATATGGCTTAATGGGCAAAGCATCGTGCTGGGGAATGAGAGAGAGAGGCAGAGAGGAAAGAGGAAAGAAAAGAAAAGAAAAAGCCCAAGCATTTGAGATGTTTCCGATAAAACCAGCCGTGTAGACCCGTGTTTCTCGATGGGAAGTGGAAGGATCCATAGTATGCACATACTGAAGGAAGTCGAGGGAGGGAACTCCGTCGGGCCGACCAGCCTCCGCGTCACGCATCAACTCCCATCGCCATTTGAATCTCCTTCTCCCCATTGCAGTCCTGGACGATGCGTCGACTAAATCCCCTCGGCCGCCCATCGACCTTCCTGCGACCGTTCTTATTCACCAGGGCCCCTCTCGCGCGGTCTCCGCCCCGGCAATGGCTATCGTCCACCGCGTTGCGACGCTGTTCCTGCTCCGACCCGGCAACTCCGTCTGAGCCCTCTTCCTCTCAATCCACCACGTCCAACCCGGACTATCGTGCCCTCGGAGCATCGCAGGACCTATTCACCACTTCCCTCTATAGTCCCGGCTCGCCACTCTTTCTCCCCAACGGCGCCCATATTATCAACAAACTCGTCTCTTTTCTCCGCACGCAGTATCTCCAGTACGGCTTCCGCGAAGTTCTCACCCCCACCATCTACAAGCGCTCTCTCTGGGAAATCTCGGGCCACTGGAAAAACTACAAGGATGACATGTACGAGGTACGCGGCCGCGGTGCCGACGCCAACCCGGACGCCGACGACCCTACTGGCGAGAACGAACCCTACGGACTGAAGCCGATGAATTGTCCCGGCCATTGTCTCCTCTTCAAAACACAAAACCATTCCTACCGAGAACTACCAATTCGATATGCGGACTTTAGCCCTTTGCACCGGAATGAGGTTTCGGGATCATTGAGCGGGCTGACCCGCGTGCGACGGTTTCACCAGGACGATGGGCATATCTTCTGTCGGCCGCAGCAGATCAAGGGGGAGATTGAAAAGGCGCTGGGGTTTGTGGACCTGGTGATGAACACTTTCGGGTTGGGTCCGTATCGGCTGGCCTTGTCGACTCGGCCGGAAAAGGATTTCATCGGAAGTCTAGAGCTGTGGGAAAATGCCGAGGGACAGTTGCGTCAGGCGCTGGAGAACAGTGGGCGAGAATGGGCGCTGAACGAAGGCGACGGGGCATTCTATGGCCCCAAGATTGATATACAGCTGCAGGATCAGGCCGGGAAGTATCACCAGTTGTCTACGATCCAGCTGGATATGAATTTACCGCAGCGGTTCGAGCTGGAGTATCAGGTCGCCGAAGGAGAAGCGGACTACGACCCTGCTACCCCCGGGCGCGCAGTTCCGGTGATGATCCATCGCGCGAATTTTGGATCTCTGGAGCGGTTCCTCGCGTTGTTGATCGAGCAGTATGCGGGTCGGTGGCCTTTCTGGCTCTCACCGCGCCAAGGAATCGTTCTTACCGTCAACCAGGATGAGAGCGTTGTACAGCAGGCACATCAGGCAGCAGCCCGGATCTCGGGATTCCGTGCGCTCGAGGACGGTGCTGCGCAGCCGCAACCTCTCTCTTCTACTGACTCGACGTTCTTGATTGATGTCGACGCGGGCAGTCAGACGCTTGGCAAAAAGATCCAGCGCGCCAAGCAGATGAAGTATAACCTGATTTTCATTATGGGATCAAAGGATGTGGCCGAGTCACGGATCACGATGGACTTGACCGGACAGATGCAGAGCAAGCCGGACGGGAATGCTCAGAAGCTGCACGAATTGGTTACGAGCCGATTGGGAGAACAGGCGCTGCAGAATCCGAGAGCGGTGCCGTTGAAGGTTGACGCGGTGCATGGTCTCCTAAGGGAAATAGAGAAGCGATTTGTATGATCAGTGGCGCAACTGGGATAGGATGGCTGTATGTTATAAGTAGTACATCTAGAACTGTACAATAGAAATTCCTTCTTTCTTACGCCGCCGGACCGGATCATGTGAGAGCCGTGGGAGGTCACCTGACGCCCGTCATCTGCTGCCTGCTGGCGATTTCCCGGGGCGCAGCAGGACACCACTTCCATCGCTCTCGAACGGCGGACGATCTCCTCGGATTGTGAGCCAGACCACGGTGTTTTCTCATGGCTCTACAACATGAAATGTTGTCTCTCGCTTTGTTCCATTTCAGGTGAAGCGTCTCGGGAGTCTTCGCCCCTCGAACAGAATCATGCCCAATCCCCGACTGCTGAACTGGGGGCCTCTGGCAAATGTCAACCCCAGGGGCATAGACCGCAAAGATAAAGGGCTTGGTCAAATCTGCGCCTGCTACGATTTCGGGGGTGGTGTCGGCCTGGGCGACTCGTTCGCGATACATTCGATCGCTGCATTCTCTTCAGGCCGCAAGCTCCGTCAAGACGGCTCCTTAGGCGATGCTGAACTCGCCGAGGCGGCCACGGCTGTCACACAGCTGCTACCAGTCTGGATCAACCTGGAGGACGTTGCCCCGGGGCAGTTTTCGTCATTACCGCATCCGACTCATGACCCCGCCATGCCAGGCAAAACACATCCTCTTGACCACCCGCCGTGGTTCTTGGTCAATGCGGCAGCTTCTCGAAATCATTGCATTCTCGGACAAGATTGTGCTGTAGAATCGCTGCTTATGGTTCTCCGTCAACCGTGGTGTGTGCTGGAGATCTGTTGTTGCGACACCCAAACGGTAACTCGGGTCAGTAAATTTGCGATTATCGCCGAGAAGATCTATCCTGGAAACTACACGATCGCCATCAAGTTGTTCTCCCATGAACTGGAGACAAGGATTGTGGATAGGACTAGAACTCTAGACTGCAATATCAACTGTTTGGATGATCGCTTGGATGATTGGATGGTACCCCATCCAACTCTGGCCATGGTTCGCACGCTTTACACCGACCTATTCTTCCATGGTCGCCACTCCCGGAATCCGTTTTGGCTATGCCTGATGGTTGTTTGTGCCGTGTCCCTGAATCTGGCATTTTCTGACCTGGCGGGGTATCTGTTTGACGACGCCAACTACCGATCCACCTTGCAATGTCTTGAAAAAACCACACTTTTAGCACTACCGCCCGAGCTGCGCAAGACAAATTCTGTCTCCGAAGACAAATTCCTTAGAATGCAGGCCTCGAAGAAGTCTCCCTTTTGGCGTACTAGACCTAGACGATCAACCAGTGATATTTCATTGTACAATAGCGCTGGGCGTCAGGAAGCATTGAACAGGAGTGATTCGCGCCACGGACCTCTAAGCTACCATCGCTTAATTCTTCTTCATCGAGTGATCTTGAAGAGATTGCAAGAAAGCATCGCGTGATTTATGGATTGGATGTCCAACACGGATTCCTAGAAATGCCTGTCATTACGACTGGTGTCCCACTAAGCAATGTGAAACCTTGAGCCGGACTTATTGATCTCCGCGGCGTGTGCCAATGAATGTTCCAGTGCTTTGTCAATTTCGTTTCGAATTCTTTTCGCCAATCCACCCTGTTTTTGGTCGTCCGGCACGCCTTCGTCCCGCTTTTCCACTTGCGCGATGAACGCATCCAACCTTTCACATACTGATTTAGGGGGCGAATCCAACGCCGACTCGGCATTCTCCCATTCTACCTGCATCGTACCAATATCCTTGAGCACCTTCTGCATTTCTTCAAACACAAACATTGGCGGAAGGAGATTCAGCTCTATCCAGTTCAACCCTTCCAATCGACAGGTGCGCTTTATCTCCAATGTCGCCCGAATGATGGCCTTGGATCTGGTTTCACTCTCTAAAACATAAGCCTCATGGATGTCATCGCCTTTGGCCTTCTTTTGCAAGCTGCGCGAAATGCGTATCGCTAGGATCTCGGCAAGAGAGGCGTAGACCAGGACCCCAAGGAATCCCAGCTGCATATAGCTGCGCATGTTCACCATACAAGCCACGGAGCAAAATGCAGACAAAGTGCCTGTCGTTATCCACATCCAATGTAGGCAATTCTTATCTAGTCTCGGCCTGTACTCCCACGTTGACCGAGCCCAATCTTCGAGTTGGTCCTGTCGGCCTTTGAAGATGACTGTTCCGCCTTCCTTTCGCTGATAAATGGCGTATCTTGGCCGCTCGTCTTTATTGATGTGCGGTTTGTCCTTTTGAACCATGCTCTGGAACGAGATGAGCATTGTCCCCAGCCAGTGACACCAGTATAAGAAGAACAACACCGCCGCCCATATGTCGGCCACCAGAACCCCCATCACTAGCCCCGTGACCATCATGAGTCCATTGAGCAGACTTATCAGGTCCAATGTCAAGGTGGCGATCCACCAGCGGAGGGAACCTATGGTGTCCTTGACCCTCTGTTTTCGCACATGCACATCCTCGCGAATACCATCGACGCAGACCACCGCAAAATCGTTACCCGGCTTGGGTGAAGCTTTGAAAGACACAACGTGGTTCAGCCAAGCGTTGCTCGAATCTAGAGGGAGTTCACGAAACACGGAGCCTGAGACGTCGGAGCGAACGGGTAACATGGTGGTGATTTGTGCGCACATGGTGATTGCGGGATGCGTGGATTTCATTTCCTCCGTGAGATGATCGACAAGCATTTTCATCGCGGGCAAGGTGCCTCCAATCATCATGGTATGTGGCCACGTGAAAATCCCGTGGTCCGACTGAGTATACAGCATGGCGGCGCTATTATTGGCCCGGGGGTTATGGAGCACGGCGGCGACACCGAGCGGGTCGAAGGTCACTTCGGTATCTTCCTTGAGGCTTGCTTTGGGGTCGGTCGACGATAGCGGTAGCTCGGATCGCGCTTCGACCATCGTGCTCAGGGCCGCTGCGCAGACCGCACGAAGCGTGGTCTTGAATGAGCTCATAATCGCAGTATTTCCGGGTTAATTTGGGTTGCTTTGCCTTTTCTTCCCAGCGACGCGTTTTTTCGACCCGGCCTGCTACGTGAAAAGTAAAAGGGCTGCTAGATGAATGGGCTCAAAAGAGCCCATGACACCGATTCTAATGCGACTGAGCAATAATAGACCGTTTGGCATTATCTGTCCACTAAAGGAAAAGCAGATATGTCAAAAATTGATCCGGATAGAACACACTAGGATACACATTGTGGGGGGAAGAGGGGGATTGGGGGAAAAAAGGAGGGGAGAGAGAGAAAGAGAGAAACAGAAAAAATTGGCGAGAGAAATCCTTGACCTTCACCGTTTGATTTAATACTTTTTTATTTATTTATTTTGTTCTTCAGCCGCAGCTCTCAGACCGAGAGGGGCGGGAAAGTTGACACGCCAATCGAGGCCACTAGTTCCTGCGAGGCTGGCCTAGTGTGGTAAGATGAGCAGGAGTACAGCACGTACTCCGAGAGGCGGAGTGTCGGAGAGTTAAAGGATTCAAGATACGAGCCGGCTGGGCAGAATCGACACGGACCCCGGGCTGAAGGGGCCATTAGCGGGAAGGAATCGCTGGCAGGGCTACCTACGCATACCTTATTATTATTATTACGGAGTAGTAGTCCGCAGTACGCAGTATATGCGTAGGACGGCTGACAGCGCTATTCCCGAACGGGCCGCAGTACCACCCCCGCGATGATCGCCTCAGGCAGCTCGCTCTGCTGAGTCATGCGGATCCCGGCAGTTGCAGAAAGCCGCCGGCGTCCTCTCCGGGATGCCGACGCCTGTTCACCAGGCCACCACCTACTCCGTGTACGCGGTGTGTACGGCTGCAGGGGTGCATCCGGAGTACCGCGTAGGCCCGATGGCCCTGGTCATGCGCCGAAGAGGATGAAGAGGATTAAGGTCCCGGGACTCCACCGGGATCAACGCCTTAAGCTTAACGGACTAGAGAATCTTAGGGGCGCGACTAAACCGGATGAGTTCCCTCGCTTTTCGCCACCGTCACGAGACCCCCCGCTGACTCAGCCGCAGGGCGACCGCTGATTGGCGGGGCGTCGTCTAAGTTGCCCGAAGCATCGTCATGCACTTGGCCGAACCAAAAGATGGACCAAAGCTTCTTCACTCTCGCCCGAATTCCTTCTGGAAAATTGCGTCGTTCCGGCTTCCCCCCTCCAGGGCTCTCTCCTCCCCCCCCACTCCCACGCCTCTCTCCCTCTTTTCCCTTCCCCTTCACCCCCCTCTTTCCCCGGCCGACTGCGAAATCTCTATCTGAGGGCGGATGCCATGATTCCTGATCCGTCCTTCCCGTCTTCCCACTTTCATGGTAGTAGAATCTAGCTCCTCTGGCATGGCCGAGGTGCCCTTGAAGACGCCTTTGCCTCGGAAAAGTGCCTTCTCTTGTGAGGCCTGCCGCAAGCGCAAGGTGGGTTTCCCCCTCCCTCGTCGCCTACTCGGATGCTTTCCGAGCTTATTCCCAAGAAGGTTCCTCCTTCGCTTACATCTTCGCCTACTGATCTCTGCATGTGATAGGTGAAATGCAACGGCGCCAGTCCGTCATGCTCGCGATGCGCCGCGCGCGGGGAAGTGTGCGTCTATAGCTTGTGAGTCTAGCTCCCCCCTCCGCCGTCTCCATCCGTCATCACGCGCTCTTGGCCTGATGCGGAGGCTCCCGCTCCCCCTGCATGGCTCTTCCGTCGATCGCTAATCCGGGACGATTCCATCTCTCAGAGCCCCGACATTATCCTACACCAAGCAGCTGGAGACTCGAGTGGCTCAGCTGGAGGATGCCCTTTCCAAGTTCCGGGGCCACGCTCCGTCCAACGAGGTTGAGGCTCGAAAAGGAAGCTCCCCGGCATCAACGGGGGAGAGCAGTGCAAGTCCTGGCATCCGGACCCGCATCAAGGAGGAGGACAACGCCGGCGATCTTGCTCGGGATTTTGAAGGTCTAAATGTTGAGCATGACGGTCGAGTGTCCTTCCATGGACCAACCAGTCTGTTCCAGCTGCCGAGTGGTGCGCTGAATGAGGCCACATCGCCTTCTCACCCGTCCCTGCAGTTGGACGGCCGAAAAGAGCGGCTCATCAACAATGCGTGGCGAGAGAGGGCCTTCGAGCAGATGGCCACCATGCCGGTAAGTCTTGGGCATCCGTGCACCTGCCACTGGGAAGCCAGATTCTCATTCGGGATCAGGAGCCATTTCAATATCTTCTTGATTCGCACTGGTGCTGGATCCAGCCACTTTTCAACTTCGTCTACCGGCCCACGTTCACTCGTTCGTATCAGCCTTCCGGCAGTCCTCCTGGGAGCACGTGCTAACCAGGTAATCAGGTGATATGAAAATTAATGGTCCATATTATTCGGACGCTCTACTGAATGCGGTTCTATCCCACTCAGTGCGGTGGTGCAAGGCTGAGCCCAGGATTGGGCCCATACTGGAATCTTTTGACGGCGGCGCGCAATTTTCGCATCGCGCAGTATCAGGCCTGTACGACTCGCTCAAAGTTGGCCACGTTGGAATCCCGACCATCCAGACACTGCTTCTTCTCAGTGCACAGGAATGCGGGCGCGGAAACCGGTCTCAGGCCTGGTTATATAGTGGCATGGCTTTCCGAATGCTGGACGACTTGGGGATATCGATCGATAGCCGCAAATATTCCGACTCGGCGCATCTGACTGACGAGGATATTGAGGTCCGCAATCGACTTTTCTGGAGTTGTTACTTCTGGGACAAAATGGTCTCGCTCTATTTTGGTCGATCGCCCGTGATGCAGCAGTCGCGCGTTAGTCCTCCCAGAACGATCCTGGATGACACCTCGGAGATCGAGATCTGGACTCCTCACGGAGTGGTCTTCCCGGATGGCGCACACTATCCGCCGACCCAGGCACACTCCACCTCCTGCTTCATGCGGATGTGTGGGTTGGCAGAGGTTCTAAATCAGATTCTAATCCACATCTATGACCCCATCCGGCAGGTTTCGGAGGCGGAGTTCTACAGCTGTGTTCAGGACCAAGCAAGGAACCTAGCTGAGTGGTGGGAGGAGTTACCGGATTATCTGAAGCTAATCCCCTCGGAACTTCCTCCATATTCTCCTCCTAGTCATATAGTGATCCTAAAGTATGTCTCCCTCCTGTATCCCCGCCGCTTTGTCGACTGGTGGACTAACGTTTCCTTCCCTCAGCTGCTTGTACCACACCATCAACATCCTGCTGCATCGCCCGATTCTCTGTTCGAAGACAAATCGGGAATCTTACGACAAGAGTCATCTGGTTCAGTGCATTACATCTGCAACATCCATTCTCTCTCTGTTTGACCTTTACCGCCGCACGTTTGGGGACAGCCATGTTGTCCTCTCTCTCTCCTACAGCGTGTACACTGCCGCCTCTATATTCCTCCTCGAAATCCAGGCTTTGAAATACGCCGCGCCAGGGACTCTGGAGAAGATCAAATTCTGCATTTTCGCCCTGGAGCGGGTCAAGGCCTCTAATCCTGGTATGTTCTTGACTCCTGACTCCGGTCTGTCCATTCTCGGACCGTTTGCTAACCTTTGGTTCATTCACAGTAATTACGACTGCCCTCAGCCTAGTCTACCAAGAACTCCAGAAGCTTCAAATCGACATTCATATCGTCGTCCCTTCCACCCAACATGACCAACCTCGACCTCAGCATCAGTCGCATTCCCACCCCCCATCCCGCCACAGCCATTCTCCTTCCCAGCACCACCCACAAAATCAGCCGATAGGTCTCCACAATACGTCCCGTCACGTGTCTCCTCTACAGCAGCAAACTGCCGAGCCTTCTATGGGGGCCTCCGTCCCAACCGCAGGCGTGAGCTCTGCATCTATGCTCCCCGGGTATGCGTTCCAACAGCCGGTCACGGGCTTTGAGCTGTCGCAGACCAGCGTCCCCGCCATGGCCACGACGCACGTTCTGGGCGGGATGCCGAATGCTGTCATGACGCTCGATAACCCCGGCGCGTACGAGATCACGCCGGAGGTCTTCGAGGCGTTTTCATACGCAGAGCCCATCTCAACGAATATGGCGCCCGCGTTCGATGCTAGATTAGCATAAAGTCATTCCCCGCGTGGTAAACGATGGGGTTCGAGACAACGTAATTCACGAGTCACGAGATGTAGACGGCGAGGGACACGCTTCAGGATATATACTCAAAACTCTTCATATATTCGCAACAGTTATAGTAAATCTATACATAAATTATTTATATGGCATTTGAATGATCTCAACCCCAAAGGGTCCCACGTCAAAGCATGTGTATCAAGCATGAAAGTAGAACGGGTATATACCGGAAAGCCAAACCCTGCTAGACCTTTCCCCTAAAAAGCAAAATGTACATTAAGTTGTCCCCGGATAAGTGAAGGGGTACGTATGTTCACGAAAGAGTGCAATGCAGGCGACATGTGTTTAGGACTGATACGCCGTCTTCTGCGTATCTGCCGGTTTGGTATCAAAATGGGTCTCAAATTGGGACTGCACACCCGCCGAGTGAGACGAGGTAACGGGAGAAGAATCGGCATGGGGCCGCGCCTTCCAGCGAAGATACCAGGGTCCATCGAAGAGGTCGCCCATACGTTCGATGGGAACGCCCTTGGTCTCGGGCATCCAGACGCCCAGGATAACCAGGCCTAGAGTACAGATGATGGCCCAGAAGAGGTAGGCACCCCAGACGTGCAGGGAGTCGAACATGTTGGGCGTGACGCGCACCACGGCAAACTGGAAGAACCAGTGCAGGGACATGCTGAGCGCGTAGCTGACGTTGCGGATGCGCGTGGGAAAGATCTCCGTGCCGTAAAGGTAGGGGATGGTGCAGAGACCGACGGACCAGCCGACGGCGTAGACGAAGACGGAGGCGATGGCGGCGTCGGAGGCAGACTTGTTGTTGCTTGATCCGGGCTGCAGGCCCATGTAGATTCCCATGTAGATGTGGGCGGCGAGTTGCAGACAAAGCCCCGTCAGTGCGCAGCGACGGCGGCCCAGGAGATCGATCAAGCCCCAGGTGAAAGCCATGGTGAAGACGAGCTTGACGATGCCGTACGCGCCAGAGGAGATCAGCGAAGTGTCATTCCCCGTGACGCCGGCATATTCGAAAATATTCGAAACGTAGTAGGTGATGCCGTTGCCGCCGGTCCACTGTGCGATGGTCTGCATCGCCATGAGGAGCCAGAAGCGTTGGCGGTAGTTCGGGTTGAGCTGGGTCTCCTTGAAGGCGGTCCAGTGCGAGACGGATGCCAGGTCCGTAGCCTTGGTGCGCACCTGTGCGTCTATGGCGTCGAATTCATTTTCGATTTCTGGATCGGAGATGTCCTTGCCACGGAGACGAGCGAGCACCGCCCGTCCTTCTTCGTGGCGTTGTTTCGAAACGAGGTAGCGGGGTGTTTCGGGAACGATGAAAGAGGCGAAAAAGGCGAGGCCCACAGGGATTAGGGGGATAGCTTGCACCAGTCGGTATTGAGTCCGGGTGGGAGCCATATGCCGGCTTGCCCCATAGTTGATGAAGAACCCTGTGGAGATAGGCAATTAGTTCCGTGAGAACGAAGCCGGGGGGAGGTGGCGAGGGTCGCAAGTGAAAAAAGATAAGATAAAGCCGAAGGACGCCATACCTAGAGCTAAAATAGCCAACAGAATGACCATATACACACTAACTACCAAGCCCCTAGTCCTGGCGGGTGCTAGTGAAAACCGCAAGTCAGCAAATGAAGCGCGAGGTTGTGTTGGCTAGACTGTTAACACACCAATCTCCGATAGATACAACGGTGTAACGACGGTCAGGGCCCCGGCTCCTAGTCCGCTCCAGATCCTTGCAAATAACAACAGTCCATATATGCCGGAGGAGAAGACCTGGATGAGCATGCCAGAGGCCCACACCAGGCAAGACAAGCGCCAGGACTGCAGGCGGCCGAAACGGTCGTTCAAGTCCAGAGCAAACAAGGCGCCGAAGGCCGCCCCCAATACATTAAAGGAGGTGATGTTGGCCTTGCGGTTGGTTAACCCGGTCGGATCATTTGTCCAGTTGGAAGAGATCAGGTTGAAGTCGGTTTTAAACGAGTCCAGCTTGACGCTGGCGCTGTAGCCACCTTCGTCATAACCTGCAGGGAACACGAGTCGAGTCAGCGACGTGATCTATCTTATTATCCACCGGCCGATCGGGTCGGTCTTACCTTTAGGGATACTGCCACAGGCGATGATGAAGATAACGAGGGCATAGAAGGGATTGGTGGTCCATCGAGACCGGTCCCATCGTGCCCCTCCAGACATGACGGTGAAAGATGGGGAAGAGGAGCAGCGAATCCACCGGAAGGATGGATCTAACGAAAATAGAACAAGAATCCGGGGAAATCTGACGAGCAATGGATAAGAGGAAATCAGCCTGAACAGCGCATCTACGGTGGTTCGTCAGCGGGCAAAGGAATTCCGCGATGGAGACGGACGAAGGAGTCGAAGCGAGAAGGGGGCGTGACCTGCTCGGTCAACTTCCGTTTTTCTCCTCTTTTTTTCCTCTTCTCCTTCTCTGTTCTTCTCTTCCGCTAACAAACTCTCTCGCGCTGTGTGTGTGTGCCTCTCGCCTAACGCCAACCAGAACCCCTGGTCAATCGACGGAGAATATCTCCTCCTACGTGGTCATATCGATTTGACCGGTTTAATTCCACCAGGATACGAATCCGATCGGAGTGGCTTGTCGCGGCAGATCCGGCGGTTGGTTCCGCTGCCAATCCACTCGAGCTTCGCTTATTTGACTCTAGTTTTTATTTTATTTTATTTTTATTAGGTTATTATTGCATACTCCTTGACAGGGCTTCCCGTCTCTTCCTCTCCTACCGGACAACGTCCGCCCTCCATCATGGCCATCTTCCGGCTTCAAATCCAACGATCGTTGGTGGCCTAGTGGGTCACCGGCCGTGAATTCGTAGGACAAAATTTTTTTTTTTTTTTTTTTTTTTTTCGTCTCGGCCTCCCTTGGCCTACATCGGACTACGTTACCTTGCTTCCGGTAAGGGAATCAGGAAGGCATCGGTGATGTGGCCGATTCCTGCAGTAACCTTTCGTCACCCCCCCGTTCGGTGTCGATTCATCAGTTGCCTTGACAGCTTGAACCGGTGAAACCATGATATCGATCCAGCCTTTGTGGAGAGGAGCTACTCCCCTCAGACCACTTGCACCGATTCTTGTAAGTCGTACTTTCGACTGGGTCCCGCGCTGGGGTCAACTACGGAGTACTATCTATATACCCACCTCCCTTTGCTGGAGAAGCCCCGAGCACCTCTTTTCTTTTTGCATTTTGTATTCGCATCTTCCTTTTACACCCTTAGCATCCTTCTTTACCTGCGTTTGATTATTGATTGCGTTGCAGCGATGGTTCAACCCTCTCTATCCGGCGTACTTACGTCTGTGAAGCCCAGGACTACGAGTCTATTGGACAGCCCTCTTCGCTTGTCCTTCGGCACATCTATCCAAAAGCGTGAGCAGACCAGCTATTGCAAAGAGACCCGGAAACCTCTACATCCTCTTCCCTTGAAGCAAAGGATCCCTCCGCGAACATGGGATACCCATATGCATGTCGTGGAACCGCAGCACTATCCGGTGTCTGCGTCGGCCGTCTACCAACCATCGGCCCACACGCTCGACGAGGCCGTCTCCTTTGAATCGTCTCTGGGAATCGAAAACATCGTCCTTGTTCAGCCCTCGATATATGGAACCGACAACTCTTGCCTTCTGGACGCACTAAAACAAATCGGCCCCTCTCGTGGCCGAGGGGTGGTGGTAATCAACCCGGCCAACATCGAGGCGAAGACTTTATGTGAATGGCACGCCTTGGGGGTGCGAGGCGTGCGAGTGAATCTGAAATCGGTGGGAAAGGTGTTGAACGAGCATGAGCTAGCCGAGACCCTGTTGCAACATGCCGCAAGGGTGCGTCCCCTGGGTTGGATCATCCAGGTCTATATTGCTCTGGACATGGTGCCCATGCTGGAACGCATTGCTCCGCAGTTGGGGGTTAAGGTCTGCATCGACCACTTTGGCGCCCCCGATCTTTTGTCGCTAAGCCTGGCGGACGGAAACCCCTTTGACCCGTACTCTCTGCCGGGGTTTTCGTCCTTGATCTCGCTTCTGCGCGCAGGGGACACTTATATCAAGATCTCTGCGCCCTATCGGTTAAGCAAGGACAAGGAAATGCGCGACCTCGAGATGATGATTCGGGAATTTCTATTGGAGGCCCCCAAGCGAGTGATCTACGCGACCGACTGGCCTCACACTCGACACTCGGGAGTTGACATCGAACCATTTACGGAACTCTGTTTACGACTATGCGGCGATGAGCCAGGGCTGGCCGAGCGAATCTTCCGACAAAACGCCGAAGAGTTGATGGACGGGAGGCACAGGTGATGATCAATCACCCTGAAGCCCACACACGGTGCATTTAGACATATTTACGACTTACGATAATACAACCCTGATTGATCATATTACGGAGTATCTACGGGGAAAGGAATCCAGCGAGGCAGCTAGTAATCCGCGGGAAACTTCTGGCGGCCGTTTCGGAAGGTGACCGAGAGTGGCCGGTTGCACGTCGTCGAAGTTGACGGGATTTCCGGTGGTCGGCAAAAGTGGATCCTCGGACCTGGACGGTGGACAGGATGCCGTTGATAACTTGATCCTGGATTCCTGATAATTGACTCAAGCCCTGGCCCCTTGTCGTTTCGAGCGTAGTCATGGTTCGTCTCGATCAAAGTCCGAGCTCGCCATCAGCGCCGCAATTCGTCGAACCCCGAGGTCGGGTCGATCCCATGCCGCCCGTCCTTTTTTTTTTCTCTTTCTTTTTCTTTTTCTTTCTTTTCTTCTCTCTCTTTTCGTGACTTGCTGTCTACGGAGTATATACGCCGTAGTATTATACCATAGCACCAGAGCAACTGGGTTAAATGTTACGCAATTCGAGTCCGGAGCCAAGAGCCTCGGGAATCCTCCGTACTCCATCACACATTGTTTGATAATAACTGGGATAATTGATAAGAATTATACATACAACCGAGTCCTCTTCCATTTCCCTGTCCGAGAGCAATTACCGCTTTGGTCTGATCCGTGTTCAACCCTCCAGGCCAAACTGCGGATGGGCCTCCGCAGTGCAGATTACCTTCGGCCCCTATAGATTGACAATATTTCGTTAGTTATATCACTTAACCCAAAACAGCCTGGTGAACCAAAAAAAAAAAAATGAATAAGAAGGACAAGGACACTCACAATAGTATAACAGCACTTCGGCGTATTTCCGTCGTCACAGAGCTCTCTAACGTCATCGCCCATTTTCGTGCCTATTTCCCATCGTCAGTATCGTCAACCAGCCCCCAAGACAAAAGAAAAAAAGAATAAGGGAAAAAATAAAATAAAAACATACACCCCTCTGATTCCTTCCCGACTTCGTTCCCAGGTACATCTATGAACTTGGTACAGCAGTAGGCCTTCTGAATAAAGCCCGATTTGTCCTGCCCCGGGCGGCAGAAGTAGGAGTCCGCAGCGGCAAGAGTGAAGGTCGTGGTGAGGGCGAGAAGGACAGTAGATGGATGCATGGTGTTCCTTTTCTTGCTGGTCTTTTTTTATATCCTGCGTAGATCTCGTGCCTTAATGATGTGGGTAATAGTGATGGATAGGTAGTTGAGCGGGATGGAGACGGAGAAAACAATCGAGTGCTAAAAGAAAGGGGGATGGAAGGCAAGGACACGCTGGAATGTTATACTGGGCTAGAACGAGAGGGGATGGATGCATAGGCCAATGGCTTTTCGTAGAAATAAGCCAGCCAGCTGCAGAGATGGCTGAGAGTTGACGGGGTGATGGAGATGGTGTTACTTTTATCCCTTGCTGGCTGTTATTTGGTATGCATGTTGCTGGATGCTCATCTACTGCAGATGGCAGCGGCATATCTGCAGACCATGTACTCTGTATGTAGGGTTGGGTGCAGAGGTGAATCGGCGAGTGTTCCGCCATGACCTTGTCCGTAATCATATCTATCATTGTTTTAGTCGTCCCGATGTGGGAGTGGGATTTACGAGTGGGATTGAAGGTCTCGTACTAGGGATGATGGGTTAGAGTTCATCCTTGGGGGCGCATCCCTTTATTTATCCCTTGATCAATCAGCTACTGGACGGCCCTTTCATTTCCCTGGGGACTGAAATGTGTGGTTTTCTCAATCTTGTCAAAGCATCAGTGGTATTGAGCTATCGTAGTTATTCTGTATTCAAGAGACTGGAAGTCGTGTAAGCATCCTCCGACCTTAGTTCAGCGGCACCTCAGTCGGTCCAGTAAGCTCCACCTGTGTCGGGATGGTTACTCTCTGGCTTCCGGTTTCCTCGGAATCTGAGCTGGCAGTAGACACGCGTGAATGTCCGAGAACCGTGACTGCTTGGATCTTCACGTCCGCCTTGCGATCGAACTTGCCCTTGACGAACAGCGTGCCCCGACGGTATTCGAACTGCACTTCCGACGTGCTCTTCTGCTTCAGCGAGTCTCCGTCATCCAGGTACAGACTTCCCGAAGCAGTGCCATCCAGGCCAGGGGCAACGATCAACTCGAAGCTCTTCTGTCGCAACTCCGTCGTGGTCATAGCACTGGATGATCGGACGGGGACGATGCTACCCCCACGAATGTGGATGGGGATATGCGTGATGTCAACATTAGAGAGCGTCACGTTGGTGCCCTTGCCGCGCAGGGGCGCACCGGTGTACCAGTCGTAGAAGATGTCCTTGGGGAAATATGCGGTGACCGAGGTCTGATTCTCCTCGGTCACGGGACTAATTAGAATGGCATCACCATAGAAGAACTGCAAGCCGTTGGAAAAGGTCTTCTTGTCCTCGGGGTACAAATAAAACATGGGTTGCAGGAAGGGCTCGCCGGTTGTGCTCTGTCGGTGAAATTGGGTATAGATGTAATCCAGAAGCTTATACCGGATCTCGATGGCCTTGCGAGCGGACTCGGCCACGGTGGGCCAGAGGTAGAACTCCTGGGAGATACTACCGATCTCGTTGTGGTTACGGAAGAATGTATAAAAGGCTCCTAGAGAGGCCCAGCGCGCGCAAAGCTCCTCCGTTGTGTGGCTGCCAAATCCGCACACATCGGCACCGACCATGGGAACCTGGAACATGGATGCAAATGCAACAATCTGGGAGATGGAGAACCGGTACTGGCTCCATTGACTCAGGTTGTCACCGAGCCTGAATCTTGTGAGCCAATATTTTCAATCAGGACAGCATCTGACAATCAAACTTACCAGTGACCAACATGCGCACCAGCACCGGCAAATGTACTGCGGGTGATAATTAGAGGCCTCACATCAGGTCTACGCTGCTCCATGGCAACTCGGGACGCGGAGCTCATCACTAATCCAGGTTAAACGGGCGGTGCAAAATCCAAATGGTGAGTATGACTTACTTGTACCATACAGGTTATGGGTGTCGTAGTCGGCATATCCCTCGCCAGCATGTATGACGTCGGTGTTGATTGTCTTGTTGCTAAGAGACCCTGCGGCGTTCTGGATCTTGTAGGCCGGGTTAATAAGGTCACGCCCAGGCAAGCCTATCTTACGTCCTTTTCCTGGCGATGCTCTCTTGAACGATCTCTTGGATGAGGAAGGCTGGAAGGAGTCAGGGAATCCGGGCAGTGGTCGTGGGCTGCCTGGACGAACAGGTGGCGGCGATGGCGGCAGTTCGTTTTCCACGGCGTATTTTTCTGGGTTCTGGCAGGGGTAAGGGCAGAAGTTGGACGCCTCATTCATGTCGATCCACAGTCCATCGATATCAACACCAGTATCAGCATCGAAGAATCTTGCGAACTCGTCATTCCAGTAGTCTTGGATGTCAGGATGGAACCAGTCCGGGAATGCGGTCACACCAGGCCACACGGCGCCTAGACGATCTTTTAGTCCGGCTCATCATGAAGGCTTTGAAAGAATATTCAACTGACCTTTGTAGAGACTATCATTCTGGGTCTGAAGGAATATTTCCTGCTCTAAACCTCTCTCGAAAGCTGCGTTTTCTGTGGGAGAGCATTAGTCATACAACTGTTTAAGCAGCATGATGGCTATAAGCCTCGCAACTCTTACCAGCTGTGCTTACAGCGGGATCAACCATGACAATATAATGCTGATCATGCTCATGCAAATAGGCCACAAGCTCACGCGTTCTATTTATGGGGAACCTCTCTTGATCGAGAGTAAAGACCTTTCTGCGATCCATGTAGTCGATATCGGTCCACATTGTCTCCAGTGGGATCTTAGCCTGGCTATAATTATAGACCACCTCGGCAACCTGATATACATCGCGGTAGCCGTATTTGCATTGATGGAACTGGTGATGGTTAGTGAAGTCCCTTTCATGGAGATGAACATAGCCCTCGATAGAAAAGCAATGAGGTAAGAGAAAAGAGCAACTTACACCGAAAGACCAGTAGCTTTGCATAGCCGGGAGGCCGACCACCTTCGAATACTCGATGCTTGCCTCCTTGGGAGTGTTTCCGGTAAAGAAGTAGAAATCCAGAATACCCCCAAGAGCATTGTACTCGAGATACTGTTCACCATCCTCGGACTTGCTGATGCGGATGTCCATGCCATTGGAGTTCAACAGGAAAACGCCATGGGTACCAGATTTTCCACGATGGTCGTAGTATACGGGGTGGGCCCCGTAGAGGTTAGTATTTTCACCGGTCCCGTAGGCATCCCGGTTCCAGAGAGTGCGGGTGTAATTCTCCGTCGGTAAGCGCAGAGGGTCGCTATGCTCTCCTAGACCATACAGATAAGGATCCTCAGGAAGGCGGGTACGAATATTCAAATACTGCGACTGAAAGACGAGGTTTGATGCAGAAGTATCAAAAAGCACCTCGTCTCCTCTGGAGACAGTGAAAGAGAAAGGCTCTTCTTCATAGTCAAAGTTCAACACGGAGTCGTCTTCAGAGCTGTGGCGCCCACCTACACGGGGTAGCACCGACTCGGGGACCTGGTAAACTTGTTCATCGGCATCATAAATCATAACATGAAGACGTTCATCTGGCCAGGAGCGAGATTAGCGGGACTTCCAGTTGCACGTTGTGACCTGCATCGTGGAAAGTTCTTACCAGTTTGGTACTCGACCAGTAGCTTCAGATGCTTCAAGTCCGTGCCGTAGCTGTTGCAGGGTTTCCCCGCAAGAGTCAGGTCGGCAGTCAAGGAATTGCCTCGCTCACGGACATTCGATGCCTTGTAGCCGGGGCAGTCTTGGCTGTCCGCGCGGGACCCAATGACTGCGGCCCCTGCAAGGGGTGCTAGAAGTAAGAGGGACCCCAGCATGCTGGATTCTAAACCGAGGATGCGTCGAGGAGCGATGGAACTTGATCTGGTGATTTAGACCGGGGGGCGACGGCCGCTATTTATGCACCAGTCGGCCCGCGTAGGCAGTGTGTGCATCGGATACGTTGTACATGCATACACGGCGCACACATGGTACATTTGGAAAGAGCAGAGGGCCATTTAGTGGCGCGCTGTGGTATGACCGGTCCCCGCAATATCAGAAGAATAGGCCAGAAACCCCATAACGCGGGCATTGGTCGGGTCGGTGGCCGACAAGGGGTGGCCAGCAGCTGCTGTGTGGAGTCCTTGGGGTTGCACTAACGGGACAATATTGGGGTTAGATCACTAGATGGCGCCGACGCCATGGCAAATAGCGGGGATTTGCAGGGTCTGATGGATAAGTCATCTCGGTCAAATATCGGGGGTCGTACCAATTCCCTGTCCTTTCCAAGAGCGTCATCGAGGATCTTGCCCGTTTTCAACATTCAAATCGGCCCCGAATGATGCAAATTGAACCCTATGCTCCATAGTTATTGCTTTCGTTTTCTCCGAGCGAAGTTCAATCGGCAAGGAGACTGGTGTTGGACGACCGAAGCGAATTGCTAGTGGCATGGCGTTGCGTGGGATGCCGAGTCGGCATTGGTCTCCGCTAGAACCCAGTATATATTAATGAAGAGCCATCCAGATACAGTGGTAGGGTTATTCAACTAAGCTGTTCATACCGAGGATACCCAACATTCGTACGGAACCCCAAAAAAGGGTTCGAGCTCGTGAAGTTTATGCTCGCCCGTCCAGCTGGCCGACAAATGATTGTTTTTGAATTCCTTCATCTGATACGTCATTGTAAAGCAGATGACAATGATAGTGATGTCGACGCCTCCTTTATTTATCAAACAACCGCCGGGCCTTTTGAACAGGTCGATAGGATTGACTCTGATAATTGCATGAACCTCCCAGCGGGGTCTAGCGGTGTGCTAACTAACCATGAGAAGAGCTTTCCATCTCCCAGTCGGAGAATGAATCAGTGTGAGCCAGCCACCTGGAGACCACACGTTGTAAATGCAGCCACATTCGTGTTTCCAATGGCCGTTGATCCGCCCGAGTCCGGACTACCCTGCTGTACAAGGAGTCTATCTGGGCCGATGGTCGATGGTTGACAACTCTGAGTCGACGTCGCACCGGAAGAAATGTTGGGGATGTCAGGTGATTCGAGGGTCACGGGCTTCATGCAAACTGATTGTGCAGAGGAACTGCCAGGAAGACGACAGGTAAATTGCTTAATCCATCGTAAGACATCCACGGTCCTCCTTTGGACGTTTCCGTCATTCGACAGGATAGCCCAAGTCCTCAGATGCAATTCTGACGGATTGGGTTGGGAAGAGTCACGACAGAATACAGGGTCAATCGGTAAACAAAATCTTCAGGGGAATAAATAGATTTCTACCGGAATCTCTATAGCTCCCAACCGGCATGCATCTCTAAATAAGAAATTGGCATAAAATTTACATGGCAGGGTCATGGCACAATGCGAAGTCCAACAGCGAACGAAAAGGAAAGGAAAAAAGAAAAAAAAAAGGTATAACAAGGTGACCAGTCACCTTCTCAACAACGCCCGGAACAGATATATGGTTTTGGTTCCCCCTCTACAATGCACGAAGTTAGATCGTCTGACCAGCGGAAGCAGCCTTGACATCTTCTTCGGAGCTCATGATCTGGACCTTGATGGCGCCCGTCTTGGGGTTTGCGGCCGTTTCAAACGCCTTGAGGGCGTCTTCCAAGGTGTAACGGTGAGTGACCAGCTTCTTCAGGTTGATAACGCCGTTCTTCACCAGGCGGATGGCACGAGGCCAGGTGTTCGAGTACCGGTACTGGTACTGCAAGTCGATTTCCTGCGTACTCAGGCGCATGAACGGGATCTTCATCTCGTTCTTGCCCACGCCAATCACGAAGACCTTGCCTCCGAACTTGACACTCCAGATGGCGGATGCGACGCTGCTTTCGACACCCGTGCACTCGAGAGCCAGGCGGGGGCGCAGAACGTCGGGGCCCGAGCTCTGTCCGTTGTTGAAGACCTTCACGATACCCTCTGCGGTCTCCTCCGCCGACAGGCCGATCTGCACCTTGTAAGTGAGGACATCGGGAACCAGCGACTTGGCAAATGCCAATCGGCCCTCGTCGATGTCGGTGATGACGATGGGGCTGGCACCGGCGGCGCGAGCACTCAGCAGGGTGATCAGACCGATGGGACCAGCGCCGGTGACCAAGCAGGGGTCACCCAGGCGCAGCCCGCTACGCTCAATTGCGGCCAGCGACACGCTGAGAGGCTCCAACAGCGCCCCGTCTTCGTAGCTCATGTCCCCAATCTTGTGGCACCAGATGGCGGGGTGGTTGACATAGCGTCGCAGCAATCCGTCGACGGGCGGGGTGGAAAGGAACTGGACGTTTTCACAGCCGTTGTAGCGGCCGGTCAGACAGGGCTCGCAGGCATTGCAGATAATGTTGGGTTCGACGGCGACGCGATCGCCGGGCTTCAGATGGGTGACGTCGGACGCGACCGCAACCACTTGACCGGCCGACTCGTGGCCCAGGATGTGGTCGCCCGTGACGATCATGGGACCGATGCAGCCTTCATGCCAGAAGTGCACGTCCGATCTGCGCACCACCGCACCGTTCATTAGCAACTCGTAGGGGGTTCCTGCTCGAGACGACAACGTACCCGCAGATTCCGGTGCTTCGGACCTCGACCGTCACCTCGCCGGGCTTCAACCCTTGACCACTCTTGACCTGCTCGAGAGAGGGCGTAGACTCGGCCACCCACAGGTCGTGGTTGGTGTTGGTGAAGACACCAATGTTGGGCTTGTCGATAACGGTTGCGCTAGCCATGGCGTCTCAAAGTACAGGGCGGGAATATCGAGGCGAAGGAGATGTATAGCGAAAGGAGGAGGAAGATGAAGGAGACAAGGACAAGGAGGGGTTGACGAGGGACGTCACCAGCTTTAATAGTTCAAGCTGCCCCTCCAAGTGGCATTATTGGAAAGGGACAGGACGAGAAAAGATTTTCCATTTGCTCCAACGTGACCGGTCGCTGAGGATTGGAGGGCAGAACCAACCATTCATGATTGTCATTATGTGGAGGCCAGCAATTTATCCGGGCGCGTTTGCCCCGCGCGGGGGATTCTCTCGATATCATCCGGAGAATACAGCCACCGGCACCGTTCCTGCTTTAATCAATTGCTGTCGGCGCTAATCCCATCCATCCAGGTGCTCGAGAATCGTGAAACCCACGGAGCCCTCGGGGCTACTCCGCAATGTCCCGGCCAGAAGACGCAGCGCGGATCGAGGAAGAAGAGACAGGCACCAGGCACCACAGTCCGACCCATGTTCGGTTAATTCTGGGCACTTCGAGCTTTTAGCCTTGATTTCCTTATCGCGCCCGCCGGCGACGGGGTTGTTTGTGCCCAGAGGGGCAATTCTCCGGTGGACTCCACGCCTTCTTTGGTGGAGAATCCCAGGGACGCCGGGGATCCACCCCTTGTATCGGGCCTCTGCGTGGCCAACTTGCGGATGCCGGATGTTTTGCTTCTCGACTGTGCCTCGGGGTTCGGTTTCGAGATGGTTCATGATACTAACTAAGGTCTAGTCTACTGCCCCTGCGTGTGCTGCTTGGCCTTTTCCCGACCTGTCAAGGATGGCGTGCACGGAGTCGGGAGATATACTGCGTATGCGAAAATGTATTTACGCACATCTCGATCGGAGGACTACTCCTGGTCTGATCGACAGAATTGCTCACGGTCTGGACCGAAATGCATGGTGGAATACTTCAGTCTTTCCATTGATACTCCCTCGGTGCGATGTATATCGGGGTTTATCCTACGATCTAAATACCCGAGGTCGAGTCTACTGTTTAGTCCAATGCCTTGACGTGTGATTACCCTCAGAGTCCAATTACCTCCTAAGATCACCGAGCTAGCAGGAATGAGCCCTGTTGCTGTGCATCGTCGCCAGTGCGGATCCGTGGCCATTGGTCAGTATCGTCAAGTAAAAACCCGGCGATAGCTCCTCCAGCTTGGATGTTCTAGAAAAAGCTTAATTCGGTCTCGCCTCTAGGCTAAACCGGCCTGCAGCGGGGATCACACCGGGGGATGCTTGCCAATTGCATTGTAGATGTACGTCAGCGACTTGAGCTTGAAAGTCGGTTGACTCGAGCAAAGCTACCACACAGCTCGACCCTGGGGTTTCGAAGGCAGATCAAGCGCCTCCAAGAGCCCACTGCGGGATTAAAGCCATTACTTTACTCCTACTTCTTTGCGCGCAGACGAACATTTGCCTGAGATCCGTTCTCTGCCTGGCGGCTGCCTCAGGCAAGTACGCACTCGTCGGCTTTTCGACCGATGAATGCCACGATGGCATCGACAACCGCAGCCATACCACGCGGAATGACTTCTAGACTTTAAACTAGAAGAATTTGCTGTATTATAAAATCACGCAAGATCCCCACAAGGTAGTCAGAACTTCCTAACTATCCACCTACCTTAATATCACACGGACTGCCAAGCTCTTCTCAGTTGAACGACCCACAACAGAATGGCTCCTGGATGTACAAGGGCACACGAAGGGTGCGCGAGACGGACTGTCCTCCTCTTGTCTAACCATTATCCAGCACCAGTCAGATAATTTGGCTCGGTTGTAACAGGAGGCTTGTGCTTTTCCTCGGGACTCAGATATCTTTCTTCGGAACGTACTGCCCCAGAAACTATGGCTCAATTCATCAGTCTTGCCATAGCGATCTCAAACTTATCTTGTATTGAGCTGCAGAGATTGGACTTAGGGGACAATTAGACCATCCTCGATAACGAGCGGCAATAACCCGTTGTATGTATGACTGCCTGTCACAGGGTCAGTTGCGACGGGTGTAACACATAGACGCAAGGCAACTTAGACTTCATAGAGAATATTTGGGGGCCCCGGCTGCCTTTTTTTTTTTTTTTCTTTCTTTTTCTTGGTTCCAACTAAAGTTGTGCTCCATGTTGTATTGACTGGGGCAATTTATTTCCCGAAAATCAGCATGCGAAGAATAAAGAGCTATAGTTATCTTTCAAATTGATATTAGGAGTTCAACTACTATCTAAGCCGGAGAGTTGAATTGATTTCCTTGCCATCGAAACGGCCCAAAGACATCTGAGTCGCAAAAGTCTGAAGCTCAAGGCAGTCCTTGCGGTCTCTGACAACATCGCGCCTCGCATTGGATTGTTGAAGAAAGCTATGTCGACGTCCTAGATCGCCCAAGCATCTCAGGTTGCTTTTTTCTGCGGCGGACGATCATTCGGCTTATGTGCTGACCAGACATTGATAGGAGATTATTTCTAGGGCGTCGCGACTGGCTGCAGCAACCTCCAAGTTGGAAATTGACTACCAGCCGCTTGGCATCGTTTCAGCCACGTTCTGTAGGTCGGAATCAACCTTTTGAGTTATGTCGAAACTATACGATTCGGGGTTTGCGTCGTTACGCTCCAGAATTCGCGACGTAATGGTGCAATGGAGTCTTTCAAGGCGACCGATCTCCATGTCCTGTGCAAATGCTAATTTCGATGCCATGCTTCGATCTGGTGAGCCCTGAGGAAGCCCTAAACATGAGACTAAGAAAACAATCCGCACATACAATATGATACCACAAGTATGGGGGATTAATCCTGGCTCTAGGGACAACAGATTTGAGCTTTTGCTTGCCGGCACGATGAAGACCCATTAACTGGGCGAGGGCCATGGCTCGGCGAAAAGAAACCCAGGAACGTCGAAGATTTCCACAATTTGCTTGGTACATCCTTTCCATCATAATACACTCCAAGCCCTCCATGGTACCCAAGAGCTCATCGTGAGCGGTGACAAGTCGGTTAGCCATGACTTGTGGTAGTTCAGGCATGGTTTCGATCGTTTCATAGGACTCGGGATCAATATACCACAGTACGGTAGCAATGAAAAAGATATACTTGGCTAGCAACACCGGATGGTTATTGAATCCGGGGCGGGCCAGCACCTAAGAAGCCCAGTCCGTCGTGTTTGATATCGAGGTAGGGCATCAACATGACTTGGTAAAAGTAAATGGAGACATGTGCACTGGCCTTCCACATTATCTCGATATCCTCAGGCGAGGGTAGCGTGGAATACAAAGCTTGAGAAATTTTCGCATGTTTTGCCGTGTCCGTACATTGCTGCTGGGGTCGAGTGTTGCCAGCTACTAGATCCCCGTTCTCGAAGTTGATGCCTTCCATAGCAAAATAGCTTTCCTACATGAATAAGTGTAAGTTCTATATACATTGCCCATTTAAACGTGGACCACAACTGACCTCCCTTCTGCTTGAATTTTGCGAGGGTGGAATCGTAGGAACGTCGGCCAAGGGCTGCAACGTGTTTCCCTCTTCTCCCCTAGGCTTGCTTTCATTAAATTTATTATCAAAATCTCTTGTTGAGTCAAGCAGTCCTTTGATTTGAGCCGAAGCGAGCACCTACTGGGAGGTCTCTATCGCCTGAGGGGGCTGCCGCTTCTGGGAATTCTTGACTCAAACAAGCGGTGCCACGACGTCGACAGTTCATGCAGACGTGGTCGGAGGCCGAGTCAGAAGTACATCGAACCTTTCGCCATTTGCATTCCCAACAACTGTTGGCTCCCTTGCGAATCTTCCTGAGCTTGGTACTATCTCCTTGAGGACGAGGACTCGCTGCGGCCAGATGGTCCATCGCGCGTCGTTCAGTCGAATGCCATGAGTATTACGATGGGGGAAGAGCGAGATAGAAATATATATATGTGCGAGTCTTATTAAATAAACAACCAATTCCACCACATCCGACACGGCGGAGAAAAAGCTGGGGGACATGGCATTGAACCTTAGGATATGGGGGTAGTCAAGTCTACCTCCGCCGAAACGGAGCAAGACAGCATGATGAATGACAGTGTCATTTTCAGGACTAGAGCACGGAAGAAGGAGTGAACACCGGTGGATTAAGAGTGCTAGAGATGGCGACAACGGAAGGCCGGGACTCCGTGCAAAAGGCGGAGGGGCCACGTGACCGGGTGGGTTCCCTGAACTTCCCGAGCGTCAAATCTCAGATTCTGGTCCTGCAATTGCGCGACGACCTCCTTCTGGCTCTTGACCCCTCCGCCATTGGACTTCTCTGTCCCTCACCTGCGACCTCCACGCTTCATTCTCTCCCTTTAGAACCCTTTTCCTTTTCCAGTGGTCTTCAAGATGCCCGCCACGGCGTCCCGTGCCGTGCTTCGGCAATCGCAGTTCATGGTCCGGAGGACCGCTGTCAGGCACGCCTCCTCCACCTCCGAGTCTGCCTCCAAGGCTGGTGAGGCTGCTTCTTCGGCTGCCTCGAAGGCGTCTGAGGGTCTTTCTCGCGTCTCTTCCTCCGCCGGTCCCGCGCTTAACAACGCCGCCAGCGCCCTGAGAAAGGTCGGTGGAAGAACCGGAAAAGTCATCTCCTTTGTCGATTGTAAGACGGCCCTTCCCTTCTGGTTCTCATCAGAGGTCTCGAAGCATCCTGACCCCTAATGGGCGAGATGAATTGATTTGGCCATGCCCGATCACATCTCCTGGCCTCCTTGATGAGACCCACAAGCCTGCGGTTCTGCTCCGTGGGAGCCGTCAGTCCCTCCTGGCATTGCTAACCATTGACGATGTTTACTTAGCCATGATACCCCCTACCGTCTACTACACGCGAGTCGGACTTGAGCTCGGAAAGCTGGTGTTCCGCGGACAGAACATGACTCCCCCGTAAGCATTCCCGGTCATCGCCAACATAAAACGAACTCGATCCGCTAACGCCCATCCTTAGGAACCTGGCTACCTTCCAGTCGTACTTCCAGCCTCTGATCAATGCTTTCCGCAACCCCGCCACTCTCAAGAACGCCGACTTCGTCTCTCCCCAGAACATCCTCGCTCGTGTCCGCAACGCCAACAAGAAGGAGATCGCTCTGGCGGGTGTCACTCTTGCGGAGGTCATCGGATTTTTCACCGTCGGCGAAATGATCGGCAGAATGAACATTGTCGGCTACCGGGGCCACCCTGAGCACCACGGTGACCACTAGGTCAATCGCAACCCAATGATGTCCTGACCTGTCCTTTCTTCGATTTCCTTTCCCGCGTGCTGTACTATTGTATGATAGACGATGGAATATAACTGTTGTCTGAGGTAAACCTGATTTTGGGAGACTCCATTTCCTATCTCTTTTGTGTCGATTCCTGATATTCCGCCGTTGTTTCTTTGTTCTATGGTTGTCCAAAAATCTTCGTATAGATGCCAGTCCGTATAGTTGTGAGCAATAGAGATTCATGTTCCGTGGAATCCGAAATCGGTGTCTGCTAGGCGCCTTGCCATCTCTTGGTCCGTCCGTAGTATGTACCTAAGGTAGAAGAGGCCCCCTGGGTAGTGACTGGTGAGTGGTGACACCGGAGTGGCGATTTGCAACCCTGGGGAAATCAATGGCATGGCTATTGACTGCTTGATTTCTTTAAATTGACTGTTACTCGAATTGCAACGTTGCTTTCCACGCGTTCAATAATGGGCAAACCAACCGTTGAAGACGCTGGGCTGGTCGCTCCCCTCTGATTGGTCCGTGCGGGAAAGAATTTCTGCCCCGGACTTTTTTTTTCTTCTCTTGATATTGAAATGTTTCCTTCATCCACCTCATAATTTCCAACCAAGCCCCTCTAAACCCACGGAGTAGCTGATTGCTCGCTAGGCCCCATTTTCTATGGTGGTCTCATTCATTCCCGTGTACCTGAAAAAAAGATGGATGCATTTAAACTATTAACTCGGTCTGCCAAGTTCAAGACCAGTGCCACTCCGTCTTCGGCGCAATCTCTCCCTTCCAAGGGCAAGGCTGAAACCCCCCAGCTTTTCCATAATGCCGAAGCCGAAAGGCTCGTCGCCGAGCAAAAACTAGGGAAAAAGCGGAAGAGAGGTCATGTAGGGGATGATGAACCCCGATCTGAAGACGAAGCGGATCTAGACTTTTTTGGATCCGGGAAAAGATCTTCGGCAGCTAAAGCGGCGAAGAAGGAGCAAGTCGAAGTGTCTCTCCAGGATGGCGTTTCTGAAGATGAAGAGGATGACTCTATGGATGAAGTGCAGTGTCGAACTATTCTGAATGCGCACAAGATTAAGGTGACGGATCTGCGGGATCTGGAGGAGATTCAGTCGGTGCAAGTGCCAACCGACGAGCCGAAGAAAAAGAAGAAGAAGAAGCAGCAGCAGAAAGAGAAAGCTTCTCAGACCCTCACGAAGAAGGAGCAGAAGAAGGCTCGTCAACTTTTCCCGCAACCGCTTGTCTCTTTCAAGGAATTGCGCGCCAAGTATAAAATTTCGAGTCGTCTTGCAGAGAACATTGCCGAACAGGGTTTTACTGTTCCGACGGAGGTGCAATTGGGTACTCTCCCTCTGCTGCTCGGAGCGCCTGCCGCTTCCCAGAAGTCAAAGACGGACGAATCGGTGGAACCGGATCTCTTGGTTGTCGCGCCCACGGGAAGTGGGAAAACGCTGTCATTCCTGATTCCTGTTATCAACAAGATTGTGCGCCATCACCACGAGCAGCAGGAAGAGCGGGGCATCTTTTCTATCGTTGTTGCCCCGACCAAGGAGCTCGCGGGGCAGATTGTTAACGAGGGCCGGAAACTAGTTCGGGGAACCGGCGTGAAGATCACGCTGATGAAGAAGGGCATGCTAGTGGCGGAGCGTACGGACGAGTCTGGAAGTGGCAGCAACGATGTTTTGAATGAAGACAGCTCAGACGCATCGGAATCGGAGGACGAAGAAACCATCACGGAAAAGAAAGGCAAGAGTAAGCCGGCCGTAACCAAGAGTGATATCCTCGTCACAACGCCTCTACTTCTGGTTAATGCGCTTTCCGAAAACCGAAAAAAACCACTGGCTTCTCTGCCACTGGTGAGAAACATTGTGCTTGACGAAGCCGATGTTCTTCTCGATCCTCTCTTCCGCGAACAAACCCTTGATATCTGGCGCGCATGCACGCATCCAGAGCTTCGTGCGAGTCTCTGGTCGGCCACGATGGGGTCTAATATTGAGGATCTCACCAAATCATTGATTAAGGAGCGCAAAGACGCCTCTACTCTGACAAAATCCTACCCCTTGATCCGCCTTGTCGTCGGCTTGAAAGATTCCGCAATTCCAAACATCCAGCACAAGCTGGTCTACGCTGCAACGGAACAAGGGAAACTCCTGGGTCTCCGACAGCTCCTTCGTCCCTCTGCAGCAGCGGCCTCGGATGTGCGTCTTCGCCCGCCGTTCTTGATTTTTACCCAAACTATCCCCCGAGCAGTGGCTCTACAGTCCGAATTGCGTTACGACATCCCCCCTGAGGCCGGTGGCTCTTCTCGGATAGCGGTTCTTCATTCGGAGATGTCGGACAGTCAGCGCTCCGAGATCATGAAGGATTTCCGCAAGGGCGAGATTTGGATCCTTGTCACGACGGATCTTTTAGCCCGTGGAGTTGACTTCCGAGGCATCAACGGCGTTGTCAATTACGATATTCCGAACTCAGCGGCGGTCTACGTCCACCGAGTTGGAAGAACCGGACGAGCCGGCCGCGAAGGTGGCGTTGCTGTCACGTACTACACCAAGGAGGATATCCCCTACGTCAAGAGCATTGCCAATATCATCGATGCCAGTGAGAAGCTACGCGGGATGGAGGGCGACAAATCCGTACAGAAGTGGCTGTTGGATTCTTTACCCGATATTAGCAAGAAGAACAAGAAAGAGCTCAAGAAGCACGGCGTCAAGGCTAGACAGACGAACCCCAACGTTACTGAGGGCGACAAGAAACAACACCGGACCAAAATCAGCACGAAGAGCGGCTTTGAACGACGGATGGAGAACAAAAAGAAAGGTGCCATCACGGCCAGTCGTAACAGGAAGACTACAGGCAATCCTGGCGCAGAATCTGATAGCGATGGTGGCAGCTGGGGTGGCCTGGACAATTAAGAGTTTACTGGTGTTCAAACTTCAGTTCCTCTTGATGACTCTTTTGAGGATCCAGTCCTTCTTTAATCTCAGCCATGTACAGTAGCATCTTACTCAAAAACATTACGATTCCCAATCCGAGGCACAAATTGAATACGCCAATAAATATAAGACGTCAATCATGAATTGTCATTACTCTGTCACTGCTGCTCTTGTTGGGCCTGCTGCGCTTTTGCCTGCTGAGCAGCCCTCAACTGCTGCGCCGCATACGCAGCCTGGAGCTGCTTGAACTTCTCCAACTTCGCCTCCTGTAGATCCAGCACGGCCTGCGGAACCATCGACCTTTTCAAATTGATGGGCGCAAACGCATTATCCAATTTCCCTTGTTCCTCCAGCACGCCCTCCAGGTCATCTCTGTCCCGATCAAAGTAGACGGCCCACGCCCCATCCTCCTCCTGAACCGCTACGAACTGCCGGTTCTCCTCGAGCGTGATCGTCTTCTCTTCGTCCGTCCAGTCCCACGGTCCCACGATATGCTCCGCGCTCCCCGTGCGGTTCCCGTACTTGAGCTGGTGCGTTTCCTTGTCCGCGTAGATCCAATGCAGCAGAGGCGGGATATGCGTTACGCTGGTGACAAGCCCATTCCCCCGATCCAAATGCTTCATATGATCCAGCTCGGGGTATTCGATGTAGAACGCCTGGGAGGTATGCGAGGGGGTTTGGCGATTCGATTCCTCGGGGTCATCCAGGTAGATCTACACATTAATGCGAGACGAATCAGCTAGCCGCCTTGATATTACAGTTCTCACTCAAAGATACATCGCGCGTGCAGACCAAGAAATTGGAGAGGGGGAGGGGGAGTCCGATCGGAGTTTGTGATTTCCCTACCTTCTCGTCTCTCACCACGAACCGTTTCCCATTCACCTCGCTGTCTTCTTGGGTCTCTCCGGCGCTTTCTACGTCGATGTGGAATTTCCTCATGCGCCGCTCGTCTTCCTTGCGCTGGTTGGCCTTGCGCTGTTCGCTGACGGCCAGCGACGCACCTGTTACCGTGGGAATGGCGGCTATTGTTAAGAGGCCGATGACCATTTTGATGTCTGGGAGTTGGTTTGGTGGTGGAAGCGGGGGTATCGATGGATGGAGAGTAGGTTATGAGTTATCAGGAAAGAATAATATGAATTCACTGGAGTTGCAAAAATCGTAATATGTTCAAGCTAATCACTTTTGGATGTCATTAACAGTTTAACCATCGGTTTGGGTATTTGTTTTGATAAAGTCGAGAGGGAGATGGACGGCAGATGGAAATAATGGCAGCGGACGACGTCATCAGACTGGCCACACGTGAGGTGGAGCGTTCAGCTGGACTTCTCGCTTCTTTTTTCTTCGGCGAACCAACCCGACAAGTTTAACATCCTCAAATCGTCGACCATATGGCTTTTATGGCTCTTTTTTTTTTTATCTTATTACATGGGCAGATTGGTCCAGATACATAGGAATTCGAAATTTGTTAATTGGCCATCGTTCTGAGATACCAGCTGATGGTTACCATTGAGTGTCTGTCTAGTCTTCTTGTCTATCTATCGATGCTGTATCCGTGATATTCTATCATCGTTCGTGTATCGTTTGTTCTCGTGACGTCGTGGATCCTGCCATGTTGATGACAGATGGAGAGTGGTGGAGACCCATGATCGACTTAGAGCTTCTCGCTCCACCCCCAGATGGACCACCAACACCGGACTGCGAGCGCTCCCCCGTCCGCCGTCTCCCAGTCATCATATCCAATTTCCTCTCCCTCGTCGACGGCCGTTAGCCCAGTATCTGTCATCCGCTGCCGAAATTCCTGTACTTGGGGTAGGTAGGCATCCCGCAGCGGCATCTCGACGACGACACGAGCATCAAGTCCGCGACTAAGCCAGTGGCCGATCGTATCAACCAGCCATTTTGGATGTTTGGGCGAGTACAGAGGATCGGCGGCTAGGATGAGATCGTATTTTCCTTGGGGGGTTGAGAGTGGCTCCGGGTCAACGGACCAATCTAGAACCCCCGTCGTGACATGTGCGTTGGACTTGGTGAGCAGTTCGACATTGAGAGCTGCATTATGGGCCAGGTTGGGGACAATGACCGGAAGATCGGTGAGATGGACGGAAGCGGACTCTCCGTGGATGGCGGCAAAGGCAAGTCCTACGAGACCGGTTCCTGATCCTAGCTCCAGCGCTCGCAGAGTCCGGTCGGTCTTTGGGATCGTGGCCGTGGACGGGACCAACGGCGGCGTGGACTCAAGAACGGAGTGAAGTCGTTGGGAGAGGAGATATGAGGAGACCCAGGTTTTCATGCCCAGGTTATCAGCGGTCAGGGAAGGCTCGTGCAGGGTCAGGGTGAGTTCTTCGCCCGAAAGGCTTGGGACGGTGAAAAGCCGGGACATGGCAGGCATTGCTATTACAACCATGGGTTAGAGCATGGACAACCAGAGGGCGATGAAAGAGCACGGAATTGTCTCCCGCGTACCAGTTCGACCACACCGCTCACTGAGTCGAGCCGAGGTGGCATCCCAGACTGCCTCCCGCAGTTCGTCGGTATCGAGCCATGAAAGCGAGCTCGAGATGATCGTTGTCAGATAACGGGTAATGCCAGCTGGGTGAACGCTTCTGCCCTTGGCCGCCTCCTGGGTTTTAGAACTAGAGCCGAAGCTGCGAGGCTTAATCGCTAGGAGGTCGAGGGCTCGTAGGATCTCGGTGCCGGAAGGTTTGGTATGAATCTGGGGTAGGTCGAGCACTGAGAGACTTATCAGTTCCCCGTCACGCCTATCCCTCAAGGGACGTACTAGAGAGGGTGTGACACATACCATGTAGAGGCTCCTCGGGATCGGCACTGATCATGTTGGGCGAATGTGGAAGAGCGGACGAAAGATCCTGTGCGTGGTTCTTCCCAGTCGGCGCAGGCAGGACAAGGCCCCTCTGATCCTAAATAAAGGTCGGTCCCGTGGCAAACGGGAGAACGGGTTCTGGTCGGGCCTCAGGCACCGGGGCAAAAAAAGAAAGAAAAAAGAAAGAAAAAAGAAAGAAAAAAGAAAGAAAAAAGAAAAAAAAAAAAAGTCGTGATCGCCCAAAGAGGAAAGGCCGGCGGCAAAAGTTCCGCGGATCGGATCCGCTCCGGTCCAAAGATCCTCTTCTGTTTCTTCTTCCTTTCTTCCTTTTTGATAGACCAAAAGGAAATGACTATTAACACTCTCGGATAAATCGAATACAACACTCCCCAACGCCAATGCCCCCCGCATTAACCACCTACGATATGATGGATCAAGACCCTGTTTCACCCCAATGTGGACTTGAACCCTTGATATGCTTGCTCGATATCAAAAGCCAATTCTCTGGCCTGTTCTTCACTCAGCTCTTCCGTCGCACGCATTTGGTTCAAGGCGATCAGCCATTGGATGATCTTTCCCCGGTTCTCAAAGTCCCCGTCAGTCACCTTGTTGACCGACTGGATGACTTCCGAGAGCAGCGGGTGCAAAGCATCTTTGGAGACCATGTTCAGTTTCAGCGCATCTAAAAACGTAATGAAATTCTCCGTGGCCGTTAAGATCAGACTGCCCGAAGCGCCCGCCGCAGGACCAGCTGCTGCGGAGCCCAGATTGGCTGCCGGCGTAGAGTGGGAGGCTTGTTCGACCGTGGCGGGGAGACCGATGCGTAGGCGTTCTGTGGCACGAGGGCATTCCAGCTAGACCAGAGAGATAATACGTTAGATCATATGGCTTGATAGCGGCCAAAGAAACGGACTCACCCCCCACGTCCGCTTAAACGTCTCTAGGTCGACAAACTCCCTCGCGACCGTATCATCACCCAGACTGGACTTGTATTGCTTCAGTAGTCGGGTGCACGTTTCCGTGTACTCGGCTTCCGTCACCACGTCCTTGATGTAGGCCTTCTCCAGACCATCTAGGGTCACGATAATACTGTATATCTCGGCTAAGGACTCGTAAAGATCCCGCTCCGTAGAGCTCGAGGCGAGTTTGACTTCCTGACGAAGAAGCAGTTAGCCCAGCTGCCTAGCAAACAGACCGGACACTCCGTCGTACCTCATCAAGATTAATGGACGCTGACAGAGCCGGATTAGGGGTGTAGCTATAGGGTGTGGGCGCATATGCCAGAGGACGCTGGGTATACATGACAGAAACGTATCGTTTGCAGAGACCGCAATCGGTGTTCTTGAGGATGTGGAACTAACAGTTGGAGTATATCTCCATGACGGCGAATCTGAGGGGAAATGAAAGGCGGTCACCCAATTGGGCGCATCGGCACCGCCATTTTCTGCCCCGATAATCTTCCCGATTTTTTTTTTTTTTTTCCAAAAAAAACCTTTCACTCAGGGAAAGCTCTCTGTCGCATCAATTTTCCACTCCATTCCTATTGTCCTATTAGTCTTATCCTAATCCGTGCGTCTGGATCGGGACTCTGAGGCACAATGGCTGGAGGTCAAAAGAAATCCACCAAGAAGTTCGAGAAGAAGCATCTGAAGGATGTGCTCGAACGTCGGAAATCGGTTGCGAAGATCAAGCAGCGCAACAACCTCAAGGACAAGCGCAAGGCTGACAATGCTCTAAAGAGAGCGGAAAGAGAGGAGGGGGATGAGGAGGGACCCGAGCAGGAGAAGAAGCAGAATGCCTTTGCGGAAATGAACGTGGACGATTTCTTTTCCGGCGGATTCGACATTGCGGACGCCGATGCCAACAAGGGCAAGAAGACACAGAAGAAGGATGTCACCCCGAAGATCGGAAAGCGCAAGCGATCGGAAGAGCAAAAAGACGAGGAAGAAGCTTCTGAGGATTCTGGCAGTGAGGAAGCAGACGGACCGGCAGCTCAAAGCGATGACGATGAAGGATCCGACGCCAGTGGGGAGGACGATTTCGAGGCGCACAAGGGCCAGCTGGAGGCTTTGAAAGAAAAGGACCCGGATTTCTACAAGTACCTGAAAGAAAACGACTCGGAGTTGCTTGATTTCGGTGATCACGGGGACCTGGCGGAAGTCGACGAGCTGAGCGAAGAAGAGGACGAAGAGCCGGCGAAGAAGAAGAAGAAGAAGGCGGCCCAGAAGGAAGAGGAGGAGGAAGAGACGACGAGCAATACGTTAACGATCGGAATGGTCAAGAAGTGGCAGAAGTTGATGGAAGAGCAGAACTCCATTCGGGCGATGCGGCAAGCCGTCCTTGCATTCCGTGCCGCTGCCTACGTGAACGAAGTCGAAGCCCAAGAGCAAAAATATTCGATCTCGGACCCAGATGTGTATCACCAGGTTCTCATTACAGCTCTCAGCAATGTTCCAAGAGTTCTTTCGCATCACCTTCCGGTTAAGGAGACCGCGTCCGGCAAAGTCAAGTTGTCTCTCGATTCGAAGAAGTTCAAGACTCTCACGCCTCTCATCAAGTCGCATACATCCTCCGTTCATCAGCTGCTCACGAATCTCTCCGATGAACAGACACTTAAGCTGACTCTCTCGTCCATCGAGCCTATGCTCCCTTATCTCCTCCAGTTCCGGAAGCTTCTCAAGGTTCTTGTTAAGACGATCGTTGCGATTTGGGCTGATGTCTCCACCGCGGAGGCGACTCGGATCACGGCATTCCTTCTGTTGCGGCGATTGATGGTGATTGGCGATGCTGGGCTCAAAGAGTCTGTTCTCAAGGCCTCTTATGAGGGCGTTGTGAAGGGCAGCAGAAACACCACCGTGCACACTCTCCCAGGTGTGAACCTGATGAAGAACTCGGCCGCTGAACTCTGGGGCATCGACCAGAACGTTTCCTACACCGCAGGGTTCAACTTTATTCGCCAGCTCGCCATTCACCTCCGAAGCAGCATCACCAACACCTCCAAGGAGTCCTACAAGACCATCTACAACTGGCAATACGTCCACTCGCTTGACTTCTGGTCCCGCGTCCTTTCTCAGCACTGCGATGGTCTCGTCGAAGCCAAGCTCGGCAAGCAGTCGGCCATGCGCCCTCTCATCTACCCCGTCGTCCAGATCACCATCGGTGCGATGCGCCTCATCCCCACGGCGCAATACCTCCCTCTTCGTTTCCAGATGACCCGATCCCTCCTCCGTCTCTCCCGAGCCACGGGAACCTACATTCCCCTTGCCTCTGCGCTCGTTGAAGTTCTCAACCTCGCCGAGATGCGCAAGCCCCCCAAATCCAGCACCCTCAAACAACTCGACTTCAACACCACGATCCGTACCCCGAAATCTTACCTCCGTACCCGTGTCTACCAAGACGGCGTCGGCGAGCAAATCGCCGAGCTTTTGTCCGAGTTCTTTGTCCTATGGACGAAGCACATCGCCTTCCCCGAGCTCTCCGTCCCCGTCGTTGTTTCCTTGAAGCGCTGGCTGAAGCAAGTCAGCTCGCGCTCCGGCGGAAACAAGAACGCCAAGGTCAACCAGAGCATCTTGCTTCTGGTGCAGAAGGTCGAAGCCAACGCCCGCTGGATCGAGCAGCGCAGACTCAGCGTCACATACACCCCCCGGAACCGGGCGGAGGTGGAGACCTTCCTGAAGGATGTGGACTGGGAGTCGACCCCGCTTGGTGCGTTCGTCAAGTCGCAGCGCAAGATGCGTGAGGAGCGAGCCATCCTCATGGAACAGTCAAGACGTGAGGAGGAAAAGCGGAGGGCCGAGGATAAGGAAGCCGATAAGGATGTGTTTATGGATGAGGGCGCGGCCAGCGGTGATGACGATGATGAAAGTGACGGCGAGGACGCGAACTCCTCTGGCGATGAGGACGAAGAGGAAGAGGAAGAGGAGGAAGAAGATGAGGATGAGGATGAGATCGAGATGGAAGAGGAGTAAACCTTTTCATTGCATCCGCTATTTAGTCGTCTTTTTCCTTTGTACTTCCGGTATCTGATTCCCTGTATCTTTGTTCCGGTGATAGCTATGTGGGATATAAATTTTTGTTTCACTTGTTGAGGTCAATCCAAAAGTTCAATTTTAAGGCTAGAAACGAAATAATGTTTATTGTGTTAAATTCACTTTGGCATTATCAACATGCATAATGTAGGATGCTTAATGCAAGAACAAGTGTAATTCAAACCAAAAGGACGTATTCAAGATAACAATAACAACAGATAACTGACTCAAACATACTTCAAACCTTGCAGTAATTCCAGAAAAAATAAACACACAACAATAGACTAAAACAGCAAAAACTTTTTATATACTGCGATTGCATAGGAGCTATGCTGATCAACAATAACAAGGCAAGAAAAGCCATTCGGAGATATAGACTTCTTCCTTTTATATAGCCATGTGACGTAAAAGAAGATGTGGTCAAGGTTGCTGCAGTATTAGACCGCGCCCACTGGCATCTTCTCCATACCCCAAGTACGTGATTGTTCACGTCGGAGAGCAGCGTCTTCCTCTTCAGCCCACGCGAGGTTCTCATTGGGCAGCATGATCGCCCGGTCAATAGCAACGGGAAGACCCCTATGGCGACCGCGAATGGTGACAGCCGCGAGGATCAGCTTGCTTATAGGATGGCACGCGCCAACAAAAGAAGAATTGGTTCCTGGATAGCCAACACTGACACCAACACAGCCGTAAGCGGTGACGGTCTCAAAAAGAATATTGAAAGTCGAGTACCCCACGGGGTCGCGCCTAAAGTTGGATGATTCTGCAATGGCAATAAAGAGCACTGCAAGGGCGATCCACCAGATATCATGGCTGAGTTGAGACCGCAGCTGCTGGTGAACGAAGTAGCTTCGGGATGCTTCTTTGGGAGAAGCGCCCTCTCGACCAAGTAGGCGATGTCTGACTAGATCAATGAGTACGCTTGAGTAAGTCCGAGAATCGGAAACTTCGTGCGGCTCATCATGGGCGTAAACTCCTAGTGATCGTTCTTCGTATACGTTTGTGTTTCTTGTGTGATATTAGCAAGGCTCAATCAGAATTCTATGAGTGAAGTGAAACAAACCTTATGGTCACCAGTACGGGATATGCCGAGACATACTGGATGACTGGTTAGTATGGCACGAAAGCAAGATTGAATAATATCAAAACACCCCAGAGGCATGAAGCACTAACCATCATCAGAACTAGTTAATTCCAAAGTTAGTCAAATCCAGATGCCAAAAAACCTAGGTATACCCTTACCATATAAAACAAGCAACCCCTGACGAAGGTCGGCAATAGTGACGACATAAAAACCTCCCGCACGCACAGCTTCAAATCGATTGATATTAGTACCAAAATAGCCACAATGGTCCTAGAGTCTGTTATGGAGTAACGTACCCAAAGCTTGGAATAAACCATCCAAAATCCGATAGCCCGTTGGTAATTCCTCAATCTCCTTATTACCAATCGCAAGCAATTCAAAGCCAGCCCAATCGATGCCGTTCAAGAAAATGATAGTTCCCAACAGATACCACGTGTGCCGAGCAGGAAAAAGATTTGTGTATACCTAGCAGACGGTTAGCAAGAGAATAGTGTACACAATTCTCGCTTTACATACTCTTCTGGGGTGATCCAGAATGAAGTCTAAAGTAACCTTCCATGCCTCCCAATCTGGTCGGTTCGGAATCAACCGCCTCATGGTCCAGATAATGAATCTCAGGAAACAGGGATAGAGTGTATTGCCGGCCAGAATCAGCATACCCATCGTGATAAGCGGGTAGGCGCTAGGGACGGGTTAGCGGATTTCAACAGTCTAAAGTCAAGGCCAGCTATGTTACCTTGTTTGTAATGCGGTCATGTTCGCATCCAAAAGAGACATTCCACTGTTAACAAACGCAGATACGGCGAAGAAAGCCCCGGTCCAGAAAGGCGACAAGCCGTTTTCTCGGGCAATGTCCGGATGGTTTGCCTCCAGCCAGCCTCCCATTCCGATGATGCCAAAAAGCATGAACATCAACCAGTAAAGTAGAACGATAAGTGACAAGAAGGAAACAGCTCGATATTCGACCCCGCCGAGTTTCTCCCGCTCTTCGGGAGAAAGACCATGGAACTGAGAGTTCCGAGAGATAAGGCCTTTGGACGCAAAATATTTCTGCGTTCCTTGCAGCATGCCCTTGAAGCGGGATATATCATCCTCTTCGGCCTCTTTGGGCAGAGACAGACTTGGAGGGACATCTCTTGGGTGGTTATTCAAGTCAGGCCGAGCCCCGACACCCACCATTGGAAAGACCCGATGGGAATGGTGGTGTGAGCGTGGTCGCATGTGGCCAATCGTGGTCTGATCATCATCCATCCAGCGAATGCGATCATCATTTTCCGGGATGACCGAAGTCTCTACCGGAGCGGCAGCTACCGTTGCAAGAGGTTGGGTGCCGTTAGATTTCAAAACCGACAACTGCTGGCCTGGCTCAATGTCAACTGGGTCATTGGCTCCGTCGGACGGGCGATTCAAAGATGACAGTTGATTCAATCGACTTTTTTGTGCTCGTTCGTTTGAGATGCCTTTGAACTTTAATTCAAAAGCCCTCTTCCTGACGAAAAGGACAGTGCTCGATATAAGGATAGCATGTCCGAGAAAAAGAAGCACAAAAAGAATGCTTTGTTGAAAAGAGTTTAAAGAAGATAGATCCACCTGAGAAGAGTGTCAACCGGGATTCGCGACGACCGCGCAGGACAAATCTTACAGTGTTTAGTCCAGCTCCTGTCATAGCACTAACGCACATGAACAACGCGTCGACGTATGCGACGCTGCGAGATGGAGTTGCAGCCCCCCAAAATATAGCGCTGCATATCAATGGCGTTACGAGAAAGTAAGCGTAGTGGAGCGTAATGAAATTGAATGGAGGGAGCAATGCCATCAGGCATTGGGCAAGCGGCCGAGACCGATCTCGAACTATAACAAGGGGTTTAGTACTCCATAGTTGCACCAGCATTTTGAATCCCCACAGCTTTTCCAACCAGAGGGGGTGTTCCAGAAGAATGCTGACATATTCTTATATGCAAGGGGCAGGGCAATAGGTAGGTACCGGTCATTTTCAGTGCAGATGATCTCGAGGATCTGGACCAAACAGTCAAGGAGATTAAAGTTCCAATAAGGTTGGAGCCTATAAGACGGCTCCAAATGCGAAGTATCAGAGAGCCGAGAGAGCGGAACTATCGAGTCGACGATAAGGTGGATAAGGCAGGTGACGGGGGCGGCGCACACCGCTACCCGCAAGGATTTTGGAAAAAGTGAAATGCTCTTAATCTCGATCTTGTCCTATGGTTCATTGTATGAGGCTGAAGGGAAATACGACGGGAAATGGCGGAGTTGTCCCACGGATAGGAAGGGCGGATGACAGGTATAGAGCGTAGGTGGTAAATATTGCTGGTGGTGATAGTCGGGGTGCGATAGTCGGAGAGACGAGCTAGTTGCATGAATAATGTGAATGTGGGAAATTCTGGGCTGGTGTCTTTGGGACGATATGGATGAGATAACAAGCGTGTGTTATTCCATTTCAACGGTTTCGGGCTGGAGGAATATAAAGATGGAATTGAAGAATTGCGGTGGGCAAAGAGAAGGGGAAAAGGAAGAGAAAGAAGAAGCGAAGAAAAAAATAAAGTCGCGGCAGGCGGTGGAGCGGAACCGAGTCATGCAAAACGGCGGCGATCTTCATTGGCGTAGGGCTGCGCTACTGTCGGCACTTCCACTCTTCATCGGGATAGACTCCATTCATCTCGCATCCTCGCTCCATGGAAACCCATCTCATTGCCCCTGGTCCACCTCGTCCTGGCGAATCCAGTGTCCACTCTTCCCTCCTTTCTTTTCCATCAGCTGCACGCCGCCCACCACCATCCCTTTGTCCACCGCTTTAAGCATGTCGTACACGGTCAATGCGGCTCCCATCGTTGCAGTCATGGCTTCCATCTCCACTCCCGTCCGTCCAAGGCAGCTCACCGTAGCTACGACTCGCATTGCTCCATGTTGAGTCGACTCGTTCGCTCCCCTTGAGGAGGGCATCGGGTCAACTAACTTGACGTCGACCTCCACCCCGGTGATCTCGATCCCGGGATGACACAGGGGGATGATATCCGGCGTCTTCTTGGCCGCCATGATACCGGCGATACGAGCAACGCTGAACACGTCTCCTTTTCGAGTCCCGCGGCCTTCGCGGAGCAATTCCCAGGGGCGTGAGTTAGAAAAGCTTACCAGGCAGCTGGCCGTTGCAACTCTTTCCGTAACCGGCTTGGCGCTGATCTTGGTCATATGGACATTCTGTGACACAGTAAGATGCGGCAGGTCAGGGTCAGATGTTGCAGGGAGAGCGGTCGTGTTTTTCCGGTTCGTGTTCCGATCGCTGGACTCCGTTGCGCATGGCGCTTCGCTACGGCCATGATAAGCACGCGTTTGCGTTGTTATCGGTGTGCCGGGCTGAACCATGTAGGTTGGTATATTGGACCACGGCTTGCCTCGCAAAGGGATTGTCGATTGCCCGTATGAAAGCCTCGGTACAATGGGATGATTCATGCGCTGATTATCTATTATTGCCTATCAGTATCACCCGAGATTGAAAAGAAAAAGACGATCGGCAAATATGGTAGATTCCACTAGACCCAAGTTGAGCAGAATGAATGCCTACTTATAGTCTAGAGAAAATAAAACCATTCCATTAAATGCATAAATGTCATCATTCGTAAGGTCTCTTGGCCTGGAAAACAAGAAATGGGGCTGCGCCTACCCACCAATGAGTATCATGGGCCTATTCTTCATGTTCTCCAGTTCGCCGATGCCAGCATGCTTTGCCTTCTTCCGTTTGACTGCCATGCCAATGATGTCTAGTAGCTCTTGCTCTCTCTGGCTAGCCAAACTCTCCTCGCCAGACGCCCGCGGGACGGCTTCCAGAAGTCGCAGTTCCCTTAGTGTCGCCTCGTCTATAGGCTCCCCGTTGTTCTCCTTGCGAATGATGTCGCGCAATGACACCTCGGAGTTCCCAAACAAGCATACCTTTAGATTTCCATCACAAGTGATCCGAAGTCGGTTGCAGGTGCCGCAGAAATTGTGTGTCATGCTAGTGATAAAACCAATCCGGCCTTCAAATCCCGGGACCTGGTAGGTTTTGCTGGTGTCGTTCTTGTGATCAGCCACTTTCTCCAGTGCTGGGTATTTTTCGCGGATGATAGCCAGCATCTCCTGGTACGAAACCATCTTGTGCTGGTTCCATTTATTACCGTCAAAAGGCATATATTCGATGAACCGAACTTCAACGGGGCTTTCACGCCCCATTTCGACAAACGGAAGGATTTCCCGGTCATTCAACCCGCGCATCACGACGCAGTTGATCTTCAATTTGATCCCGGCGCCCGACTTATTCAGCTCCAGAATCTTATCGATGCTCTTCATCACGGCATCGAGACCCTTTCTCCTTGTCATCAACTGGAACTGAAACGGATCCAAAGTGTCAAGACTGAGGTTTACCCCGGTCAATCCAGCCTCCACCATGGGCTCCAGCTTGCGATGGAGTGATATCCCATTAGTCGTCAGGCAAAGCTCCCGAAGACCATTGCGCCGTAGGTCCCCTATCGACTGCATCAAGGGGACAATGTCTTTCCGGACGGTCGGCTCTCCGCCGGTCAGGCGAATTTTCGTCACGCCCTGCGAGACGAAGAGCGACGAGAGGTACACAATCTCGGGGGAAGTCAGAAGACGAGCCGGCGGAGAAAGCTGCACTCCTTCCTCCGGCATACAATATAGGCAGCGGAGATTGCAGCGCTCGGTGACGCTTATTCGAAGGTAATCATGTTGGCGGTTGAACGTATCCGTTAGAAATTCGGAGAACGGCTTTGCAGTCTTCAGTGCAGTCCATCGCGGAGACGGGGCGTTTTGAGTGGCCTCGGGCGTTGGTTTGTACGTGGCCGTCGCACTTTGGGCATCATCGTTCTCGAACTTTCTTGTCGTCGAGGTCGTGCCATGAGGCCGAAGGAGCGAAGGCGTTCGGACAGTAGAGGTGTGGAGAAGCCTAACCGGTGAGAAGAGCGAAGGCACGAGCCGCCGTCTGGGCAATATGAATTCAGTCATCTTCAGCAGAGACTCTGCTCAACTGGGACCAGCAAAGAGCTGTTTCCTTCATTAGTGGAGATGGGGGTAGAAGTAGTATATATAAGAGAGGGGCGTAGGATAAACTAAGGCAGGGATGGAGAGATAGCACTGTTGCGTAAGAGTTCGACACAGCACAAGCTTATCAATCCCGCCCGGTCATTCGCCGCTTTCCCCGCGGAGCAGGCCGTCGGATGACTCATCCGTGCATGATTCATTAGGTAACGCATCGTATACAACGACCAGTGGTGTACTTGGATCCATGCCAACCCCTCTATCCTACTGTGGGCATCATCTTCTGAACCCTCTTCACAAGGCTTTGTTCAAACTGCTCCACCCCTTTCGGCTGTTCCTGGAGCTTCCCTGCTGTCAAAACATAGACTACTCGTCGTCTTCTGTGCCCTTCTTCGGCCTCTTCCTCCACACCTTCAAAATGGTCATCCATCGTATGCTCTGCGTCTTGCTTTCCTTCTATAACGGAGCGCACCAGAAATCGATCGTGTGAAATCAGCAGGATAGCACCGTTGAACGTGGACAGTGCAGATGCAAGAGCTGTGACAGTGTGGAAGTCTAAATGGGTGGTTATTTCGTCTAATATGAGAAGCTGCGGTGAGTTCCAGATCACCCTCGCTAATGACAAGCGCACCTATGAAAAATGGCGGGTTAGCGACTGGTCAGGGATTCGTACGATAATTTCCCCAGAACACTCACAAGCTGCCCTCCAGACAGCCGAGATATTGGCACGTCCGAGACTATCCTGCCCTGGAGTCCGAGGGTCGCCAGCAAACCCCTGACCTCGCCTTCATTCAGCTGACCGTTGGCTTCTTTAAGTATCAGGCTCAATGCCGTGAGACCAGGGTCAGCTTGGGACTCTGTCTGGAGGTCTTCTATCGAATGCTGTGCATAGTAGCCTAGTTTTAGCCGCGAGTGGTTCGAGATCTTCCCTTTGCTTGGAACCATGTTTCCAGTCAGCAGGCGGACCAGTGTCGACTTTCCACATCCATTAAGACCCATGATACCAACCCGATCGCCCATGTGCATGACAATATCGATTCCGTTCAATACAGGAGAGTCGTGTGGTTTATAACGAAAGACAACGCCTTCCGAGGAAATGAGAGGGCCTGGGAATCGCAGCTCAGTAGCATCAGGTAAAGTTATCCAGACACCCTTTTCATCCGTAGGAACTTCAATTTCTGCCCTAGAAGTCAAATGCCAGCCGACGAGGTCACGATTTAGTTTAAATCGGCCCCCGTTGGCGTTAACCTGCAGGCCCATGCGGTCATCGACTTTCTTTTGCCGCGATTTGGCCATGCGCAGCTTGTTATCATCGTTTGTCTTTTTCCCTATCTTCATGGTGTCGCGTATAGTTGCTTCCATGTGAGCAATCTGGCGCTCTTGCGCTTCCTTCATGCGACCCCAATGCAGTTTCTGCTCTTCGAAGTCTTTCTCGTACGCTGCGAGGTTTCCTTTGAAGTAAGACAGCTTTTGGTCCCGAAGGATAATGATTTCTTCGCAGACAGCGTTCACAAAATCCCTGTCATGGGAGACGAGAACCATGGTGGTCGGGGAACTTTCACGCATCTGCTGGAGATACGTTTCTAGCCATACCACCCCCAGCAAATCCAAGAAGTTTGTCGGCTCGTCCAAGATCATGATATCGGGGTTTTGGATTAAGATACTCGCTAGCATGCAGCGCATACGCCAGCCACCGGATAGGGTCAGGAATGGCGTGCTGAATGCCGACTCTTGGAATCCTAGGCCTATCAATATCTGGCGAGCATGTTGCTCCGTATCCACCAAATTCGTCTGAACATGTTATATTTAGCAACAATCGTTCAGGTTGGTCACATTCCACTCACGGCTTCAAGTTGAGATTGTAAATCCTGCAGAGTTTCAACCGCTGCCTGTGTATCTTGCTTTATTACCTCGGCCTCGATGGACTCTTTTTGCTCGTTTAATCTGGTAAAAGTCAGAGTTGTTAACGCGAGGTTGACGTGACAGTATACATACAATCTGAGCGATTCCTCATGTTTTGATTCCACCGATCTCAAATCTTTTCGTGCCTGCAGTCCTCTAGCTCCACTCTTAAGACTCGCATTCTTCTGAGCCAGAAACAATTGCTTTTCAATCACATCATGTCGAACTCTGCGGATTGCATGGACTGGTTGGAAGGGATCATCTGTTTCGAAGCTTTTGGAAAGCACTGAAGATGCCGACATATTAGACACGCAATGAAGAGAAAAACCTCGGTACCTGAACTTACGATTGATCTTTCGAACGAGATCATTCTTGTGCCGATCACTGCTCATGACATATGCTAGCACTGTCTTATTCCGACCGTCCTCGTCACCGCTCTCAAGGCTTTCCTGGGCCGAGGAATCGGTCTGTTGTAGGATAGCTATGCGAGTGGGATGCGGAATGCCCGGTACAAGCTTATCAGCCATCGATCGGAGCAATGCTTTATTTTCCGTTAGCCAGTTTCCCCTTTATCAAGTTCATTGGAACGAAGCCTACTTGACTTTCCGGTCCCGTTCCGGCCGATCAATCCATAGTGCACACCTGCCTTGAGGCGCAAGTGTCCATCTGTAATAAGCTCTCTTGCATCGGCCCTCGATTTTGCTTTCCCTTTGGGTTTGAACCTCGCGGGGTCATCGGTCGTCTCTCGTGCAGACGAAACTGCGATGGTGAGTCCTTCGACATCGATCTATAGATGAGCTCGGCGGGAGTTGAATTAGCGTTACCAATTTAACTAGAATTGCATATGGGAAAGGAAGCATGTACCTCCTGTGAGGGTCTATCACCGAGTAGATGAAACCGAGTCTGCTTGCAAGTCGCAATGATAGATGCAGTCATAATTGCAGGTATGGCGGAATCAAATTGATTTCGAACTCCGAGTTGTCAAGAAGCAATGCGGCAAGTCAAGTACCTTTCAATTATTCCAAAGCGGTTACATTCTCACGAAGTAACGAATTCTCAGAAACAGCTCCCCTGTCCTCTCCCTTTCTATAAGAATGGCTTTGGGACCGGAGAACACGGTTATGGAGCCCCCCTGGGGTGTCTCGGACCGACCAATGAAGACATCATTCGGGCATTCGACTCATTAAGCGAACTGCACCCTGATCGACTTATGCAGCCCCACGGGCTGTATTGAGTCACTGCACATTTGGTTAAATCGACGATGGCGACTCATTTCAGTAGTGTACAAGACCGCATCGGCGTCGGGGTCCCAAAGCGGAATAGCCGGGATTACTGGCCTGAGGAATCCAGGCTCGTGTTGAGCAGCAGCTTTTCTGGGAGAACCAAGACTGCCGACCGGTTCTTATGGAGATCAGTCTGGCAGTGACTCATGGGTGACTCATGACATATTTGGTTAATACATTATTCTGCCAATTCGATGCTCTCGGGGGCAAAGCTAACAAATTCATAGGACTACTTGAAGTTCCCTACGGTCGGTCGGCTTTTCGGAACTGTATATAATTTCATCCTCTACTTACTATTGCTAGCACCAGCAACGCCATGGATGTTGAGGGCTCAGCTTGACCCCCTATTACTACTAGTAGGTAGATGAATATATAGATTATCTATCAATTGGTGTTAGATAGGAGGTTAACAAGCGTTAAAATGGGCTCTAAATTTTTATATAGAGCCTCTCGGATATCAAATTCAAGCGCCCAGAGACAGACCTAAGGACTCATCGACCACGAAAGGATTTTGGTTTCGGGATCTCCAACCGGTGAAAATGCTACAGGAAGGTTGCTACCTGGATTTGTCGTACGATGAAAATTACCCGCCAGGTAGCTAAAGTTTTCACCTCATATGGGAATCACCTGGGCGAGGAGTAGATTTCCAACAATGCATAAGGATAACCATACCGAAACCAAACCCGGACCCCTTTCTCTTGAACGAATAAAGAAAGACACACCAACATATATACTGCTGTTACAAACCCTTACATAACCATGAAACAGAAGAGCAACAACCTCGACCAGCGAACTATACTCGACCCCTGGATTGTGGAAGGGCAGGAAAGGCCTCGATCCAGTCTACTGACGAAATCGCAAGGTATAATCAAAAATTCAGAGATCGATGATCGTATAACTTGCCTGTAGTTCCCACGTCTCCTCACATTATTCCAGCCGTTGGCATGACCATAGTTCACCAGATCCAGTCAAGTGCGTGGCCAACCATGGGAAAAGCTCGGTTTGACTTCACCGTGGCAATAGACAATCAATGGACAATAGGGAAACAAAGTTGACCATGTGCGGTAGCTAGCAACAGCCGGGACATATAATTGGCTTGTTGTTTCGGTTTGCCTTTGATATCGACGTCAAGACGACACCATCATGACCTCAACCCCGCATTTCAACCCTATATAAAAGTGCCGACCCCAGACCTTTCATTGTCCGCCCCCGGGGTTTAGATTCTCATCTCACAGCACTTACTAAGACCTGGTATATCTCTTGAACTTCGATATTTAACATTCTTGCTCAACATGACTTCGAGATTCAATCGCGAGAAATTCTCCAATCGTGCAACAATCAAGGTCCCCGAAGACCCTGCTGACCAGGACACCCAGGGCAACCAGCAGGAAGGGGTTGCCAGTATGGAGCCTAACGCTCAGGTGCGATTGAATTGAATGAATCATAATGAACCTTGCACATTTCTAACCACGACTTCCAGCGCGAATTTGCGGCGCAGGGTAACCAGGCCTCAAGTGGAAGTTTCCAAACCGGGACTTGGGCGGCCCCCGAAACTGCTGAGAGACGTGGAACCAGATACTCATTCACCCATGACGAGCTGGCTGATCCCGACGAGTAATGCAGTGCGCTTGGGATGCACATTTTCACAGATTATGACGATATGATTTGTTTATGAGGTTTTGTTAAGGTTACTATATTGCCAAATGTGTCGCATATCATTGAACTCTGTAGGTATTTATGTATCGAACGAACTTATTTCATTCCAGTTCAATGTATCAATGAATAAATTTGAAATACGATTCTGTTCCATTTAAACGTAGACAAATCAGCATGACTGTCTGTAGCGTGGTGCATCATGCAACGGAGGGTGATGTGTACTGGAACAAGATGGGAACACGAGCATCATGAATGGCTGGTTTTTTTTTTTTTTTTTTTTTTTTTCTTTTCAACTCGCTAAATCAATTTGAACATGCTACTTCATCCAAAGTGGTCTCAAACACCGTTTTCAGCAATCTCAAAAATTGTCTGGCGGCAGCTGAGGAGAGAATTAAGTTTGGGTTCATCGCCACAATGGCCCATCCACATTTGGTGCAATGACCAATGGTCTATATCGAGCTGGGCGCATGCGCCGCGAGAACAGGCAACCACAATACCTAAAATAGGATGTCCTCAACTGACAGAGACATTTTTGTTCCGAAGCACCCCGTAGTCAGCTGCAATGTATCAGAAACCTAGCCCTTGTGCACTTGACGGCGGTGTCTTCTGTCCGAGCGAAAAGGAATGCCGAACTTGTGTTAGGGTTCGGAATTCTGCCCCAATACGCAGTAGTCTACAATCACCGTATGTATTTCCATTTAGGGAGTGTTCTGTTGAACTCAGGTCTTCGAACGACTGGGGAGGCAAAATGAAGTTGCTATCTGCGTAGTCGGAGAAATGGGGTTAACACGGAATAGGGAATGGACCGTGAACGAATTGAAGTTGTAACCCCCTTCCCCTGTTAGATGGTATCCTTAAACAGATCCTGAAGCGGAGCAGAGATCTATTTATTCCTTGCTGGCTGTTTGAAAAGTGTCCCACGCTGCTACTGTAGTAGTCATGATACCGATAATGTTCGGGGGCAGATCTGAAGATCAAACACCACCAGCCTAATTGAATAAGGTCTTCCCGCTTTCCAAAGGTTTGGTAGACCAAGCTTTTTTTCTTCTGGCCATTCTGGCGAATACCGGAGGCACAACGGGATAAAAGTTGGTACTAGTATGGAGTACTAGGCTTAGGGGATATGCTTTATTAGCTTTGCCGGACATCCTCCGGCCACCGGCTCGTCTCGAAGGCTTCTAGTCTGCGTTAGCCTGGTTCACCAGAAGTCTGTGAAGCGAACAAGGACCATTTCTGGGACATGGCAGAGTACCGAGCACGGAGCAGATCCTGCAAATATGAATTTATTTTATTTTATTTTTTTCAAACATGCGATCTTGGGCGGTGTCAAAGTCTTCATGGACACATCACTACGGAGTAGGCTGGAAGTGGAGAATCACCTTGTCGGGCGTCTGGTTTTGAGTGCCGATTCACCTCGAAGTTCTAGACTTGTATCTCTGTCGGTCGACGGATCCATTGCCCGTGAGAACATGGGACAACACAAGTCCAGCCTCACCAGGCTACAAAGATCCCAAGTTTTCTTCACTCGGCTTACGCGGTAACGGACGATTCCAGCTCCGAAGAGAGGCTTCATGGGGGTGCGAAGAGTGCCGACTGCACGGATTAAACCATAAAGGGAGAATTCGTCCGGGAGTCATTTTCATCCATCGTTTCAAGGCGACCGAGAGGCGCAGTAGTACATGTATACTTTTGACGCCGGCTACAGGACAAGCCGTGCGGATTGGTCTCGTTTACGGGGTAACGTCCGAGGCATGACGGTTGGGTAACGATAGGTAGATCGAGAATAATGCGTCAGTCCAAGTTCTACGCCGTACTTGCGGGCGATGTTGACCCTTGAGAGTGGCGTTCTTGCAGGGCTCTGATAGCCGTTATCGGCCATGATCCAGGGGCGTTGCTGCGGAATACTAAATTAGTGCAGGCGACCGTCCCAACTTAAAAAACAAGCGATTTTCAGGTGAACAGAGACCGGGCTAAGGGGCTTGGCTCTGGCAGCCGCAGCCAATGAAAGGGCCCTAGTCTGGAAAGGGGGGAAGGCTGTGCCGTCGTTGGCCCTCCTCAGGTAAGCGCCAAGCTTTGCTTGCGGTGGTGAACCGTGATGGCGTTCTCCACCCGGAATCCACCCGGCGCCAGAAGGATTATTATTGAGGGAGTTGCAAAAGAGGTCGAGACTCGAGAAAATCAACCCACTTGGGCTGTTGTCCTTCTAGAACGCCGTGATTTGTCGGGTCCCCAAGGGGAGTTAGCGCCGCCGTGGTAGATGGATTTCGGTTGCGTTAATTTCATGATGAAATATGAATATGCGCCGTATGAAACGTTGGCATGAGGGCTCCACGGGACACGATCCTCGACGGTCAATTGGCCGACCTGCACATTCCATTCCCAAGTGCCCTCCCTCCGTGGAGGGTGCGCACTGTGCACTGAGCGCATTTCCCCTGGGAAACCCATGTGGACGCTTCATTCTTGTTGGTCGAAGAATTCACGGCGGAACAAAAACACCGCGCTGCTTCCCTCGCATTGGCCGGTGGGCAGCCACTGACGTCAGAAGGGAGGAGTCTCAGAAATGGTCCCGAACGAGACTGGTGGAACCCCGTGACTGAAGCGGTTCAGGAGGCGAGGCCGACCAGGTGCTCAAGTCTCACGATCAAGCATCTCGAGTACGCAGGAAGCCCGGGTCGATTCATGTTGTGTATTGAACTACGGAGTAGCAATACGGAGTAAACGAACGAAAGAGTAAAAGAATAAAAGAATAACGCCCTAATGCCCTAATGCCGCCCCTTATCCCCCTCCAGTGACCAACGGCCCCGGGAGGAGCAGGCCTGAAACGGCAAAACGTCACAGGGGAGGCAGGATGGAAATTGCAGACGGCTGCCAATCGTCATTGGTATTAGGGCAACCAGGGGGCGGCTCGAAGCCATCCACCATGCTTGTATGAAGCATATTAGACGCGGCATCGCAGGACATTACGGAGGGGACTCCGGCTAATAGGCTGGATTCGGCGGACTACGGCGTAGGTAGATGAGGCCGAATCTCCCCCCGGACAAGGCCATCGACGACGTTGAGTGTCCATTACCCACACCGGACAACGATTGGAAGTGAATTGAATTTCGTACCTGATGATTGTCGAGGGCGAGATCTTATCGGCGATCTCCTGATACATGCTGCCCACTGAAAGATGCAGGACTTTTCCTCCCTGGCGAGGGATCGGTGGATTCCGGCGAAGGGGCTAGCGTCGCCGGAGCCCTACTAGGGCTCGGCCGCAGCCAATCCGGGCGCGGCGGGCGGCGGGGAAGGGCGCTGAGTCAGCGGGGGACGCGCAAGCCGCCGCCTGATTTCTATTCCTGTCGTGGAGAAACTGCCCACTTGGTCTTTTCCGTTCCCCTGGCTCGCCCTGTCCAACCTCGACTCGCCCGGGCGCGAACTCCATCTCCCTGTTTGTTCCCAACTCCTCATCGCTCGTTCCTCATTAATCCCTTCTCTCCATCCGCTCCATCGCCTTGCCATCTATCGTCTATCTCCCCTACCTCCCTATCTAAATCCCCTCTACGAATACGTACCATTCTTGGGTGATTCTTCTCGTTTATTTTATTTTTTATTTTTTCAACCCTCTTCTGATCGGGATTAGTCCACTTGTCAACCTCCCCGTTGGTTTTAATACTTTCTCCCTCCCTCCCCTTACCAAATCTACGCCTAGTCTCTCGTTATCTTCGATTATCCAGCGCAGTCTCCGGTCGGATCAGTCTATTTTCTTTTTTTTTTTTCCTTTCTCGACTGCCTGGAATACCGGAGGGCATTCTACTAGTAATCACCACACCGGCAGAGATTTCTCACAATGGCGACTCTTGCGGAACATCCGGCGGTCGCCCCGTCCTACGACCAAGACATCGACACCTTCCTCAACCTCGACCAGCTCACTTACACAGAACCGTCCCGACCTAAGGCTGCTTTGACTAGTCAACCTACTCTTCCGAGCACGGAATTCACTGCCGGCGATGTCCGGAGCGCCAGCTTTGCCTCGAGCAGTCAATCACCGATCGCCTTCCAAGGCCCCAGCCATCAATATGATGAACACAAGCAGCAGACCGGTCTGCCGCCAGGAGCCCTGGCCCAGGCGATGACCTTCAACCACATGAACGGCATGAATCTGGGTGGTTCCAGCCCCGGATTCGCGATGAACGGAGACATGTATGCCGGCGCTCAACTGAAGCGCGAAGATGCCCCCCTGGACTTCAACGCCGTCCCCGTCCGCAACCCCTCAGAAATGGACCTGGAGTCCGACAACATGGGTGCTGTCCCTGCCTATTTCTTTTCTCCCAACCCCAACAAGAGCCAGTTTGTCGACCCGAGCGCCCTGGGCGGCCAAGAAGTCGCTTCCGCTGGCCAGTCCACCCAGGTGGGCCGCATGTACCCCGGAATGCACCAGCAGCAGGCTGCGATGGCCAAGGCTGCTCAGCAGCAGAAACACCACCACATGCTCCGGCAGCAGCAACAGCAACAACGCCGGGTGGAGGAGCCAATGCCGCAAGCAGTTCAGCAACCCCAACCTCGTGCCTCTAACCCTGTCGTGGAGGAGCGCATCTCGCGCCTCCTGCAGCAGATGAGACAGAATGCTATGGGATCCCCTGACGATTCCCCGTCCCCGTCTTCTCTGCCCCAGATGGCCAAGTCGAAGAAGGATGAACAAGACATGGATGAGGACGAGCGACTGCTTGCCAGCGAGGAGGGAAAGAAACTCAGCAGCAAGGAACGCCGTCAGCTCCGCAACAAAGTTTCTGCCCGCGCTTTCCGATCGCGAAGAAAGGGTATGTTATAACGTCTTTGCCTTTGATATTTATGGCAACGCTAACTCGTCCCAGAATACATTGGCCAGCTCGAGAGCGAAGTTGCGGCCAGGACCAACGAGGCCCACGATCTTCGCATGCAAAACCGTGCTCTTTTTGAAGAAAACGCCCGTTTGACGGATCTTGCCCACATGCTCCTGTCGTCTCCGAACTTCTCTCAGTTCCTTGATGAGCAAGGCATCAACGGCCTACCCACGTCCAACCAGCCCCAGCAGCAGTCCCAGTCGCAACAGCAACAGGCGCAGCCTCAAGCGCAACAGCAGCCTCCCACGATGTCGCAGCCGCCGATGCAGGCTAGTCTTCCCAAGGAGACCCCTCCGACCCACTCGCCACAGGACTACCCCATGCAACAGAACCCCCAGATGGTCATGGTCCCCAACCAAGGATTGGACGTCTCTGCTATGGGCTTGAACAACGGTGGTTGGAATTCTGGCATTGACATGAACTATGCCAACACGCCCATCTTTGCTGTCTTCGAAGTCCCTGAGCCTCCTGTCATGGACACGGAGATCTTGTCCGGCAAGGGATCTCCTCTTGGATCGCTTCTCCCGGAGACCGCTAGCAACAAGGAGGAGGCGCCCGTTCTGGAATGCCCACCGGTGACTGAGCAGCCCCAGGCGCCTGGTGTTGGCGTGGAAAACCCGGATGTTGAAATTGATGAATCCGATCCCGCATTCGCTCTGTTCGCAGACTTGCCGACATCTGTCCCTGAGTCGTCGGATAAGCCTTTCGAAGGCGTTACTTCCGACAAGTCAGAGCCTGTTTTCGAGCTCATTGTTGAAAACGAGTCGAAGGCTACTGCTCAGCGTTTCGCTCACTTTTGCCACAGCATGGAAGCCTCATTCCAGCGTGTCTCCATGTTCACTTCGCATCTTTCATGATTCCCCCTTCTGTCTGAGTGAACAATTTCCCGCCTGTAAAGAAAGTTCTTGTTATGTTTTTTATTTTTTTTATTTTTTTTATTTTTTTTTTAAATGTTCTAGATACCTGAACATGAGTCCTTCGTGTAGACACCAATATGCCTTTCCTTTGTTCATGAGCCTGTGACTGTATATTGCGTCGTCGCTTAAATCTGCCTGGTCTGTTGGCTTCACTATTTTCCACCTTTTTTTTTATTGTTTCCTTTGTCTTTTTGGGGTTTCATGGAATGGATTGGGTTGTATTCCAGGGTTTGGGATTTTTTGGAATCGTGATCTGGGAAGTTGGATTTTTTCTCAATTTTTTTTTCTTTTTATGGGCCTCCTTCAATGCCTCAAAACAAATTTAAGAGATAGAAATCAAGCAAGTCAAAAGAAGTTCAAAATGCTCCTTCATTGTACCTTGCGACGTAGAAAAAAGCTCCAACGGACAATTTGGAGTCACATGGCAGAGGAGGCTCTTTCTGAGGCATCTCTCCATTCTCAGGCATCACTTCGATCTCGGTCCTTCCAGCCGTCCTTCAATCCCACAACAACCCATCAGGAAATGTTCAATACACACTCCTTATTTATAGCCCCATTTTTCTCTTTCTCCTAGCCAAGTTGGCTTCCTTCCAATTAATCCGCGGGCTCTCACGCAAAGCCTTTCGCGGAAGTGTTGCTCCATCCTCGATTTGCCGCTCTTCAATTTTTGCGCGCTCCATTAGCAGGAACAAGCCTCCTTCCGCTCGTCGCCCTTCAGCTGAAATTCTTTCGCCCCGCAAATCCCACCTTCAGAGTCCGCCCGTCGAAAAACCTATCATATCCTCTCCGTCAACCCGGGGCGCCAGAGCATACAATCCGAAGCCGTTGAATCCAGGGACCTACGTATTTCGCGCACCAAGAATTCGGTCGAGAAGTTGGAAATCTCGGCCAAACTATTTGACATACAACCCTTCCACCTATAAACTTTCAGGTCTCGAATTCTTGCCGAGCCCGTCCACTGGACTTCAACCCATGAAAGTCCACTATCAGGTCGTGACGACCCCAACCGCCGATACCCCCGGCACATCCCTCATCCTCAACTTCCCGGACAAGCGCTATTTCTTCGGGCAACTATCTGAGGGTACCCAGCGGGCTTGTGGGGAACGCGGTATTCGACTTCCATATCTCACTGATGCATTCATCACGGGACGGTCGGAGTGGAAGAATAATGGCGGCTTGATCGGCATCATACTTACGCTGGCCGATACACTTGGCAACTCGAATGCTGCCCAGGAAGCCAGCATCCGTGAGAAGGCAGAGCGTCGGGCCCAGGAGGGGAAGGCGGAACATGGCATGGCTCTCGCGGTGCACGATGGAGAGACGGTGGTACAACGAGGCACACTGACACTTCATGGGGCCCCCAATCTGGCGCACACGTTAACCACTGCTCGGCGGTTCGTTTTCAGACAGGGGATGCCAGTATTCGCAAAGGAATATGGCTCCGAGAGCAGGCCTAAAGACGCCTCGGTTGGTGCGGAAGATCCCTTCAAGCAGCCGGCGTGGTCGGATAACAATATCAAAGTCTGGGCCCTGCCTATCCGCCCTTCTTCGCAGCCTCAGTCAGAGGAACCCTCCTCGGGGAGTCCGCAAAGTCCTAGGAAGAGGAGCCTCGATGAATTCCAAGAGAGCAAAACGGAGCAGCCTGAGTTGGACTCCCGCACCAAGGATCAGATAACCAGGCAGTCGATCATTACCGACATGTTTAACTCGTCTTGGAGGATGGACGCTCTTGTGGAGACCCCCCTGGCAGAAGTTCAAATGCCCGCAGCGATGTTTGTCCGCAATCCGGAAACGAAGTCATTCGATTTGTATAAGGGTCCTGCGCCAGGAAGCGATGAACCTCTGCCCGACATCAAGGTCTTTGTACGACAGCCTTGGCCCGGCGCGGCTGTGGAAAAAATCCCGCCCACGTCGCCGTGTGACGAAGCACTCTCGTATGTCGTGCGAAACCATGATTTCAGAGGCAAATTCGATCCTAAAAAGGCCCTGGAGTGTGGAGTCAAACCTGGCGCGGATTTTGGAAAGTTGACGCAAGGCGAAACCGTGCTCTCCCAAGACGGTAAGGTCGTCACGCCAGATATGGTCCTTGGACCGCCACGACTGGGCAAGGGAGTGGCAATCATTGACCTCCCAAGCGCCGATTACGTTGAAAACTTGGTCAATCGACCGGAGTGGAATTCGCCCTCTGTGGCGACGAACCTCGAAGCTTTTGTTTGGATTCTTGGTCCCGGTGTCGGGGAGCACCCCAAACTCCGCGAGTTTGTGGCACGAATGTCTCACTGCAAGCACACTGTGTCTAGCACCGACTATAACCCAAATTACCTGTCAATGCGAGGGGTTTCGGGCTCGCAGGTGCGGATGGCACGAATAAGACGCGAAAACCATCCCATTCCTATCCATGACAATGTTACCCTTCCGCAACCTGGAACCTCTACAGCTAAACCGACGACTACGACGGAAGCTCGCAAAAACTCGTCATTTGAGCCTCTGGAACCTGGGCTTCTCATCGACGTGGAGCCTAATTTTAAGATCAACCATTCGGAAGTTGCACCACGGTTCAATGCTTTGAGCGCAGCTCAGAATATGCCAGTCGCTGTGGAGAAACGTTTGGCAACCATCCGGAAACGTGTCCAGAAACATGATTTTCAAAGTCGATTGGACAGCTTTCGACAGAATCTCCCCGGGTGCGACGCGGAGGTCATTACATTGGGGACGGGCTCATCGGTGCCGTCCAGGTATCGCAACGTCTCGAGTACTCTTGTCCGGGTGCCCGGATTTGGTTACTATTTACTCGACTGTGGTGAGAACACATTGGGCCAGCTAAAGCGCGTGTTCGAGCCCGAGCAGCTGCGAGAGGTTCTGCAGAACCTGCGAGCCATATGGATTAGCCATCTTCATGCGGACCACCATCTAGGTACTGCCTCCGTCATCCGGGCCTGGTATCAAGAAAATTACCCCAACGGAGCTCCCCAAACCAGCGAGATTGAGACCGACATGTCCAAAATCCTGAAAGAGAAACGCTTGTTTCTAGTGTCCGAGAAAATGATGGTCGAGTGGCTCGAGGAGTACGCCGGCGTAGAGGATTACGGCTTTGGCAAAATCGTGCCCTTGAGGCCCGATACGTTTTTGGAGGATGGCGTGTACCAGACCCGGCTTACCTACCGTCACTGCCGTGCGGACGGCTCCTACCCAGGGTACGACACCGATGGCGGAGAGCCCGAAACTACGACTCTCAGCTTCAACGAGAAACTATCTCCCCTGGCACCTCTCCTCCGGGAAGCCACCGGGCTCTCCGAAATTTTGACCGCGAAAGTGGCTCACTGCAAGGGCGCCAGGGCTGTCTCCCTCGTCTTCCCAGACGGATTCAAGGTCTCGTTCTCGGGCGATTGCCGACCCTCTCCATCCTTTGCTTCCATCGGCCTTGGATCAACGGTCATGATCCACGAGGCCACGTTCCAGAATGATATGGCGGGATCGGCTCTGGCCAAAAAACACTCCACGGCTGCCGAGGCTATCGAAGTGGGCCGTTTGATGCAAGCCCGATCGATCATCCTCACCCACTTCAGTCAGCGATACCAGAAAATCTCGCATGTTGAACGAGACAATCCTCGCCTCGTGGTCAAAGATGGAGAGCAGACTGATCAAGCACCCGAACAACTGGAAGAACTGGACGACGAAGACCCCTCCATGGCTCAAGGCCGGGACTGCATGCCTCCCGTGCAGTTCGACAGCAACTTTAAGCCCCAGCAGAGACCGGTGAACGTCCCGGTGGTGGGAGCCTTCGACTACATGCGCATCCGCATTGGTGACATGCCTATCACCCAGGCCTATGCTCCCGCGATCGATAAGCTTAGCCAGATCTTTGAACGCGTCTCTGCCGAGGAGTCAGAGAAACACAAGCAGGAACTGGAACTGCAGGCCGCTGAAATCATGCGGCAGAAAGCAGCCAAGCACGCCAAACATTCCAAGAAGGGCAAAAAGGGTAAGGAGGCTGTTGAAGCCCCTGAACCTGCGCCGCCGGCGCCCGCCACTGATGTCGATAAGAAACCGGAGCCGAAACACTCTGCCTGGAGTGCCAGCGAGAGTGAAAGCGGATGGAGCACCAGCGGCGATGAAGCCGATCTCGAGCCTCGTCCGGTGACTCCTCGCCGAAAAAGCACCCCCACGAGCTACAGCCCGCCCATGACCAGATCTCGGTCGAAGAAGTCGCGTGCGTGAAGCACGCTCTACGAGAGCGGAGAAGTATGCAAGCCTACTTTTGTTACTGGCTTTTGAATGTATAGATAGATCGCCCAAAAGCGTAATTATACCTTTGCTATTATTACCTGATAGAGGTTTGGTTTACATGCATTCTTGCTTCTATGTTTTATCTTTCATTCCTTGTGAATTTCTGGTTCTTCCGGTGTGTGTATAAATAGGATTGATTGGTGTTTCTATGGCCGATACTGGGATTCAATATAGATTCTTCACTATGTCTTAATAAGAAACCTCTCAACTTTTTCAAATATAGGCCAATTGTATGTGGGTGGGCACCAAAACGGGTTACGAAAAATCACACTATACAAGTAATTGCATCCTCCTTAGAAACCAGCTTGAATCTTCTCCTTCTCGTCCTTGCCGTAGAGGCCTTCGCCGAGGTTCTGTACACATTCATTGCTCCAGTTCTTGGGGGTGAACTTGTCGACAATCTCCTTGAACGCGTCAAGCGTGCAGAAGGTGTCGTCCCCAGGGAGATGGTTCTGAGGCTTGGCGGCACAACCCGGGATACGGACTGGACGGTCGTTGTAACGGATACGGACATAGTGTTGCTTCATGCTCTGTCTCGCAGACTCCGGGAATGACGACAGGGGGGCACGAGCGGTGTCAGAGGGTGAGGACGGGGTGTTGTTCGAGGACGAAGAGCCACCCAGGAATGAGAAGAAACCCGGCTTCTTCGCGGCAATGGCCGGGCTGGAGAATTCCTCCAGCATAACTCCGGCGTTCTCACCAGACCGTTGGCTGGTCTTAGCGAAGAGCTCAATGGCAATTGACGAGGTGAAAGGGGGCCAGATTCCGTCAAACGCTCCGGTGCTGCCCAGTATTGCGGCCAGCGTGGTGTCGTGACATCCACTCATAGCAAACTTGATCGCCTTGCCTTGCTCGGTGGAGGAGCCGGAAGCCGAGGTCTCGCTGCGCCAGCCGCCATCCACAGCGGTGCTGACCATGCGGTCGACCACGTCGCCCATCAGGCCTCCAATTCCGAGTTTGCGGTACTCGTTGCTTTCAGTGTATCCGGCGAACCATTCGTCCACGGCGATCGTGTTAAGGTGCTGCCTGCTCTTTTTATCATAGAACTCTGACGGGAGTTTCGTTGCGGGCCCGTGGGCGAGACTGGCGTTAATGGTGTCTGCGATTCCCGAGAGGCGAGGGTGAGAGTCAACTGCGACCTTCGGCGAGCTTTCCGGCATCCATTTGGACAAAAGACTGTTGATGTACTTCATTTCATCGGTGTCGTTCCCTGTAAGTTGTGGAAGATTGTAAGCCATCAACTCCTCCGATTTTATGGGATCCCCCCAATCTCAACGCTTGGAGAAAAGAACGTACAGCGAAGTGCGGCCCTGTCAGCGAAAAGCTTCGCGAGTTGTCTGAATCGACGACAGTTGCCCTCATTAGGGAAAAGTGTCTCTTCCGATACAGAACGAGCAACAATCACCGGGGCAGGGAAATCTTGTGTACGGGCGCCGGATGGGTACATGCCCCAGAAGGCTTGTTGAAGGGACTCGAGAGCGCGCGGGATGGGCGTGGTGCGGAGATACATGTCCTCCGTGTCGGTTTTGATCTTGGGCATGAATCCAAGCTGGTCGACGTAGAGATGTCTCAGGCGCTGGCCGAGAGCAAAGGTTGTTTCGCGGCCCTTGTCTGTCAATTCACCATGTTGACTACATCAGTCAGCATATGCTTTCCTCCAGTTCGTGTTTGTCAGGAATCCAAGACTTGCCAAATGCCCTCTATATCACCGGTCGCGCCAACTGCCACCACTGATTCATCATTGTCTCCAAAGGTCTCCATCTTTCTCCGCCATTGGAAGCCATTCCACGAGGAAACGTCTTGATTGCTTGCTGCCATTTGGATCATTTGGCGTGCTACGTTGCAGTACGGCCAATCTTTATGGGAGAGGTTGATTAGACGAAAGGATTCGCAGTCCATGTGGCAAGGATAAAGGGTGATTTACATGGAGCAAGGCCTGCCTTCAGGATATCAGCATGTTTCAATCAATTGGAAGGGACATGGTTCCGAGGTACAGTACATTTTGAAACCGCGACGATACGGGTGTACGTTCACCTGAACATTGAACTGTCAGTTTGACTGGGATTATTCAAATGCAGCCGGGATTCATAAATTCTCACCATGGCGAAGAAACTGTGCGGTTCATTAGCTCGCGATCGACTGCCAAAGGTGTTCACGGAGACTTACCACCTGGACCAACTGCAGCTTCAAGTCCCGGGGATAGAGCTGGTCGAGCTCTTCCTTGGAGTAGGGCTCACGAGGAATAAGCGTTGTCATCTCTGCAGAGTGTCTATGCCGGAACACAAGGCAATTTTGCCTTCCTCCTGAGAAATGAAGGCTCGTCTGGACAAGGAAAAAGCAAACCGTTGGCGATGCCTCCAGACGTTGGGCCGGGAATGACGCCAGAAGGCGGTGGGCGGCCATGCAGCCAATTAGCGGGGTTGGTCCATGTCACGGGCCTGCCGCATCACCTTCCCGATTGAGGACCCACGTGGGTACCTGCGGATGATGTAATCGCGTTGAGCGTCAAGGTTTCGATTGTAGAGAGAAAACACCTTCCTCCCAATCCTAGGTCTTCTCTCTTTTTTCGAGTCATCAAGAAAACCACACCTCAAGATTAGATCTCATATGCCCTCTCTCATCGGCCCAAAACTTCCTCTGTTATCTCCGTCTTCCAACGGACACAATATGAACAGGCGTCTGGCGGTCAAGAACCCTGCAGCCAAGAGGACAACACAACACTACTACTAACTTCTTTGGTGTCGCAGAGATTTCTCAATCGGATGAGTGGGAATGGCCTGGAGGGTCTGCTTCATGAGAGAAGAAGAGATTCATGCAATTGACCAGAAGAGATTCAACTGAAGTTGCTGGCTTGAACGACCAAAACCAGTCCCAACATTTTATCTCCTTACAGTACTGGCCAGGGAGACTTGATCCTCTCCACTAATCCGGCTCTGGTGGTCACTTCGTGGATTCTTCTCTTGGCTTCGTTGAGGATATTGCCTTCGCTCATGGTCAATAATTCGCCATCTTTTACCAACAATTGGCCATCCACTACCACCACATCCACATCCCTTCCAGTCGCAGCATATACCACATCACTGACAGGGTTAATGTATGGCTGAAGCTGCGGCTTTTCCGTGTTGATGGCCACAAAGTCCGCTTTCTTGCCGATTTCCAGGCTTCCAATGCTTGATTCAAGACCTAAAGCTCGCGCTCCGTTGATAGTTGCCATTTCCAATGCGGTTTCCGCAGGGATCAGAGTTGGATCATGTGAAACACTCCGATGGATAATAGCCGCAAGCTTCATCTCTTGTAGTAGATCACAGCTGTTATTGCAGGGAGCTCCGTCTGTACCAAGGCTAACGTTGACGCCTCCCGCAAGTAGCTCCGGCACAGAGCTAATACCGGAAGCTAGTTTGGCGTTTGAAGTTGGGCAGTGCGCTATATGAGTGCCAGAGGCTGCTAGCTTTGGGATGTCTTTGTCATTGTCCAGGTGTACCATGTGAACCAGCACAGTCGATGGCGACAGTAGACCTGTAGAATCAGCCCAAGAGACAGGGCTATGTCCCAGAGAGTTGAAGTATTCGAACTGTCTTCTTGTTTCTGCACAGTGCATCGTGATCGGAATCCCGTGAGAATGGGCCACCGAGGCCATTTCTTTCATTCGAGAATGCAGAGCCCTGGATACGTTTCTACTCAGCACACTCCAGTCAAGCTGCAGATAGAGCCAGGCTTACAGTCCCGCAGAAATGGCTCCGAACCATACCCGGATACGATCGTTTGCAGCGCCATTCCACTTCTTCCAGGCCTCCACTACGTCGGATATGGAGCTGTCCGGCAAATCACTGTCTTGGCCAGGGTTGGGAGCGAATTGACCCAAACAGCCTCGAATCCCACTTTGTTGAACCACCTGACAAAGTCCATCAAAATTATGTTGAGAGAGAAACTGTCCATCTAATACTTAGCTTGCTCACAACTTTTTTTGGAAGGGGAAGTTGATTAAATCTCCGATAAGAGAGAGAAGTAGGGTGATGCGATGCATACCATGCTCTCCAGAAAGCATGTTGTTCCTGATTTCAGCATCTCGGCAACGCTTAACTGCACCGATACATAGGCATCTTCACTAGTCATCGCATTCTGCAGTGGACGGACTCTATCATCCAGCCAGCTGTGAAGTTCTTTGTTATCTGCCGTTCCCCGTATCAATGTCTGGACTGTATGCATGTGTGTTGATATCAACCCTGGTATCATGATGTGTCCGCTGAGATCATATTCCCCTTCGTGGGGATACTTTGCACGTAAAATGCTGGATTTGTTCAAGTCTATAATAATATTTCCTTGAACGTTGAGGGCGCCATCTTCGATAATACGTCGATCGGAATCAACGGTAATAATGGTTGCGTGGGTGTACAGCATTTTTTAAATCAGCCTGTTGGAAGGCCATCAAAAGATGCAAGTGAGACAGGCGTGTTCTGAAACTATTGATAATGACAAAATGACGGGAGGTTGACAGGAAGATGAAAGGACAGAGCGGGGGGCGGTGGACAGATGCACATGACCGTGCATATCTCCCTAAAGATGACATGCCATCCTTGCTTTGCTTTAGCAATAGAATACGAACTAAGCACTACAGCCTGACCTGAAGCAACCCTACTCAGTAGTCATTCTGCGGCAATTTAGTCAAAATTATTCTATCAAATTCATGGACACCCTGACACAGATCGAAGTACACCTTGCGACTGCCCAGTCTTTCCGTGCATGCTATCCACAAGCACGAGTCTCTATGCGTGATAGTATGAGTCCTATGGACATAGACCAAGGAGTTCGCTTTCTGGTGTCGATGCGAGGTCGAAGGTGTTTAATGAAATTTTGGTAGAACCTGGGCTCGTATCTCGTCATAGATTGCATTCTTCAACATTATGAAGCACCAAAACGAAATCAAATGCTCTTATCCCTGTCTCGAAACGCTTCTCTTGGAGGCTGCAGGAAACCCCCCATTTATTCGGCCATCGGGATCCCGTTCGTCTCGGATTTTCGTAAGCCGCTGGGCATTATCCACCGTCCAGTATTCAGTCAAGCGTAGCTCGAAATCCGAGTCTCCTATATATGACCCAACGGATTCGACTTCAACCTTTTTCATGACTTGTTGCAGCCACTCCCGACACCGCCGGTCATCTTCTTCCTTTTCCCAAATCAGATAAACCGCGAAATAATGATCTGATCGCATACTGAGCGCCATTTCAGGAAGCTTCTTTCTACTCCACGGACGCATTGAAGTCCAGAAGAGATAGGACTTTTGGTGTGGGAGCGTAAAACACGCTTTTTCTAAGAGACCGGGCACATCTGCATCATTTTTAAGGTATACATTGTCCGACAGATATCGGTGGTTCTTAGGATGCAAGGTGCTCATGACCTCGTAGAGTTTACCCAGACTGTCTTTGTAACAGAAGGATTCAGTTAGTGCGCCTGCGGGTCTGGAATTTTGAACATGCTGAAGAGCTGCTCTGGCATCCGCTTCGGTATCCTTCATGCTGGTGAAATAGATGGCGAAGACCGGCTTTCCTTCGTCACATTTGGCCTTTGCGGTGATCTCTGTGTCACCATCTAAGGTAGGTGCCAATGCTAGAGCCCAGTTGAATGCCTCGTAGTATAGATTTTGAGGGTAGATATACATCGAGGAATGGATCTCTAGCGGAAGTGGTATGAGACGCACATGGAACTGCGTGATAAGACCCGGGAAAGCTGTGTTTATAGTCAGAAACGTAAATAATACACAAAAGCATCGGGGTGATAAATACAGACCCGGTCCGGCTCCACGAGAAGCCCAAAAAAGGTCTTCGTTCTGCTGTGCACTGCAGTGGACAAGTTGGCCTTGGGCAGTCACAACATCTACAGCTTCGACAAATTCACAACCCCATCCCCAGTTCTGGGAGGGTAAAATGTCAAAAATGTCTCAATCCATGATGAAGAAACTGTTTGTTGGAGAAACATACTCCGCAATTCCACCCCATTCCGCCCTGAAGCAAAAAACCCCCCAATCCTACATCACCGCAATGGCCTCCGGGAAACATTAATCCATGGAGGGCAAGACGGTCATTGAGCTCCTTGCTGGTGACGCTAGGCGTCACTGTAGCAGCGCTTTTCTCTGGATCAATCTTGACTTGCTTCCAGTCGCCCATGTCCACCAAGATCGAATCATCTTGGACACTCCATACTGGGAAAGAGTGACCTCCCGCCCGCACGGAGACCTGGCATTTATGTTGGATTGCCAGCTGTACGGCTGCAATGACATCATTTTCGCTGGTCACCTTGACAATTGCCAGTGGAAATCGATTTGGGCTGTGTTTGTTGAAGACGTTGTCCAGGCGGGCAGTCTCGTAGACCTGGGCGTCCGCGTTGTCCCTCCAGATAATCTGCATGGTATTTTGTTGGTATCTTGAGCTCTCATATAATATTCAGTTCTTCGCGTTCAGGGTATGGGATGGAACGATAGTTATTTCCAAGTGGTGGAAAGCAGCCACGGAAGGTGGGCATGTTCACGTGCGGGGGCGTGATCTGGGAATGCCGACCAAGTTGGACCATCGAGGTCAGGGCTACACCTTCGAGTATGACTGCTTCGAGATATTGATATTTTGACATTGGAAATCGGACCGCAGATTCGATGGCAACTGCAGAGATGGCCCTGTTATTGTTTATGTCATGATGAACATAAAAATAAGAGAAAACGAAAACAGAGAACCACTTTTTTTTCTTCTATTTTCGTTGTATGAATTGACTTTCTTTTTATATATATCCAGGACAATTTACCTTCCGATAAACCAAAGTCGTGTACGCCAGTTCCAACATCGTCGCCAGTGGTAGAGAGAAAGAGCGCACAAAAAGGCGGAAAAAGCCTCCCCCACAGAATAATGCCGCCAAGCCGTCGGGTTCCCGGTCTGATCGCCAGAACGCACCGCATCTTCTTACCCTCGTCCATCAATCATATCTCGCCTCCATATCTAGCTCTTTATCGCCCTAGTTCGTCTTCTACTTCTTCTTAGTCACTGGTTCCTGGATCTGGTCCGCCAGGCGAGCGTAATACACACCCGCCGACGCAACTTGCTCGCTTCCCCTTGTTCAACCCACCAAAGGAGCTCCCCCCCCCACACCATCCTCGGGGTAGTATATGACAACCTCATGTGTATGATTAGGCGTTGAGAACTGCCTATTCTGTTGTGATTCCGATTGTCTGCAGCCGAACTATCAGGTTTCGTTGACAATGTTCCGGAATTGTTGAACTACATTCCCCTAGTTCCGGTTCTGGTCCCTTGCTGCAAGCCATCTGAAATCTCCTTGATGGATATAGACTTTTCCTGAACTCGATCAAGTTCCTGGACCAGCGTTACACGGAAGCTACACAGAACTGTGAACGATCGGTGCTGTTGGTGGTTGTTCATTTTTCGGTGTTGTGATTCCTCAAATCTGCGGACGCTCGGGTGGCACCTTGAATCCTGTCTTCATCTCGGCCAACCTCTTGAACCTCGTTCGATATTAAGCGAAATCGGTAAGTCTTCTGCCTTTCCACATTATCTGGTCCGGACTATGATGGATTGCTCACTACGCTCTTGGTAGTCAGACCTACACTGCTGTACTCACACAGCCGGGTGTCTGTTTGGATTAGCTGGTTTTTCGGTGTTTGTCCTCATGGAGGTAAGGAAGTCTCACTTTTTCCCCCAATGACCTTCAACCGATCGTCGGGAAGAATTTCTTTTATGATGCTCCTGTGTGGCTGGACCAGTCAATTTTGTTGCTTCATATGTTTTGCTGTATTTTCATACACGTCAAAGCCAATTCCCCTGGATAGACTTTCGATACCCAAGCAACTTGCAGCTTCAGCACGGCTGGTTGCTTGCGGAACACATCGATATTTTCAGATTGCAATCTGAATGGATGTGCGCTGTTTGCTTTAACGTTGCTCAACGGCTCTGTTGATTGCAATCCCCCCTTCAATCGAAAGCTGGACAGTTCCCTCGCTGTCCAGTCTCCCTGGTCCGTCTCGTCGCCACGTGCCATGAGCTCCGGGGATTTTCAGAAATGATGCAAAGCCTTAAAGAGCAAGCTTGCTGGATTATTTTCCTAGTCTGAAGTCCATATCCCCCGTTCCCATGGCTGCACTTCTCTCCCCCAGCATCTACACTCTGCCCGCCTGATGGCCCCTCTGTCACGTCACCCCCGTCGTTGGATCGACTTTGGTCCGGAAAGACATCTTTTCGCGGATGTTTCTGTCTTTCAAGGAAGACCTCCAGTTTGTAAAACCAGTGCGGAACTAAAACTCGAGGGTATCTTACAGGTCGCAAATCACTCCCCCGGGCAGCCTGTGCAGGCGAAGCCAGGCCAGCTTGCAGCCACCAAGCCTCAGGATCCCAAGCCTCGTCTCCTTTTGATGGGACTTCGTCGGTAATTTTCTCCGGAGCCCACTCTTCCCTACGAGAGAATAAACTAACCGGAATTAGGAGCGGGAAATCTTCAATCGCAAGTGTTGTTTTTCACAAGATGCCCCCAAATGAAACCCTGTTCCTAGAGTCAACTACACGCATCCAGAAAGATTCCATCCAGTGAGTTTATTCATCGCGCGTGCTAAGATCTTTGCATAACACCGGTTGCAGCTCTTTCATGGACTTCCAAGTCTGGGACTTTCCCGGCCAGCTGGAATATTTCGAGCCGTCTTTCGACCTCGAGGACATCTTCGGGAGCCTTGGCGCCCTCGTCTGGGTCATTGACGCCCAAGATGATTATCTGGACTCTGTCGCGCGCCTGAATCGAACCATTTTGACTGTTCAACAATACTACCCGAATATTAACATCGAGGTCTTCATCCACAAAGTCGATGGGCTCTCGGACGAGTATCGCACCGACACTTTTCAAGACATCGTACAGCTCATTTCCGACGAACTGAGCGATGCCGGGTACGAGAACGCCCCCGTCCACTACTATCTCACTTCTATCTACGACTATTCCGTTTTCGAGGCTTTCAGCAAAGTGATACAGAAGCTGATTCCCAATCTTTCGACTCTCGAAAACCTGATAAACACGCTTGGCAACAACTGCGGGTTCGAGAAGACCTATCTTTTTGACGTATTGAGCAAGATCTATATCGCGTCCGATACTCGCCCGGTGGACATGTCGTGCTATGAGATGTGCTCCGATTACATAGACGTCATCGTGGATATTTCCGAGCTATACTCATGGGATCACCCAGACCGCAAACCCAAGGGTGACCAAACCCAGGAAGCAGAGAGCCATGTCGTTCTGCACGATGAAACAATGATTCACCTGATGGAAATGAACAAGTGTGTTATCCCGACCTGACTTGCGAAGGAGAATACTGACTGTTGTTAGATATCTTTGTCTAGTTTCCGTGATCAGGAATCCTGAATCCAAAGAGAAGAAGGGATTAATCGATATGAACTGCCGTACCTTCCAGGAATCTCTCAACGATGTTTTCTCTCGCAGCTGGGAGCAGGAGCAGGAACAAGGGCACGGTCGCCTGGAACAAGGTCCTAGCAGCTGATTGTCAGCTTGTTCGCTATGGTATCGCTAATTAATTCTTTGGCTGTACTTTCTTGTGACTAAATTCATACTCTAGTGGGATGTCTTACGGGGGCTTTTAGAATCCCGACATGGGAATCCGCCCTGTCGATGGACTCAGAAGTCTAGGTGGGATGGGGAAGGCCCTGGGAAGTTTACAATGTCCATAGTATACTAGTCTCGATGGTCTGTATTTTGATGCTACGAGCCCATTCTAAGTTGGTCATATTTAAATGCACCGATCATTTAATTACATTTTGCAGCAACTTTTCTTGTGGGAGTGCATATTGTATTGTGTGTGTGACACCTCAGGCATTCAGGCAACTCTCAATCGGGGGCCCACTTGGCGCCTTTTTTTTTTTTTTTCTTCTTCTTCTTTAGAAAAGCCGTCACCAGAGCTTTTCCGTCCTGCAACCATTTTCCTTCTGCAACTCATACCAAAACCCAACATGACAGCAGCCATCTGAACAGACAAGCTTTATGCAGCTTGAAACATGCAGCACTAACATCATTTTCATCAGCACATCTTTTGCTCCGCTGTAACAAACGGCCTTGGTGAGTAGCATTCTCTTTTCATTCAGCAAAGCAATACTCCCCAACCCCATCTCGATGATGAAAATTATTTTCCACATTCGCAGTTTCCACGCTAGCCGTCGCGAGAACCCATTCTAGACGTGCTCTGTGCGCAATATCTTCCTTGGATGTCTGAGAGATTTGCCATTGCAGCTGATGCAGTTTCACGTTGTCTTACTTGAAGGGCTGTTGCTAACTGTTCTCTTCAGTAGTCATGAATTGTACGTCTTGGGCATGAGGGTCTATATTGGAGTTTGCAGGACTGGAGGCGAGGATTGAAGAATAGGCTGGCCATCGAGGTCGCGTCCTTCAATCCCTGAGGGAGTTTGAGGCGTTGATCTAAGAGCTGGGTGCATTATACAGTAATATAATAATATCATGGATTTTCCGAAATGAATTGCACAATTTAATACTGAGCTGGTGCGAATTGCGTAGAGCAAATAATCAGGGGTGTATTGACAACCTCATCTACGGGTCACCTTAAATCCCAAAGAAACAGTAGAAGTGCGAATAGTCATGAAACTAGACATGTCACACCATACGCAAGTCTAGTGTGAGCGGAACTCGCGGAAAATAGCAGTCGAATGAATCGATATGATAGCTGTCCTCTACGCAAATTAGCATTAATCAGTCAATCTACAAACAGCTCCGCCGCCCACCTTTTCCCCTCCCTTCATCTCTCTCTCTCTCTCTCCTCAACTCACTTCCCATCTTCTCTGCCCCCTACAGGCTGACAATCACCATGTCAGACCTACGCCAAAGAAACACCAAATCCGCCAAACCAAAGGCCCAAAATGACAGTCCCGCTCCGCGACGACGCAATGAAGCCGCCACCAAAAGCGGAGGCATCGGCGTCCTGGATCTCCTGCGCCTGGTGATCACTCTGGCGGTAGCGTCGTGCGGGCTGTCGTACTACATGACCTCGTCCGAGTCGCTGCTCTGGGGGTATCGGCCCTGGTTTACCAGACTGCCGGTGTTGACGCGATACCTGGTAGGTTCAGGACCTTGATTTTTCCAATTCCCGACAGCCGGGGACCCTGAGGTGTTTTGATTTCAAAGCCCTTTCATTGGCCGGAGGGGAAATTGCTACATCACCATCATCATCATCATCATCATCCACTAACGCCGAACAGCAAGGACCTCTCTACCTCACGCCCGCCCAACTGGCCCCCCACGACGGCTCCGACCCTTCCCTCCCCATCTACCTGGCCGTGAACGGCAGCATCTTCGACGTCTCCGCCAACCCGATGATCTACGGGCCGGGCGGGCACTACAACTTCTTCGCGGGGCGCGACGCCACGCGGGCGTTCGTGACGGGCTGCTTCCAGGAGGACCAGACGCCGGACATGACGGGCGTGGAGGAGATGTTCATCCCGATCGAGAACGACGAGGAGGACGCGAAGACGCTGAGCAGCGGGGAGAAGAAGACGCGGCGGGAGCAGGAGCTGCGCCAGGCGCGCAGCCAGGTGCAGAAGCAGGTGCAGCACTGGGAGAATTTCTTCCGCAACCACAAGAAGTATTTCGAGGTTGGGAAGGTCGTGGGGCTGGAGGATTTGCCGAAGGAGAAGAGGGAGCTTTGCGAGGCGGCGAGGCAGCAGAGGCCGAAGAGGAAGAACTTGAATAAGAAAAAGCAGGAGCAGCAGAAGAAGCAGAAGCAAGGGAACTGAGGGTGGTTGGGAACGAAGGTAAGATTGGTTTTGGTTTGGGCAGGTTTGTATTGTATAGTATAGTAGGAATCTCCGTCTTAGGGTGTCGGGGTTCGTTGTATATGGGCACTTCTCAAAATGCAGATTATCTACGTGCCGATCGAATTGTTCTCGTTCCATATCGCTCTTGGGTGAGGCTTGATCCTACGCATCTCGTCTTCCAGAGAACGCCCTTACTTGCTTCTGAACAGACGAGACTGCCTCGAGCTTAGTCTTATGATCGGATTTACTGGGCACGTCCTGTAGCGCGTATTTTTGTTCGTTCACTCCGAAATTGATTGATTCGAACCACTATACATCATTCGCCCAGCCAAACTTCCGAATTTTGAGAGATATCATTCGTAGAAAAGTGAAAAGGGACCGCGAGAAAAAGAACTGATGAGGAAACGTTTACTCGGCGGTGACGGCGCGGGCTGCAAGGAAGAAAAAAGATCGGATTAGAAATCGTCCATCATAACCATCGAATTCCGAGGTCGTCACGGGTATTGGTGTAACATACTGTAGATGTTCATCTTGGAGTGGCCGACAACCTTCTTGATCTGGCCCTTCTCCTCGAGGTCAGCAAGAGCCTTGCGGGCCAAGCTGCCGTTGATCTTCAGACGGTCGACGAGGGTGGCGACGGTGATGAGACGGTAGGACTGGACATCCTTGTTCAGTCTCTCGGCAGTCTGCTTCTCGAGGACAACGGCGTGCTGGGCCTTGTCCTTAACTATACGGCGAAAAAAGAGAGCGTCAGTCACACGGATCCCAAATTATCCTGACTTCTCCATCATCCGGTCGATTTCGAAAACCTGTCCCCCTGCTTGCCGAGAGAAACAATAAAACTTTTTTTCATCCTCTTTTCAAAATCGAAACGAAACCGTTGACCGAGATGACGATGGGGGGGAGAGTTGGGATGGTGGTGATTTGCATACCCTTGCCCTTGGACCACTTCTTGCGTGCGGGAGCCTATAAATTTCCAGTATTAGTATAATCCATTCATTATGCGACGTCCTGATGCGCCTGGATCAGAGGGTCATCACTCACCATCTTGAAGATCTAGTGTGGTTGTTCGACGGATGTGACTGCGCGACAGAGCAACGGCCAGAAGGGTGCGAGCCCAAGTGCGAAATTCGAGTGGGGAGGGTGGCGTCACGTGCATGGAACCCTAAGCCCTTGGTGGTCTTTTTTTTTCGGCGCGCGTTGGCTCGGTTAGCATTGGCGGGCGGCGGGCCGCTGATTGGTCGCCGCGGACTATATCGGCTGGATGCCCCAGGCATGTATCTACGTAAGATGAAGATACTGGGTATGTACCTGGATTTTATATGATATCTTTATGCATATTGTTCGTTCGAAATCATAAATATCATCTCATAGAACTCCAGACATTGCATCCTCGTAATCAGCGCTCAACTCATAATCATCGGCTCAAATTCGCCCCATAGTTCCCGGAAGGTAATCTCAGGTTGCTACTGATAGACTTGAGAGCTTTGAACTGCGACACGCCGTTCTCGTCTTCGAGGTACCCAAGCACGTAGTCATCTGGCGTTCCAAACCAAAAGAGGGATTGCCCTCGATGCTCTGAAGTTACCCATCTCACCTCATACCGCCCGGCGTCATTTCTAGACGCCGGAATACGGACGATCGACGGCGGTCGGTCGAGTGACCAGCTCCGTACAGCAGTGCCGGTGCTATTTGTTGTAGTAACAAGAAACTCGGACTTTGAGGGATGCCACACCACTTGTCTCACGGGGTGTTCATGAGCGAGGGCCGACAGAAGTACCACGGTGGACTCCAGAGCCCATATCCAAATGATATTGGGCCGCGATTGATCTACCGTGCAAAGTAAGCTCCCGCTGGCGCTGAACGCCATAATCGAGACCCCTCGAGGAGGCCCTGTGGGCTCGCCTATTGCGCTAAATGCAGTAGACCCCGAGCATTCGTTATATTCAAGGTCACCATCCACGGTTGCGAACCGCTCACGCCAGATACTCGGAGAATGCTGATCCATTTGGAACGTGTGAGACAGTGTCGTCGAGCAAGAGAACTATACCCATGAGGTTAGCTTGTAGTAAATAAACAAAAAAGGATAAACGCATCCATACCGTTTTGTTTTTGAGAAGGTCAACAGTCCCATCGACCTTTCCGACAGCCAGAAATTCTGACGACCCGCCGCTGCTGGCAGGACTCCATTCTATATTCCTGACACCAAGATCGAGGGAACTGTCGGCACCGGGCGGGCCCGTGTATGTTCTGAATGGCTGGCCATCGGCGGTGTATATGAGAACTTTTGTGCCGGCGCTGGCAGCGTCCCAAACAGCTATCCACCTGCCATCCGGACTCCACTTCATGCCTTGGGCATCTACCGTGGGTAGGGTTGCGCGGCCTATCAGTTCGTATGATCGGAATTCATGGATAGTAAGCAGATCGACTGCATCAGGCTTCAGCAGAATTGCAAACTGCCTGGTCTTCGGTCGGTATCCGAAGCCATTGTAGTGAGAGGATTTGGGCGACTTGATGACCTGGCTGCGGCCTGTATCCAGGCCATGTATGGAGAGTTTGGTATTCCACGCATGAAATACTACGACCTCATTCTCATCCCCTCCGAAGTCAACGTTCGTAGCGCCGGGTTCGATGCTATCAATCTCTGCGTGCAACTGCATTGGTTCTAGCTGCCACACCAGGACACGAGTATCACTGGCATATAGCACACGCCTTCCCGAAAGGCCGCTGCCTTTGGAGGCTTGTGAGATCTTCACAAATCTCGGGAGATTTTCTTTGACCTTCACGATTTGTGCATCTTGAAACTCGGAAGATGTCGGGTTGAGGTGGAAAACGAGCTCCTTCGCGTTTAGCTGCGAAACAAATTCCCCATCTTCTGAAAGAGAGATTGATGATGACACTGTAGGATCTGTTAGCGGTTTGTTATCCCCAGTCAACAGATACGGGGATTTACCCCCAGTTCCGCCGGTGGAGTCCATTGTTGCTGATCTTCTAGTCGGAATGAAACAGGGCGTTCAGTGGCTGTCGTCAGGGTAGTGACGGATGTTTACAGCTACAAGCAATTTTTGTTCACACATGTTCAGGTATAACAACGCATTCTTGGGCCGCCTGGACGAGGAGATGGGGAGTTTCAGACATGCAAGACCGCCGGTTGTTGTTGTTTTCTACTGATGAACCGCGCCAAGCCCCCGGTGGATTATGTAATCACATATACAAGCTGGTCGAGTTCTCCCAATTCTTCTGCAGGAACACTGGAATTGCTGTCGGACATCTAATGCCTCTTGTCAAATTGATTCCAGCCACTGCAATAGTACAACTGTACTCCATCGATTTGGGTTCCTCCCATGTGGCAGTGATGTAACCAAACTTCACAGACGATAAGATAAGGCGGCACTTTGTTATTCCGCTCCGCCATCATCGCCGCCGAAAAAAGTTGCCCGCAATCCGATAATTCGTCGGTACTTCATTATTGCGATTCTCGACAAACTACATTTGACCATCTTCTGATTTCATTTCATTCCACGCTGCCACAATAGGGATTCTTCGCTTCTTTGGCCCGTGGTTAGGGCGACATCTACCCCAATTCAAACACTCGAATCTTGTGAAAATGGCGGTTTCTGAAGCGCAGCCCGCTTCGCAAACCCCCGCGGACGGGCAGAATGCGCCATCGGCTCCCCAGTCGGAGCCGAAGAAGAAGTTGTTAGGCAGGGCATTCTACGAGAGTTTGGGAAGCCCCAAATATATTGTTGCCCCCATGGTAGATCGCTCGGAATTCGTACGTACGGCCCATGTTCTACGAATGCTGTTTTGCCTTAGTGAACTGACACGGATAACAGGCCTGGCGCATGCTGACCCGTTCATTCATGCCTCCCGATGACCCTAGACCTCTCCTGTCCTACTCGCCCATGTACCATGCGCGCTTGTTCCATGAACAGCCTGGTATCCGTCTACAGCATTTCCGACCCACGCGCGACGACAACGGTCAGGGCGCTGGCACTCCTTACCTCGATGGAAACCCCGCCATAGATCGACCGCTTTTCGTGCAATTTTGCGCAAACGATCCCGACGACCTCCTGAAAGCTGCTCGACATGCTGAGCCATACTGTGATGCCGTTGACCTGAACCTTGGGTGTCCCCAGGGAATCGCGAAGAAGGGGCACTACGGCGCATTCCTTCAGGAGGACTGGGATCTCATTTATAAACTGATTAATCGACTACATAATGAACTTTCGATACCCGTTACCGCCAAGTTTCGGATCTTGGAGACAAAGGAGAAGACGTTGGAGTATGCGAAGATGATCTTATCCGCCGGCGCAAGCATAATCACCCTCCATGGTCGCAGAAGGGAGCAGAAGGGACACAATACGGGTATTGCTGATTGGAGCTACATTCGTTACCTCCGCGACAACCTGCCTCCGGACACGGTGATATTTGCAAATGGAAATACCTTGAATTACGACGACTTGGAACCCTGTCTTGAAGCCACAGGTGCAGACGGAGTGATGAGTGCGGAAGGTAATCTATCAGACCCGGCGATTTTCAGCAAACCCCCTCCCGTTGGCAGCGAGACACGGGAATATTGGCGTGGTAGAAATGGCAAAGGTGGTTACCGGATAGACGCGATACTGCGGCGGTATCTCGACATCATTTACAAATATGTTCTCGAACAGCCCGTTCCAGAGAGAGAGCCTCTCTATCTCCCATCAGATTCTGTGGACGAGGCTGCAGAGCCAGTCGCCGAACCTGCCGAAGAAGTCGAGGACGGCCCACCCAAGAAGAAGCAAAGGAAGGAACTGAAGAAGGAGATCAAGAAGGAAAAGAAGGACAGGTCGAAACTGAAGAAGCAGAACTCTCCCAGTCTAGGCGTGATGCAGGGGCATCTTTTCCAGCTCCTCCGTCCCATGGTTGCTCAGCATACTAATGTTCGTGACGCACTCGCTCGGTCCCGGCCCGGCGACATGCCGGCATTCGAGCACGTTCTCACTCTTGTCGAAAAAGCGATCAAGGATGGCTTGCGAGAATACGAACAATTCCCTGAACGCTATGAGGAGCCCCCTAACCAGGACCTGAAAGGGTCCAAGGCGACAATCGCTGAATACGGACGACCCTATTGGATCTGCCAACCACACATTCGACCCTTGCCCGAAGAAGCCATGGAACTGGGCGCTCTCACGGCCAAGCAGAAGAAGAGTACAGCCGAAGACGATTCTAAAGCTGAAGCGCCTTCAGAGAAAAGGAACCCCCCTGCCGACTCCGATGCCACGCCCCGCGAGTCGGCTCCGGCTTCAGCTACAGCAACCCCAGATCCGTTGGTTAGCGGTTAAAATATGTCTTTTCTTTTCTTTCTTTTCTTTTCTTTTCTTTTGCTTAGGGCGGAGTTCAACATTGCATATATCCAACGGGGAGGAGTGGGGAGCGCGTTTATAGATGTCTCATTGCTGAACATGTCAGAAGCAGTGATAATACAATATAGTACATAGACTCACGCCAGTGATGCATACAATACTAGAGCAAAAGTGCTTTTCACACTATCAAATGGCGCACATCTTTTTATACCAATCAATGTATCAAATTCATCGCATCATCAACGGGCAACATCTGGTATCTTAGAAAACAAAATAAAATAAATAAAGATCAACCCGAAACCCCATAACCACACAACGCCATTCAAATCACAACCATGCAAATGTTACTTGCCCACTGAAACCTCACCCTAGAAATCCAACACAAGCTGCGGCGCCATCTTCTCGAGATCCTCGACCTATACACAATCCATTAGCACCACAGTCAAGACAGCCCCGACTCCTCAGCACCCGGAGTAAAGGAAGGGGAAATAAGAGAAGAGAAAGGGAAATGCAAACCTCCAAAAAGCCATCCGCAAACGACGCCCCCTCGCCATTAACCTCAGCTCTCTCATACGCCGCTCTCGCCAGGGCCTCGCGCACAAAGACGTCGACATACTTCGCGACGACGGCGTTGGCGTCCTTGGCGATCTTGGTCTTGGGGTTTTGGAAATGCGCATGCAGCAGCCGGGTCAGCAGCTTCGGTGGGATCTCGGGCTCGCTGAGGGTCACGTCGTTGGACTCCTCGCCGTTGGTGATCTCCGCTAGGATGAAGTCCGGTTCGCCGGAGGCCGAGCGCTCGCGACTCTGACTGCGGCTGCGATCGCTGAGGCCTGAGCCGGCGTCAGAGTCTGGGTCGGTGTCCGCGGCGGCGGCGAGGGCAGCAGCGGCTGCGGCATCGTCGTCGTCATCTGCGACGGGACTTTCGGAGTGTGCGCGCGATTTGTTCTTGCGGGAGGACGAGGAAGCCGAAGCACGAGTGGGTTTGGATTTGGAGGAGGATGCGGTGGCATTTTTCAAGGGTTTGGCTTTTGCTTTGGACTGGGGTTTCGATTTGGCGGCTGCTGCTGAGGATTCCGCGGCGGAGGTGGATTCGGAGGGCGCAGTGTCGGGATCTGTCTGACGACGAGGGACTTTGAAAGGTCGCTGCCTTTGGTTCTGAGGTTGTCGTTTTGTGGGAGGCATGACGGGAGGAGATTGACCGGTATTGGTTGGGGAGAGAGCAAATGTTGTTGAGGGGAAGTAAATTGAGCTGGATCTTATCGCTCGACACGGGATCACGACGCGAAGTCAGGTGATCTGTATACTACTATATATACAGCGGTTTGTTGCTGCGATTGTGTGCAGGATTAGGGAGCAGTAGGTTTAAAGGATTGAAAATCATTGCATTTGATTCCTTTGCTGGATACTTTTGTTGTGGTTGATCATTCTTGTCTCGAATTGAGCTCTAGAGTTACACCGTCAAAATATACATCCCGAGGATGTTCCACTCTGACAGCATCACTCTTCGCCTTCAGGACGAACCACCACAACATCCAGCCCCGCATTCTCCAACACCTTCCGTGACAGACCCCAATCAACCCTGAAGAGCCCGGAATTGAACCGACATGACCAAAGCCCACTAACCGGCAGTATCACCGACTCATCAAGCCAAAGCTCCTCAAGCTGCCGCTTCATATCCGCCACAGCAAGCTCGGTATTCGCGAGGATGACATCAGGGGGGCTGGCCTTCCTTCCGAAGTTGCGTGAAGTGAAGAGGCAAATGATCCAGTGCTTCTTGGTGCTACTGCTTGCCCTGTAGTCTCTTTCCTGGGGTGGGATGATGAGCGCAGTTCCCTCCGGGGATAGCGGATTCCCAGTCGACTGATTACTGCCACCAGAGACACCACTACTGGTGCTAGGAACGGTGCTGGATTTGGATGATTTCATCAGCTTTTCACAGTGTGCCTTGTAGATGGCATATGCAGCAGGGTACTAGCCATATGCCATGGGCAGTGTTAGCGACCGTGGTCTTAAGTGAGAGGATTGAATGCAATATCCACTTTCAACCACTCACTTGCCTTTGTTCTAAAAGCCCTGGCAATACCGGCACTCCAACACCCTTGGCAGTTACAGGCATCTAGCGCAAAAGAAAAGCGGATGATCAGTATGAATATGCTCTTTTTTTCATTCCATCTGACTGAGTAAACATACGGATCAAGGCTGCCCCATCTGGAGCGTCGAATAGATCGCCTTCCATCTCCTCAATCTTGCCAGAACGAGACTTTTCCATTCTCCGCACAAATGAGAATGTTCCAGATATCTTGTATTGTGTCTGTAGCTAGCAACGCCTAGAAGATGGTTCTGAGGAGGTTTTGGGTGACGTTGACTGGGAAATGAGGTGCTAAGAATACAAGTGAAAGCAAGTAAACAAAAGAGCTTTCTGGAAGCACGCGCTTGACCAAAGCAGACTAGTCGCCTTGCATCCATGGGTAATGCTGCTGCAAGTGATGACCCAACCGGATTTACACCTCTTCACCTGCTGGATGCGAAGGATCTGAGCCACCATGCCCCGGTAGAAAGTGTTGCCGCAGACTTCTCGATTTCCTGACAGATTTAGAGACACCTTCATCCGATGTATCATCCCCCAGGGCGCTCTTTTCTCTGGAGTGTTCTATGGCTCCAGTCCATGAAGAAGTTGTTGCCTCCGATGCACTATGGGTGCTGCCGGATTTCAGTCTACTCAAAGACCGTGTAATGCTTCTGAAGATTCCTTGATTTTGCTCCTCGGAATGATGGCGATCGAGTCGTGGAATTTCCCCCATCATGGTAGCACCATTTGTGGCGAAATTCTCCTCGTGAATGGGGATAAATAGAATAACGCCTCGGTTCGCAGGGATAAGAGTCAGGTCTTGAAGAAGCCCCTGAATGAGAATGGTGCAGCGAAGATTGGTCATTGGTGCTATGAAGTGTGGCAGCGCGAAGACCTTGATCAAATAGGCGGGGAACCTAGGATTGCCCAAGTAAAGATGTACATCTTGCTGAATGGTGATCATAATTTGACTCTCAGATATCTGGTAAACGCTAGCCATGCGAGACGCTATTGAGGAAGCGAATGCCTCAACATCCTTGACCTAAAGTATTGTTAGTATATCCAAGAAAGCCTAGAGTGTATCGCGGGAGTAGGCAAATAAAGCGAGTGCTCACCCGAGTGCGTAGCTTGACCTCGACTACTATAATAGACTCTTGGTTGGTCCGAGTCTTGGGCGAGGCCAGAGGGCTGCGGATACTGAAGATCTCCTCAAAGTAGCGAGTTTTTGCTCGCGTCATCGAGTCGTCTTCGCCATCGGCGTTGACTGGACCAAGCTTGCTGTCTGAAGGGGGACCATGAACAGCAGGGGCATCCATATCATCATCGTCATCGATATTTTCCACGAAAACAGATGGCCTGGCCGGAGATCTATCCAGCCGAGTCTTTTGTTGGCCGGGCGACCCAGGGCTGATATTTTGAAGCGAGAACACTGCGGGTGATTCAAGAACTGGCACTGTTGGGGAGCTTGTAGAAGACGTGTTGGAATGGTTGCGTTTCTTCATGCGCGAAAAGTCGAGCTTGCGGAGCCGTTGTGCCATCTTGGGCAGCTACTGACGGAAGATATGTCCCTCGAGTTTTGTCAGGCTGGAGGACGACACAGATGACTTGCGCTGGATTGCTCGACTCGCTGCGACTTTGAGATGACTGCCTGCGGATGCTTACTTTCCCGATTCAAGGCAAGTCCCCCATAGAAGAAAGGGCGGCCGTGGGTATGCCACACCTCGGCGGTCTTCGCAACTGTTCCTTCCATTCTATAAGAGTAGATACGGAAGACTGGGTATTGGAGTGTACAAAGGGGTAAGCCGTCAGTCTCATGCTCAGCTCAAGAAGGCCAAAAAGTCAAAGGCCGAATTCCCACTGAGAAACAGTTTATCGATCCTTCGTCTTCGATCCCACATGATTTCCCCGTCGGACTTGCGCTTGATGTATAGCACTCGATGTTGCGGAATAAATTCCTCGTCCGTCGATTCCTTCTTCCATGAACCAATTCCAACCTCCAAGCGTCCTTCGAATCGATCCTCATATCCAATGATGTAGTTCGCACTATCATAATTGGAATCCCAGATGATACGATTGATGATGTCTGCGTCGTCTCTGTTAGTGGAAAGAATCTCGTGATGAATTTAACGAACAGATACCTGCTGCGGGACGGAGCCTGTTTTCCATCGATACTGGGGTCTGCGTGCTTGAAGCATGTCTGGGCGTTGTAGGGGGAGGAGTAAGTCTGTCTCCTTTCGCCGTGGCTTCACAATCTTGAGCATCTGGGACAATCTGATCGCGAGTGGGATCTTCTTCCAGGGGTACAGTGGGTGCTCCAGACGCCATGGTGTATGATTTTCACGCTTCAAATGCTGAATCACTGAAAAATGGTATATTGAAAATGAAAGCCAATTGATTCAGGAAGACTAGATACTTATAAGCTATCCCAACGTCTACATTCGCCGTGAACACAAGTCCAAGGGTATCCCAAACAACAAACAGCCCCAGGCTAGTTAGGCTACACGAAGATCAACAAGGAGTCAGAGCACCAGAACAGGGATTGGCATTGCTGGAAAGAGACCAGGTGAAACTAGACAAGTCGAGGCATTGGTCGAATGAGTCAAAGGACGGGGCGGTGTTCTTGATGACTGTGACGATGTGACTCATTTGGTTTCCGGGTGGAGATGAAGCAAATGAGAGGGTTGAGGCAGACAGGAAAACGAGAACGAATGAAATACAAGAGATACAATTGCTAAAAAAAACAAAGCCAGCCAAAATAAAAGTATCTTCGGCAGAAGGGAAAAAAAGCAAAAAGAAATCTCCGATAGGGGGAATCGAACCCCCGGCTGCCGTGTGAGAGACGGCGATGTTAGCCACTACACCATATCGGATTCTTGTTGAGAAAGGCTGCCATTTTTGACTACATATTCCAGGGCCACCGCCGAGGCATTGACCTTACCAAGGCGCCTCAAAACATGCAGTTTTGTCCAAGTGAAAAACTCCCGACGACAAAAAACAAAAAGAAAATTAATTGGATGCCTTACACAAAGACCCTTCATCTGAATATGCCGTCTGAGGGCCGCTCCGCCGCTCGTACTTAGCGCGTCTTAGGCCAACGGTCGGCATTTCGCGTCTAGGAAGCTGAGGTCAACTATTTTACTCCCGCGCAACGCGTCTCCCGGAGGGAAAGTTCACCGGTTCAACCTCCCTCTCTCTGCACTGAAGATGCGCGATAGCCCCGCCATCATATCACGATGAACGACGCGACGAATTCTCTGCTCGCTGAGCACTTCAGCTATACGCCTTTGGTCAGTTCTCCTGGCCGTAATTGTCTGCCTGGACACATGCGCCTGCCCCTCACCTCCTGGCTTCTCCCGGCTAACTCGATCGCAGTCTCTCATAGATGACGTTATCAACTCGATCAACAACTTGATATACCAAGCCATCTCAAGTCTTGAATCCGGCCTTCTCTCTACCCCGCCCGAACGATTGGGATTTTCCCATGCGAACAACGGCTCCACCATCCCCGACACCGATGAGGATGGAAACGTTGTTTATCCCGAGGCGCGGCTGGAGATTGAAAATGGATTACATCAATTAGAGACCCTGCTTGAGTCCACAGTCGACAAGGCGTTCGATAAATTCGAAATCATCGTGCTGCGAAATACGTTCAGGGTGGAAGATGATCTGCTGGGGTGGATTCGGTTGAATCATTACCGGGTATGGGGTTCGGCTGGAAGCTTGACATTAACGTGCATGGTGCTAATATGCCTTGACTTGTTTCGCAGAATCTTGATCTCAATCCTCCTCCCAACACGCCAACTCCCGAGACAATCCAGGCTCAGCGCAAAAAACTACAAGAAACCAAAAAACTCAATCGGTCAATGAAGGAAGAATGCGCCCGAAACGATGCGATTATTTCTCAGCTACGATCTATCTTGTCGACCGTGGATTCAACCAAGAACGCAAAATCGGCCAAGGCGGAGGGAGAATCCGAGATGCCTGCGCCGTCCGGCAGCAAGGAATTGGATCTATCGTTCTTGACAGCCAGCCCGGCTGCTCAACAGCTGCGGGTCGGTGTCGCAGGCTCTAATGCTCAGCATACACCCCTCACGACGAACACGACTTTTATATTGTCTCAGCTCCCTGCGCTCAAGACGATGCTTACACAGCTCCGACCCAAATTGACCGCACTACCGAAGTCAGTGGATACTGCGAAGGAGTCCAAGGCCGATGAGAGAAGGGACTACATTGAAAGCCGGATTAGGCTACACCTTGAGCGATCTGGGCAGCTTGCAGTGGGTAGTGACGGCAACCCGGTTGTCGCGGGACGAAAGATGAGCATCACAGAAGCACAGGCACTCGAGGCTGTGACAGGATTGCTAAGCCAGGGCGACATGAAGTCCGATTAATAGTCGTTGCCGCCAAGACAATCACTGGAGCATGGTCAAAATTCGTCAACTTTTCTTATTACATCTGAACCGACAGTGATTTGACATATTTGTCACCAGGAAACTATGTGGACCAGGTTACGCTCCACGTCTGCTGGTTTCTTCTGAACGGGACCACGTCCACTTTTCCTGACTGGAGGATATCTGCAATCTTCTCTTCTTTCTTCTCGAGGATCAAGAATTCCTTCTGCTCCTCTCCAAGGCCGTAAAAGTTTCGGCCGAACTTACTCATGAATCCCTCAACGATTTCGGGAGTAATGTCCTCCTCTTTCAGAACGCCATTCTGGACCGCCTGTTCGAAAGCGTCGATGACGAGCTGGGTGGTGTATGGCTGGGTAAAAACACCCGCGGCAACCTTGTCTCCTCCTCTCTTGGAAGCTGCTGGGTGCGGTGCACTGTCGGAGCCGAAGAAGAACTTGGGATTGCCAGATGCCGCAGCCCGCAAGAGGGCGTCGCGATCGGCAGGTGTTTTGGCGACCGGCTTGCAGAAACAGAAGGGATCTCCCGCCCAGTGGTCGACAATAATAGCCAAATGATGGGCCGTGAGTGTGGCAGCCACCGAGGGCCCGCACTTCTTAACAGCCTCTACGGCAGCCGCGGTCGTGCAATGCTCCAAGATAATTCGAAGCTTTGGGAAGCGCTCGTGCAGCTGCAACAGGGTGGGAAGGAAACGCTCTTCCGCCGACAGAACCGTCACGTCGCCGGTCGAAGGGACTTCTCCGTGGAGGTTCAGAACCATGTCTTGTCGCTCCATCTCTTCGAAGACGGGATAGAATTGGGTATAGTCCACTACGCCGGAGGAGGAGTTGGTCGTCACGCCCGCTGGGTAGCTTTTGACACCGGTGACGCCTCTTTTCTTGGCTTCGATGATGGTTTCAGGAGTCACAGTATCGTGGAGGTACAAGGACATGAGGTAGTTTACGTTCGGCTCAATGGCCTGCAGGCGCTTTTTGTAGTCGAGGGCACGGTCGACGGTGGTGACGGGTGGCACAAGGTTTGGCTAGAAGAACCATGTTATCTTAAAGAGACCTTCAGAATAGCAATTCATCGGACCGCTCCGTAAAAGCGAGCCCTTACCATGACAAAAACAGTGTTCACACCACCTTGTCTGATGGTGGGGGTCACCAGTTCCATCATCTCGCCGTCACGAAGATGGACTTGATCGGGTTGTTAGCGTGCATTTTCCTCACATCGAGAATTGGCTCGAACCAGCCCCAGCCAAAGACAGACTGCTACAAGGGCGCACAGTCTCTCACATACCATGGAAGTCCGCCGAGGCGGGGAGCTTGATCCCCTGCAGCTGCGACAACGGCATGATGACAATAGACCGAGGGCTAGATTGCCAGGGCCAAACAGGAGATGTATGATATAGACGAAGGAATAAGCAATCCCGCCAATCCCAAGAAGGTCCAATGGTTCAAGGTTGCAGAAACCGAGTGGCTGTTGAGCACAGAGCAAGTCAATCTTTTTTCCCCGCGGATTTTTTTTTGTTATCGTGGGGCATGATGTCACGGGATCTGGTGTTTTGGTTCCCCGCCTCTTCCCTTTTCTCTCTCTTTTCCCTTCTCTCTCTTCCACCCTGGATGATGCTTAATCTAAAGATACTCAATGTGAAACTATGCAATGCTTACAGCGTCTAAAAATAAGGTTGATGGGCCAGAACAATGAATTGGACCAGCCGTCCTGAGCAAATCTACAAGTACCTACTCTTACTCTGATGGACCACCCCACAATGAACGGCGACAAGACTCGACGATAACTGGATCCTTCTAGTTGTTGGAACCGAAATCAAATACTAACAAGTAAAGAAAGAATGATATATATGAATCTCTAATCAAATGTCAGCAAGCCTACCTTGCTGCTCGGCCTAGCCCTTCTCCTGAGCAAACTGCGGGTCCAGGCGAAAGCTGACAACCACGCGCAACATGTCGGAGATCAACAAGGTCAATATGTGACGTTAATTAGAAAGTCAGTTTAATTCGTCCGATGGAGGCGCCAGCCCCTGAGTATAGGCGCCTGGATTGTCAAGGTTCAAGCTGACCTGAAGAATTATTCTTCAGGGGACCTCGGCGCTTAGCCTGTTAGCAGGGATTGGCAGCAAACTGGCGCCTTGTATGGCCTGCAGAATCAGCAATCTTGCAGAAAACGGTCTTATTGGGTGTCTGAAAATACATCACACTCGGTCTGTGTGTCTTTGGGCTTGATGATAGGGGTCTTACCAATTATCTGAATGTTTGCTGTCTGCCCAAAATTCGTATCCTTTGGCCTCTGTTTGTTATATCTTCCCCTTTCCCCTCCGCTCGCTTGTTTACTCATTTGCTTTTCTTCATTCAACGTCCTTCCAAACTTGGCTCAATCTTTCTGGCAAAGATTGGCTAAATGCATTCATTTGTCTGTGTTGCCATTGCTTGATCGTAATCTTGCACCGTCTTATTCAGTGAAAAAGCCTGCAGCCCTTTTCTGATCTGCTTCTTTTGAATTTATCATTTTCGTTTCGCTTTTCGGCTTACCCAGAAAATCCTATTTTGCTTGGTCATGGCTTCCCTATCATCATTCGGAGGGTCCTATCATGCATCTGTATCCTGCGCATCCAACGAGGAAGAGTCGGCGTTTCTCAAGCGAGCTCGTTTGCTTCGCTGGATCAGACTTGGGCTCTCTGCCGTTATATTCAGTGTTTCTGTTTCAATCATTGGCTGCGAAGCCGTTCCTCTACTACACTACCGGAGGACATCCGACTTTGAGCGATTCTGGCTGTTTCTGTGGCCTCTGAACTTCGATTTACGCCCCACAATTGCGTTGCTTTCCTGTGGATGCGTGATCGCATTTCAAACTATTTTGTACATTGTTACGACACTCCTTCCCTCGGTTAGTTCAGTCCCTTTGTGTTGCATCTTCCCCTAATATATGCTCTAACAACATGTGTAGCCTCGCTCGCATATAAGACGTCTAAACCTTTTTGCTGCCGTTGTCGCTATTTCCGGATTCATTGCAGCTTTGATTGGAATCGTGCTCGCGATTCATCTGCCAAACTCGTCGCCTCCTAGGGGGTTCACCCAGCATGAGACTCTTCACTCTTGGACATGCAAGTGGAAGAGCGTGCGAGGGACCCCTTCAATCAACCCCGACAACACACCTGCCACGCCGCCTTCCCATTTTGCGCGAGACTGTGCAACCACTAGGGCGGCTTTCATCATGATGGGGCTTCTTATCGGATTGGAAATCGTCATGGGGATTGCGGCGGGAGCTGGGATCTGGTTTGAAAGGAATGTCTCGAAACAACGGGGCCAGGATAGGTCCCAGGCGGAGAAGGTGGAAATGGTGCCCAAATACCCTGGAACTTGAAGAAGAAGTTTGCTTTATTGAAGGCTTGAGCAAGCGATCGAGCCCTGGAGGTTATGATCGCAACGCCGTGTACTCTTGCTGTCTTGCCGAGTTTGCCGATGAGCGTGTATTTTCTTTTATGTACTCATAACGATAGCTTGAAAAAGTGTACGCAGTGAGCATTATTCCAAATCCATTTTATGCTTATGTTTAGTTATGTTTATCGTCATTCACCATTAAATAAATGTTGACGCTGACTCCTATTGTTTACCGTTCCGTCGGCCGATTGCCAGGAACATCCTCGGCTTCCCCACGGATTAGTCGTGCCCCCGACCACCTCCACATACAAAGACAACCCCCCTCTCCCCCAATCCAGAACCACACAACTGACTGGACTCACCCCTGAGATACCCCAGAAAATGGGCAAGAAAATCGAATGCTACCTCGACTGCGGTACGTGATCTGACGTCATCGACAGCAGTACACTTTTCCATCTCAGACTGCTGATAGCAACTCGTCGGCGTAAATAGTGTCGCCATATAGCTTCTATGCTTTTTCATACCTGCAGAAGAATGCCGCAGTGCTGGCGGAGCTGGGCGTCGAGATTGAGTAAGCTGTCTATCTTTTCTGATCATGCGTAAGCCAGAGAACACGAGGCTGATGATTTTCAATTATCAAGATATATCCCTGTCTTCTTAGGGGGGATTAACGTGGGCAGTGGTTAGTCTCATCCTCTTGTCTGAGACCAGGGGAATTATCCTAACCAGCCATGGTTTTATCAGGAAACAAACCCCCTTGGACCCTCCCTGCGAAGGCTGCGTACTCCAAGTTTGACGGCCAGCGAGCCCAGAAGTACTTCGGACACAACTTTGAAGTTCCGTCTTTCTTTCCGATTCTCTCTCTCTTGGTATGTCATTTGCCGTCTCGGCTTCCACCCATAGAAAGAAAGCGAATAGCTAACAAACGAATCAGCCCCAACGCGCCCTCACCCACATCAAAAAGACCCAGCCCAAGGAGAAACTAGCATCAGCATTCCAATCCTGCTTCGACACGATGTGGAACGGCCATCTCGACATCTCCAAGCCGGAGAGCCTTGCCACAGCGCTGGCCAAGACATTCTCCTCGAGCTCCGAAGTCGAGGCGATTCTGTCCGCCGCCGCCAGTCCCCAGATCAAGGCTGAGTTGGCGGCAACGACGGAACGAGTCGTCAAGGAGCAGGGCGCGTTCGGATGCCCGTGGTTTTGGGTGGTGAATGGAGAAGGCAAGGGGGAGCCGTTCTTTGGAAGTGATCGGTTTCATTATATGTGGGATTATTTGGACCTGCCGTTTGAGGATTTGAGGTTGAGGGCTAAGATTTAGGGGGGTGGATGTTGGGCGATTGTTGACTTGTCGCATGTCGTAAAGTGACTGTTCAGTGTCCCCTATTGTTGAGTTACGAAGACTTGCCTTTACAAACTGCACCTTGATATCTAGATTGTAGGATTGGGACTGAGTTTGAAATGTTTCTAGCATTGCAATGTCACTCCCACAATTCGGCCCGGCTTAAATGCCTATTGTATCTACAGTGGCCGAGAAATTCACGACGAGCAAAGTCCGAGAAAGCGAGTTCAAGTCATCTAGCGCGCTCTCTGATTTTCTGCCACTTAGCATTATGTGCAACTAGACGAGTTTCATAGGCTACGGCTCTGAGCTGATTTCGTAGAAAGCTTACTGGGCATCTCAGTAGTACAAAGTGCCCAAAGCCCAGTGAAAGCTTGTTCAGGGTAAAGACTCTACGAGAAGATGGGCAGGTAAGCGGGAGGTATTTGAGAAGCCCCAATCATTCGCAGACAACGTTCTAAAATTATTGCTTTGGGTTCTAGCCATATCAAAATCCAATTAGAACAAATTTAATCTCGCTTACTGAGTAACGGCGTATCAGAATCACGGTGGCTTGCTTTGAAGAGAAACGGTTCGGGTAACCCCGAATCGAAGATCTTTATATTGGATAGTACTATAGAGTGACACCAGTATTTCTCATTCGTGTCTTGCGTTAAACCGGCGTTTTCCCTTTGTCCTCTTGATGGCACAGTATGATCACTCAGTTACTAAATGACTACTCCAGAGAATACCCAATATATCCATCTGGCCAACGCATTCGTAATTTTTCCCCCTGTAGACTGAATGGTCATGCGCATAGCCTCTGGGTGCCCATGTCCCCCATGTAAATGATACTCAATAGCAACATATTACTAAACACCCTCTTTGTTACTCTCAAAGCTACCCTAGCTAGACAGCAGGTTGACATCTGTTTCCCAGCTGTATCCCCGCCAGCTTATCTGGAAGCTTACGTCTAAATGGATCAACCCGAAGCACAAGTCATCAAGTCCCCCACCCCGCAGATAGTAGCCGTGAGTATCCTTAAAGGAGACGGCATGTACCAAGTCCTCTGGGACTCATGCAGGCTAATATACGGCTCTGCGGATCTCGTGAAAGAGCATACCCAACCAGACGAGGTAGTTCTAGCCTCAGTCCAACGATTTGCCCTAGAATAAAGCCAAAGACCGGCTAATCAGCATACAGATCGCCGTTTTTGGTCTTGAAGGTCGCATAAGAACAAACTGCGGTATGGTCCAGGCATTTAACGTTCAGAATTGCTATGCGTTCGATAGCCCTCGGATAGGCTATTATATGAGCCTTTCTATGAGACCCGAGCCAGAGGGTCACCCGTTGATCTTGCGGATTGAGCTGAGTACGGACGAGATCGAGGCTGGGATCTGGTATTTTAGAAACTCAGTGGAAGATCTGACGCGATGCTTAGAGGCAAATGGTCCGTTGAATACCGTGAAGTGGTGGCTTTATGAATCCTGAGTGAAGACTTTCCGGCATCTCTGAAGCGTTTGTTGAAGACCAAGGATGTTGTAGTTACCGAAACCACTGCGTCTATCAGGTGCCTCGACGATACATGGAACCTTTAATGGCCATATTGTCATGATCTTCTATTCCCAATTCTTTACAAGGCGCAATGAAGACATCCACTGGACTTATACTAGATGTGACCAATCCGGTTAGCCGCCCTCCACACAATTCCCTCCTCTGATTGGATCCCCTAACTGACCTAATCCAATCTCATCCCCTCCACCGCCCGGCAGAATATCTTCATCTACGCTCTCGACACTTTTCTTTGCCATCTACTTCAGCTTTCGGCCTCCACTCCAGCTACGGAGCTTCCTCCCATATTTAAGCCCCCAAGATGTCAGCCGACCCTACCACAGTCCCCGACCTCGACGTCGAAGACGAGCAATACGACTCCGAAGAAGACGAGGACTTCCAACTGGACGACGCAGCCGGTGGCCAAGAAGACGAAGACGGGCTTTCATCGTCCGATAGCGACGAAGAGGCCGGAGCCGGCGAACCAGCCAACAAGAAACGCAAGACAGGGAAGCGACAGAATGCGGACGACGAGGAGCTAGGGTCCGGCGACGAAGCGACCATTCAGAAGGCGAAGGCCAAGAAATCGAAAGGAAAGAAGCAGAAGAAGTCGAAGGAGGGCGGGGGCGCGAAAGGCGATGATGACGAGGACGATGAAGATGATGTGGATTTCGATGACGATGAAGAAGGTGGTCCGGGGGGCTTTGTCCGGACGCGAGCGATGAAGATGCGCACGTATGTAACTGTTCTCGGCCTCCCTTGCGATGGATTGGATTTAGGGTGTACTGATGCTGATTTTTTGCGCTTGATTTTAGGCAGGAAGAGCGAAAACCCCTTGCGAAGATCGACGGAGCCACGGTCGACGTTGATGCCTTGTGGGCGAAAATGAATGCGCCTGATACGGACTCAGGACCGGATCCCTCCGAGAACGAAACACAAGAGACAAAACCCGCAGCAGACGGCGAGACGAACAAAACCGAGACGCAAGAAGCCCAAGAGCCGCCGACCACGCAACAAAAACCCAAATACACGGAGGAGCTGGTCAAGATCAAGCGAACCTACAAATTCGCCGGCGAGATGATCACCGAGGAGAAACTGGTCCCCAAGGATTCTGCTGAGGCCAAGATTTATCTGGCCAGCGGCAATGACGCAGAGACCGTGCCTGTGGCAGACGCAGACGCCGAGCGTGCAAATGTGAAAGCGGCTCTGAATTTGCGCCGGCCACTTCGCAGGCTGTCGCGCTTCGATCCGAACCCGACCGGGAGCATCAAGAAGAGCTGGGAGAAGCAACCTGCTGCCGCGCAGGCACCCGGGACGGAAGAAGGTGCCCGTGGGCCCAAGATCAACACCGTCGAGAAATCCAGACTCGACTGGGCGGCGTACGTGGACCAAGCCGGAATCAAGGACGAGCTCAAGGTGCACAGCAAGGCCAAAGAAGGGTTCCTTGGCCGCATGGATTTCTTGGACCGTGTGGGTGCCAATCGAGAAGAGGAGATGCGAAATGCACGGTTGAAGAGGATGTAAATGATTACATCTCTGTCTTTTTGCTCGCTGTATCAGCAAATCTATCGGGGGTTTGTGCATGGTAGGCTATACTAATGACCGGCAAATATTTGACTCAAATTGACCAAGTCGTCGACAAGGGCTGTGTCCACCTGTTGATGCGCTCCATCAGCCAGACCAACGCCCGGCTTCCGGTGACACCCAACAAAACGTTTCGATCCGGAGAGCTTTTCTCCATCTCGTTACTGAAGTTTAGTGATAGCCAGGCGTTGCTATTACTACAACTATTGCCTTCGCGCAATGACCCTCAAAAGTGCCATTGCACGGTGCCATGCACTGACGAAGCGATCGCGGGCTTAAGAGAACGCTCATTATTCTTCGGTGTCTCGGTCGGTGCTTCGAACACTCACGCATTGAACATCGACCTCATTATAACAGCTGTTCATCGACACCCAAACACTATATACTGGGCACCTTAGTCCTCGCCCTAATCATAACATGTACATACAAACTGAATCATCATCAGAACCACACATAATCTCAATGTACACTACTTTTGTTCATGAAAACAAATCCACCACTCATAAATTTAAACCAAACGAGCAGCCCGGTTCATCCTCTTTCTCATCATTGCAGGGATCGAAGCGTTGTTGCTCTTAGGCTTCTCAACGTACTTGATTCCCGAGGAAGGGCAGCTCGAGTCGGCGACTTCAATGCGATCAGTAAATATGCTTTGGAAGAGCGAGTAAAGAGGTGCAAAACTTACGCGGATCAGTCGGCTCGTAGTCGCCATCGATTGCATTGCCCCGGATGTTGAAGTAGTACCAGGCCTCGTTCAGGGCACCGCTTCTGCAGTTGACGGAGGGCTTGAAGCCTCCGTTGAGCTTGGCAAGAGCGGATTCGATATCGCTCAGGTCGTAGGTCTTGGAGCCGGGGGTGATACCGGCGTCGGCAAGAGCCTGTCCATGATACATCGTGGTGGTTAGAAAACAGTGGACAGCAAGACATGGGTGGTCGAGTTAGCATGCATACCTGGTAGGTGTCAAGGCCCTTGAAAAGTTCCACAGCCTTCGCTAGGTAATCACCGACTTCCTGCTGAGGGGTGTAGTCAGAGTAGCAGCTAGGCTCGATGGTGTTGATGCAGGTTCCTGATTGATAGTATGATTAGACAGAGTCTAGACTGAGAGAAGTCTTAAACGGAATTAGCATACCGTGCTTGTTCCATTCGTGCTCCCAGAAGGACTCGTCATCGCCGCTGTAGTCCTTCCAGTAGGTGTTCATGTAGGACAGAAGCTCGTCCCGACCTTGCTCCTCAAGGATGGCGGTGATGTTAGAGAATTCTCGAGACGAGTCACAGAATTCCTCATATGTGCCATCACAATTATCGGGCCTGGTGTTGTGTTAGTTACTTTTGGCTTCCCTCTGGTGGTAAAGTGTAATCCATCCTACCAAAGTCCGTGGAGGGTCCAAGAATCGGAGGGCCCTGTCGCAGGGTCCGTATCCCAGAATTGAGTGAGCAGGAGGGTACCTCCGGGAGCATTGAAGCAGCACGAATCAGACACGGCAGTCGAGTTATTGCAGCTGAGAGGAATGTCATTGGGGCATGTCTGGAGATCAGCCAAGGCGCCGGATGCCACCTGCATGGCACCGAGAGCCAGCATGCCCACTGAGGGAAGGAACTGAGATTGAGGCATAATGGGAAACTCGATGGGTTTGACAAAGGAGAATTGGAGCTGAGCGAGAGAGTGGAAAGTAAAAAAGAAGACCAGAATGGAAGGACAGAGAGCCCACTTTATATCACACCGTGGTGGCTAGATGGCCTATTATCGAAGTGGTCCCCCGATGCCGAGGGCTAAGTACAATCTCGTTCTGCAGCCAACGACTGTCGATAGCGGCACATGTCCTGATAAGAGCCTGCTGATTTGACGGGAGATACACAGCGGGCGGGAGATCAAAAGGAGCTAACAGATCGGATAACGCCGTCGAGACCCGCCCGTCTCCTGACTCCGTTAGACAGTCGGAGATGGCCAGGCACCGCGCCTGGCCAATTGGATGTCAGCGCCAGGGGTCGCTCCCGTTACCAGCGATGATCCCGTCGGGGGGCCTTCGGGGTAAGGGTTGAGGGCAGGAGATCGATGGTCAGCCCGAGCAAGACAATGAAGATCGCGGGCGAGGTTCCAAGCGCTAATGATCAGAATGTTGCATTGATCGACTGGCTGATTCGTGTTTTCATTCTTGTTCACCAATATGAGGATGATAATCGCAGGTTTCCCCGCAGACCGATTATCCACCTGCTGATTCGTTCCAGGACGTGAGTGTTGGAATCAATGCAGGTGAGCAATAAAGGAATTTTCAGCATTCAAGACTTGAGTGGAAAGTTGTAGTGGCAAAGATGTTTGAGGGGGAAATAAAACAAAATAGGCCAGTTTGGAATAAAATAAAATCAATCAAATTTACCAGCTGGATAGTTGTTTGCTGTTTGTGTACTGCCGAGGACTGTCATTGTATCTGGCAAGAGAGTCTCGTCAAAAAATATCATGAACCTTGAAGGTACGTATCATCAATCTTTCCCATAGATTCCATCAAGGAATGCTGGAAAGCTCAACGTAGAGACGAACACAGACAGCTAACAAAATAGAAAACACCATCTGCTATGTACTGCCTGGAGAGCCCCTCAGCATCTAGCGCCATCCAGAATCAATAAATGTGACAGGTAACCTTATCGTCCTTTTTAGGTGATGAATAGAATAGAATAGGAATAAAGCATGAGAAAGATCAAATCCCACGGCAAGTTTAAAGCAACTAGCACGGATTGAAAGAGGGAGAAGTAGGAGAAGAAGAGAAAAAACCGGCTATTTGCGGGAAAGAAGCCACAGTCTTTTCGGCCTGGTGGCCTGAGTCCCCCATTTCCTCCAATTGTTTGTCCCATCTCATACCATGGGGTGGTAGTTCCACGTTTCTTCGTGTACACCTTTCTAAGCCAGTCTGTGACTCACGAGAGGCCCGATACCGGGACCGGCGACATTTGATCTTCAACATGGGAGCCATGCCTGTCCATCGCGAATGAACAGTCTTTGCGATCGTATCGGCAATGACCATCTCGATCCTCAACAGCTCGCCCGGATACTCATCTGGATGAAATCCCGTTGATTGCATCTCCAGCCTCTCCTCTCGCCAGTCTAACTTGCCAAGGCCTGGAGCTATCAGTCGGCCCTGAACCTTGACGCTCAACATCGACCTCACATTCCAAGACTTTGCCTCAGAGCTCCAATCCCTACCGGGCAAATACAGCCCTCCCTCAGGAGAGCTCTTACTTGCCTGGACGACGGACGGAACAAAGACCCCACTGGGCTGCGTAGCCGTTCGCCTTCTCCAAACAGATTCCGCGATCCATGATCAGGCTATTTCCCAGACCCAGTCCGTGTCTCAGGGGCGGCCGAGGAAATGCTGCGAAATGAAGCGACTATACGTCACTCCCGAAGCACGAGGTACGGGGTTGGGGAGGGCGTTGGCTGATGCTGTCATTCAGAAAGCAAAGGAACTCGGATATGCAGAGATGAGACTGGATACTCTTCCTTTTATGGCGGGGGCTGTTCACCTGTATCGACGGCTGGGGTTTGTTGATATCCCGCCTTATTATGAGACGCCATTGGAGGGGACGGTGTTTCTGAGCTTGGATTTGACATGAGTACGAAGAGTGCCAGTAGTCTCTTGAATGTAATAGAGCTATAAGAGTCAACAGCGCCTACTCAGCATGTTACGAGACAGGGCATTAGAAGACCGATTTAAGGCATCAGAACACCCAAGCATATATAAAGTGAACAATCCGAACACAATTGAAACAAAATTAAATGATATGTTATTATTATAAAAACTCGGCGCAAGCATATCAAACACAACATGGAGCACCCATAACCAAACTACTCAACCATGAAAAATCGCTTCCTGTAAGAACTCAGACTGTTGAGCTTGAAATTTTTTGGAATAAAGCACTCATCGACAGGGATGTCCTGCATCATGCCAAAAGAAGGAGAGTCATCATAGTAAGAAGGAAGCGATTCTTCAGAGTTCAATGCCGAAAGATCATAACCATGACCACGGCAAACATTCCCAGCGCGCAACATAACCAAATCAATGGCATGCTGAATTAAACCTTTAAAAGTGACAATTGAAATAGAGCCCACAGAATGCACACATCAATGCATGGCTGGGTCTTTCGAGCCCATGTCGTGGTCGATTGCTGGACCTGATATACGGCGCAATTGAAGTCAAAAAATGCGGCAGATTTTGCTGGGCTGGCTTTTTATCATGGTGTGCTTATGTCATCGCACTAGCAACTATTTATGCAGTTGAGTGTATTTGTAATCGCGTACATAAATTTCTGCACGAGGGTTATGCAGTAAGGCATCAAGCCGTTGATGCCTTGGGGTCAGATCAGGTGGCCAAAACTCTAAACTACCACAGATTTCACATGACCATCTGGGTCTGGTTGGAATGAGAAATAACAGAATTTGTATGGGCTCTAGGGCTTGCAGGCCTCTGCCAGTACCAAAAGGTGGAATAAAGCTACAAAAGTTACAAAAAAGGTGCACAAAAGCTCAGACTATCCAGACCCGTTTTTAAAATTGGATTATCATCATTTTTGCGAGCCTGAGCGTTGATTTAGATCCCGAAGCATGGTTTCCTGCATTTTGTTGAGATCGAGGTTCCTGGGCTCCGTCGGGATTAGGCGGTCTACGTAGCGGTCAGATTCTGCCGATCAGGAACATCTGCCGCTGTATACGGAGGAAGAAGACTCCACCAAAACAAACATCTTCCACAGGAAGAAAGCAAACCCGAGCAAGACGCAGAGGAACTGCTACCTGCTAATATTCTCGCTACTGATGCACCTCAACCCAAAGCCACCGCCGTCATCATCTGAAGCCCATCGTAACACGATCGCATGACTTCGATCGCATCCCGGCCCACAGTGTCGGACTCGCGCTCGACCCTCGAGAAGAAAAGGAGAAATTAAATAGCGCGAGCGACGAGAGGGGCCACCGGAATGAAAGTGGAGGAGGGAGGGCCCAACTACGAAATTCTGCAGTCAGTCACGTTTAGCAATTTATCCTAGACCAGCGGCTGCAGCTGTGAAATCCAATGATGCGACGCAGGAGGTTTATGACCCTGGGTCCCTGAGCGTCATACGGAGGAGTAATAATGATTACTTGGGTACCTTTCTGGCTGATCCCGGTTCTTCATACTATTATGGGGCATTATGGAGTAGTCCGTACTACAGATCCAGACAGGTCAGTACTACTCCTACTTATGATATCAGATCAAATACGGAGGAGTGTGGTTGGATCGACTTTCGCACAGCAGTGTAACCAGCTCACCGGTACTCCATTTGCATTATAATTTGCTGCGTCCCTCATAGATCTGAAATGAGTAGCAAAGTGGATGATCGTGCCTTTTCAATCCAATTACTTAATTGTTTGATTTTTTTCGCACGGTACTTGCGGTCGGCAGAGACATCCATGCGACTTGCAGGGGACAAATAAACTTCGTCCTGGAAGTCGGTGAGGGTTTTTTGTCTTCTCGGTGCCCCTCCTCCTTTCCGCCTCTTCTCTTACTTGCAGGCTTGCAGCAGATTCAAAGCTGCAGCAGACGTACTTCGCATACGGCCCTAGTAGCGAGGGAGGCAGGGCAGGTAGGTGGTTTATTTATTTAGTACTGTTTCACCGTGCCAACTTCGTAACTTAACTTCCCACGTCGTGCGGCCCTCGTCGATCATACCCATGTACTGTCCTGCATTGCATTGCCTGGGTGTTCTCGTTGACCATGGGGAGGGTTTGAACTCTAAGGCGAGGAGGAAGGTGGTATTCGAGGGGGAGGGTGGTAGACGATATGCATTGCAACTGTTGGATGCAGGGTCCAGCCTAAGTGCGAGCCTTGAGGGTCTGGGGCTGGAAGTGAGACCGACAGCTGGTAGTACCTTACGGAGTACGAAGTAGTTACGGCCTCGCTATCCGTAGGTGTCTAGGTACTACCTAGCTTGTAGCTGGTCCTTGGTTCAGTACTTTGTTGGGCCCCGTTGCGATCCTGGCCCCCATCTGTCCAAGGAACAGGGCAGAAAGAACGACGAATATTGAAACAAAAAGAGCTAGCTCCGATGCCAACTAGAAGGGACACTATTACATGATGTAAGATTGCGATCAAACCAATTCGGCCCTCTACAGCTACATACAGAGGAGATGAGCGTTCGGAGCCAGAGAGTCGGCTCGATCTGGGTTCCATTTCTGCGAGGTTGCATCGAAACCCACATCCTGTCTTCTTGGTCGTGGGGACGGAGGATAAGCAAAGCCTCTGCTAGCCAAGTTTGACCGTCTTCCAACGCCCCGCAGGTTTGGAGGGAAAAAGGAAAAAGAAAAAAGAAAAAAAAAAGTGATTTGGCAATAGATGCAAACCAATTATTACATTCCGTACGCGCAGAAGATCGGGGCTCAAGCTCCTTCTTAGAGTTATGTATGTACATCTTCATCGTAGGTCTCCATACCAGCGCCAGGTACCAGCGCCGGTAGCTCAACCTCGTCGATAGCAGACGCTGGAAATGAGTAGGTATTCCGGCCGCAGATGAGCACACCATGCATGATGCAGACTTAACTACTAGTAGGCCACATACCGATGAGCCAGGTCCAGACCAGAATAATTTCCCGTGCGCGGAATGCCATCTCGGTGGCTGCACATGTCCATACCTCCCTCTTTGGGCGGCTTCGACAGCGGGAAAACGAGAGGACGAGGCTTCGACAGCGAAGCAAGGTAACTGAGCCGACAGCACACGAGCCTTCCGGGAATGCCGTTCTAGCCGACTTTCATTTCCGCTGCTTTTCCATTAGTCCAGCCCTGAGACGGAACGTACTGTCAAACCCAGAGGGCATCTCCAAGCAACACCTCCGACAGAGAGGGAAAGCAAGCCAAGAGAGCCACCAGAAATAGTTCAGCCCCGCTCAGCTTGCAGATCAGCTGTGCCACCGCATAAGATTTTTTTTCTTCTTCTCAGGCCACAATAACGAGGAGCTACTAGTGACGTGACACAAGGGAAACCTAGGCTGTGGAATGTACAACATTCGAAAGTCAATTCCTGTGGAACGACCACCTGAGGGTAATTTAGCCCCCTAAGGCGTGGGCAGGGGTCCTGATTGGCGACTCCAACCCCACGACTCGACGATTGTCCCAACTGCCACGCACATCGCATCCGACGTCGTACATGATCACTGCTGCGACAAAGTACATACCTAGCTACGTCGTATTATTCTATACGATGATCCGTGAATGCTCAGTGGGGGCATGGGAAGTGATGTGCTCGGAACGTACCGTACTTCTGAGCCCTGTGGAGTCTCATCCCCATTTCCTTTTCTCTCTCCCCACCGTGAATTACGGTTCAGTCCATGTCCATGGACATTTGAGGCATTCAAAGATAGTTTGAAGTGGGGATTCTGTGCGATGTTCGAGGACCAGATCAAAAACAGGGCGTCCTGGGCAACCCACAATGTCATTTTCATTTGAGAGCGGAGTATGGCGGACAAGCATTCGTGTGATCGCGACTAGCACTGGAGGGCAGGGAAAATAGAAACAAGCGGTGGGTCTTGGCATGCGGAACGATGGCCCGTTAAGCTCAGTGGGAATCCAGGTTTCTGGGATCCTTGGGCGGATTAGCGTGGGCGCCATCCATAGTCCGTCGTAGTCGCGAAATAAGGATCGGATGGTGGTGCCATGGATCGGCCTGGGCTAGCAGCGTTGACAGTTCTCGGGCGGATGTCAATTGGGGCTTGTCCCCTGCCGACAATAGGGGCAAGGAGAGGGCCGCTTGTCGACGGAGTATAGTTGAGGGAACGATCGAGGAGATACCGGCGGACTGGGGAAGGAATCAATCATGCTCAACAAACTTCCTGCTACCGCCCAATAGCAGATTGCTTCCCGTGGACGTGACATTGTCAGCAACCTCGCGAAGTCTTAGGAAACCGAATGTTCCGCCAATAGGGAGACTGCCGGGGAGCTGGAATGTGGACTTACCACTCTTGCGGAAGAGTAGTGGTTTTACGCGAAATGGCACTCGGCGTCAGGTGGATCCAGATCGGCGCGCTGAGCAGCAGAGCGAACTGACTCCAGATGTGGTAGTATGGAGTAGCTCCCTGGGGGGCACATCTGCGGCGTCGAGACCTATCGAGGTACATACATGACATATCCTGGGAAGAGGGCGGGATGCAAGCCCTACAAGATCAGTCAGACGTCCAGAATGCCCGGAGAGGCTCAGGGAGGCCCGCCACGAAAAGGAACCCACCATATGGTCTGGCGACGCGATCTCCACGAAGCGATCGCCGTGTGACCTTGACTTGGTGTATCTGCCATTTCATGCCAAGCCCCGATCTGACCAGCACAACGGATGCATCAGAAAATTGTCAATCAACAGAGCAAACAACGCGTTGAGTCTAAGGCACATGGATCCGTGTCCGCATCCAATAAGTCGCTGATAATCCTCGACTCCTTTCCATATTTATCCTCGAATTCGCAAACCGATTTGAGATAGAAAATATTATTTTATATAGTGTTGGGTAGTTAGTCAACAGATCAATCAGATCAACAACACAAGCATAGCGACACTCGATCGTACAAGGTCTCCAATCCTTTTTTAGGTCTTCCGCACAAGTATTATCCAACTTATAGTCCGAGGTGCCTTTTCCAAGAGGGCAGTAAGAGAAAGTGACAAAAAAAAAAAAAAAAAAAAAAAAAAAAAAAAAAAAGAACAAAGGAAAGAGAAGTATGCAAAATACCAACGTTCGAAGGACGCGAAGAAAAGGAAAGAAAAAAATTGTTTTACAAAGAACGCCGCGAAGCGCCGACCGAGGCCTGTCCGGACCTGAACGTCTGTGCCCATCTAAATATAGTAGAAGGAAAATTTGGCGCACCGTCGTGCCCAAGGGTATCATATCCCTATCCACCCAGATTATCGATTCGTAATTCTTCAATCGTCCCACGCATCCACGCTCAACTCGCGAGCATCGATCATGGGTTCTTCCAATTTAGACCCGTAAATTGGTCGACCGTCGGGTGTAAGCTGGCCGCGGAAATCCGGATCGTAATCGGGACTGGTCTCATCCAAAGTGGCAACGTATCGGTTGCGACCTCCCCGCTTGCTGTGGGTCTTGGTGTAATGAGCATTGAGGTTATCACTGCGGGAGAAGGCCCGATGGCAGCCGGGGACCCAGCAGACATGCGGCTTCTCCTTGGAATGGCTCTTCATGTGTCGCTTCAGGTGCTCTTGTCGCTTGAAGCGTCCCTTGCAACCAGGCTCTTTGCATTTGAACTGGACCTGCTTAATGATGGAGGGGAGGTTCTCGAGCGAAAGGCTTTGCTTCGACGACTGCTTGCGGGCAACCTTCCTGGACAGAGTACGGTGCGGACGTTGAAGTCCATCGTGATATACCGGCGACTGCTGGAATTCATCAAGGTAATCACCATGACCGGAAAGTCGGCTCATGGGGGTATCTGTGCCCGAGATCGTTCCGAGAGACCCTGACCGAATTGGCGTCGTCGGAGTGTGTGACTTCAAGGTGTTAATCGATGTCGAATAGTCAGAGTATGAGGGAGGTGGTGTTACTGGACCGACTTGGGAAGGAGCGATGGTCTGCGGGATGGATTCGGTCGGCGGGGCCATCCACGGAATCATGTTGTTCATCGACATCGAAGTCGGCACCCGCTCGGGTTGATGGAAGATCGACCGTGATAGACACGGGTTGGTGGTAGATTCAGGCAGGTAAGGCGGGTTCTGATGACGGTAGCCGCTCCGAGCCATGGGAGGGTATTGGTGCATGACCGGCGGGTATGGCAGACCATGAGTCCCCGGCTCGTAAGGTTTCGGCGCATCGGACGGGATCCAGAACTGCTCAACATTCTCATCGTATCCAGAGAGGAAGTCCGGCATCGGCATCCGTTCCTGCGTCTCCATGCTCCCATAAGACATTCCCATCGACTCGTTCGACGGCATGCCGGGGAGCCTAAATGCGCTTCGCATAGGTGCGGGGCCGGGATTGCGGTCGTAGGTATGTCCAGGGTACGATCCGCTCTCTTGCCAACCCGGAGAAGCCAATGCGCCTTGACTGTAGATACTGGTGGGGGTGGGGGTGGGAGAATCCAAAGGCGAGAAGCTGTTACTCATTGAGGGGCATTCGTTGGAGCCCAGGGAAGAACAATCGACTTCGACGGTGAGGCGATCAATGGTACTCTGAGATCTCATATCTTCGTTGGTCTCAGTAGTATCGCGGTCTTTGCGAGGAGGTGCTTCGACTTTTCCACCTGCTCACGAGCACTGTTTAGTATCCTTGCTTCTGGACCAGACGTTGGATGGTTGGTAGTTGCTGGGTGGTGGTTCCGGAATTAAGGGAGCAATATATGCAGCTAAGGGAAGGGCAGTGCAGTATATGCGATGTAGATTACGACACAGAAGGAGAGTATAGTCCAAGGAATGTGGCAAAAATAGAATCAAATGATGATAGAAGGACGAAAGGGTCCCGCAGTCAGTGACAGAGAGAGAGAAGGACAAATTGGGAGTAGTATAGTGGAAGAGAGAGAGTGGAGTGTGATTGGGCAACGAAGGACGATGATGCAAAGCACAATCAATGGGAAGAATGAAGGAAGGTGACCATGGGTGCTGTTTGGTTGTCGCAAAGGGAAGAGGAAAAAGAAAGAAGGATTGAGGGTGAGGTTGGGGAATGGAGGAGGGCAGGCGAGGTGAAATAAACAAATCTCCAGGGCATCGAGGCCGGAGGGGAGAACAGGGCCGATCACACTTACGGGCAGAATCCATCGCTAATCGTCCCAAAGGAGAGGTCGGTCGAGAGACAAGCGTTCGAAAAAAGAAGAGGCGCGTCGCGTGCCTTCGGAGGCCCAAGCAAGGCCAGGAATGTAGACTATAGAGTTCCTAGAGTAACGGATGGCAAATCCGGAGCGAGATGGCAGCGGGATGGGTGGCCGGGGACCAGGACACCGTTTCCTAGGAGGCGCGAATGTCTCTGGATAAAAGACACGGACGACTTCTTGTCCAGTGGCGGAGGGTCGGGATCAACGAGAGGGCGGGAGGGAGTCGATAATCCGCCCTTGGACGCGGGTTGGTCTGGGGTCCTGCGGACGAAAAGAGGATGTGGATAGAAGATGGGGATGGTCTCAGGTAGGATCAGATAGGGATGTCGCTATCGAGGCGGAACGGCCAGCAAGGGGACGGGACAATAGAGAATCGAGGAGATGCAAGTGATGATGACAATGTCTTAGGATTATTTGAAAACCAACGAGGAAGTATAATAATGTCTGGGCTTTTATAGATTGGGTTGGTTTGGACTGGATGGAACGGAATTCAATTATAGCGGGACGACGACTCGGATTTATGCTGTCGCAAGCAAAGCACGGCAGAAGAGACGCTCTTGGGGTGTGACCAAGATCCTAACGGGCGCTGCGGTATCCTGGATCGGGTTTCAGACTCGATGATGGCGAGGGGAGGCAAGAGTTTTAAAATCACATCTAGTAGCTATGGAAGCATCGTCTCATTACTCTTTCGGGGGCAGCCAGCAGCAGCAAGAAGAGCTTTGTCTCTACAGAATGGAGGGGGAATTAAAAAAAAATGGAATTAAAAATAAATTAAAATGGAAGTTTAAAAAAATTGAAAGGAAATAAAATAAAATAATCAGAATTCTTTTTTTTTATTCCTTTTTTCTTTTTGAAAAAATAAAAATCCCAAATCCAAAATAAATAAAATGGAAAAGAAAAATTAAAAATAAAAGGACATTTTTATTCCTTGGGGGAAAAAGAAAAAAAACAAGAAATCCCCTTCCCTCCTGCCGCCCTATCCCCCTCACATCTCGGTTTCTGCCTTTGTCCTTTCCCCCCAGCCCTCCGGTTCGTCTTGGTTCTGCTCCAGTACCATCCGCCGTTAGTTCCTCGTCGTTGGAGACCGTGAATTTCGCATTAACTCCGGACGAGGATCGGCGAGTGAACCCGACGACTTCGTACTGGAATCCCTCCATGGAGGGCATCAACCAATCCGATCAGTTCCTCTCGCATGTCCACGATCAGTTCGTCCACCTCAGGAAAAAGCAACGATAGGCTGCATGGGAAGGAAACCGACGTGGAATGTTCCAACGTCAGAAGTCAGTTTGCTTCGTAGGCACTAGGACGTACCTAAAGGGCGGTGCCTGGTAAAGTCCGTGGTCAGAAATCCAAACCTTAAGCATCGACGGGATCGTCCAGATTCTCGGGTTCTTTCCCCGGTATCAGACTTGCGCTCTTTCCGTGTCTATCGGTGTCTTTCTCTCGAAAGTGAAACGGCTGGTGAGATGCCAGTCTACGTTATCAGGCATCTTTCTTCCACTACGTATGGAGTATGGCTGGTCCGCTCCACATCTGCCGAACAACTGAACCCTGAATGATCGGCGCTACTGGCAAATCTGCCGGTGGAGAAAAAGCGTCGGCATTGAGACATACTGCAAATCATCCCAATCTCCAGGCCGTTGAGATGGGGACAATAAAAACGCCAACCTCATAGCGTTTGTGGCTAAGGATGGGGGAAAATCAGCAAATGAAAATAAAAATTACAATTAAGAGGAAATACGGACACGAAGGTTCAGGACAATTTGCTTTCATAACTAGACCGAAACTAAATCGAAGGGAGTACTGATAATCAGTTGGTAGGGAGAAGTCAAGGTCAGTCCGTGGAAATAAACCGCTCGGCCATTGCCTCCCCATTCTTCCTTGGTCCATGATCTTCATCCAAACCCTGGCTCCCCTCGATGGCATGCTGGAGAAGTGGGTGGTGCACTGTTCAAGGTACTGTGCAGCCCGCCTTGACGCCACGAAAAGCCCTAGTCGGGAGGGTTCGCTTTCTGGCCCCAACGCCATCGTCTAGACCTCTTTCAATGTCTCTCGTCACGGATGAACCAATGACGTTCGAACTGGCGGCGCGGTATGTGTTCTATGACGGTCTATACGCTTGAATACTCGGAGGACACCGTAGCATTCATTCCCAACCCCGGGAAAACCCAGCAAAAAAAGGTATAGAGATAAAGCGAGAAGGAGAAAGACACCAACTATACAGTTCCATACAACCCCATTGTTATTATTAACAGATGCGACCCTGGAAACCATAGACTGGCAACGAACCAATACATGGCTACTAGTTTAACCCTCGATGGGCTCGCTCGGGAATTCCCAGCGTGGGGTTCTTTGCACCTTTCCATGGTTGGGATCCAATAGACCGATATGATCGCCCACTGACCGATGTTCTTCTGCACAGAAGCATGTATGCCGGTGGTTAAGATAGGTAATCAGTCAAACCAAGGTGTCCGTCGGTTGCTTCGACCGAAAATCATCGCGTTTGCTAGTCTGGACGAACCTGGCTCCGGCTGCAGAGCAATGATTTTCAATGCAGGCCGAATGCCGAATCTGCTCATGGGGAAGCCCCGGTCAATGAAGGATCGATCTAGTCGATTATTACCCGGTTATCGATCATCTCGAAGGAAATTGACCCGGATCGTGTTGACCACTGCGTCCGGATCTTCTGGACTCAACTCCGTAGGACTGCTGCCTGAGGTTGCCAGAACCCGGAAGCACCTGACAAGAAAGAAAGGAGAAAAAACCCCTCATCGCATCCTTCCATCCTTCTGATCCAAATCAACCCTACCAGCCAGTCAGCACCAAACACAAGCATTACAGGTACGTACTTCCTGGACTGTGGAGCGAGTGGATTCAACCTACATCCGGTCTGTCCCATGAGATCTGGAAATGTGCAGCACAAGCCCCATCTGGCTTTTTCTGGCTTCTCTTTTCCTCCCTTCTCAAACACGATAATAATGTGTACCGTGCTAAGAGGGTAATAATCCTCTTTCTTCCACCACAGGTACCCTTCCTCCCACATCCGGATTGATTACTTTAGACATGGTTCGAAAGGGAAGAGGGGGGAAAAAAACCAAAACACGGTGGAGGTTGTTTGGGCTGACGATCACTGCTCCAGACGCACATCATCTGCCAAGGCGCAATATGTCGGCCGCAATGGATCGACGAGTCGCCGGTCGGGACGCTGCTTAGTTTCTGCAAGTTTGAAATTCGTTCTCCAGTGCCGGTCACTCGTTGCACCTATCGCAAGCCTTTCGGGTTTCCAACTTTGTCAGATACCCACCACCACTCGGACCTTCATCCAGGAACGCTCCGACTAGGCCTAGCCCACCGCAGCTTTGGATTTCTATTTGTTTTCTTTTTTCTTTTTTTCACTGGAATGTGGAGCTCCAGACGCTTCTCGATATGATAGGGTCCCGCAGTGGTCTTACGTGCCCCGTACAAAGCAACCCCGTCGTCATTGCCGAAGCACGACCACCGCAGTCGCTTTCTGCCGATGAGACCTCATTTGCGCTGCAAGTGGGCCAATCTGGTTCTCGGATGGCCCATTCCCAACGGTCGCTGGTTCCGTAAGAAGATCATCACCGTATCGTCATTTTGCTGGTTGGTTCGTCCTCCGGCCCGGTGCGATTGGTGAGACCTCGAAGTTTCTGATCTGTCACGCGTCAGTCGTCGCTTCAATGCCGGCCATGGGGGGACCACCATTCGTCATGCAAGAATGAGGCCTAGAGATTCGATCAGTCAACTGATTGGGGGTCCGCCGTCAGCTTTCTCGAGTCTAGCATATTGAAATAGTACCATCTCGGTATATTCAGGTATTTGGTCTAAGTCGCCACTGAGATCAGCGGCGACCTCCCCCTATTGCTTGTATTTTCCGAGCATCGTGGGCGACCCGTCAAGCGCAGTCTCTTACTGAGCCTTCACCGTATTCACCAGGCTACAGTCACCCATTCATTCGCCGTAGTCTACGCTGTTCAGCTTTCTGGTTTGTTTTCGACGAGTCAACAGGTCTTGCGTGTGCATGCTCCTTGTAATACCACGACTAATATGTCCGCCTTAATTACCCCGGTCGGATCTGACTGAGGCGACTGAGTTCTTAGAGCTGATCATCGCCTTCATGTCACGTTTGAACTCGAGATCTTGAATACTCGAGGAATCGAAAATGCATGGAACGACCAGAGCGTCTTAGCGTGTCGCATTGCAGCCGGGGTCAAATGCGGTGTATGCCTTTTTTTTTTCCTCTAAGAGATGATTTCGCACAGAAACCCAGAACCTCATTCCAATAGAATGCAACTTGCTCTCGTACAGGCGTGGATCAAGAGAAGGGGTGTGTGTATGTCTCTTTCTCAGGTATTGAAAATTTATGAGCTCTCGTTTGGATATCAAGTCTGCTTGAAAGGTCGGTTCGAAGACTTGCCAGCAGCAAAGGCCGACAAAGTTTGTGCCTAGGGTGACGCTAATGAACGATCCATGGTTGGCCACTCTGACAGCTCCCCTGCCCAAACTTCGGAGTTTCATGGAACCAGGGTTTCACCACTTCACCTATACTTAGAAGTCGTGCATCAGGATACAACGCATCCCAGCACCAACCGCAACGGATCCACGGGCATCTACCGCACTGCTTGCCGAGGTACACAGTCGACACGTCCGTTAGATGGATGGATCCCAACTCGTACTGTCTTGGGAGATACAGGCACTCGGGGAACGCCGCCGTATGTGCAGTTGCATAGCAGAGCAAACGAACTCCATCCCAATCCCGGCATCGCCACAACGCGTGATGGGGAGCAGCCACATTCGGGGCTCAGCCACCAGTGACTGGTCACGCCCGAGAGTCTTCCAGAACCGTCAAGTGCGCTGCACTCGGACCTCCGGAAAGTCGCCAGCGCCTCCCTTTGGTGGTGACGATCGTTGCGATCGTCCCCGACG